CACAAAATGGGATTTTTAAACTTAATCCTATTAAAATACTAAAGATTCGCAATGATGAGAGTGAATGCTGTACAGAATTACCAAGGAAATATGAGATAAGAAAAATATGTTTAAGAAAATCTCAAAATAGCACAGTAAACTGGCCCACTTCTATAAAAAAGGGCTATGTATCCTCTTCACTTAAAATTACCACAACACTGTACACATTCCTTTTAGACAGAGAAGGTAAAGTGCCTTTTAAAATACATCTATAAAACTAGCTCTTCTTGAAGTACATCAAAGACAATATCCCTCTTCAGTGGATATTGTCCCATCTTTCCTACGTTTCTTGTCAGACAGAAAATTAGAGTATTTTAAATACAATTAAACTATTTGGAATATATTTTCTAATACCCATTTCCAGGTCGATGGATGCTAGAAAATGGGAGCAAACATTAAGCTGTGATTCTTTTCCCTATGTTTCTCAATCATCCTCATGTTTTTTTGCAGATCACAGTCAAGAAAGCCCAGTCTTTAGCTATGCTATTCAAATCTATTTGTTTAAAAAGCTGCCACTGTCAATGTCAGAAAAGTTAAATGGTGTCACAGGATCACCCCTGGGCTGTTCTTAAGAGATCCAAAGCTCATAGGTGAATTGGATACTAATCCATCACTATATAGTTATTTTCTTTTGTCCAGTAGGTATTTTCTTGTTTTGCTCTTCTAATCTTTTCTCTCGCTTATATCTTATTTATATCTCTCTCTCACACTCATTCTAGGAATAAAGAAGAATTAGTCTGCCCCTTCTTCTTGTCAACCATTACTCCTTTATTTAACCCAAGAAACATTTAAGCAGGGATAAGAGAAGAAAATCACTTCATTACACTGCTCCTGATTGTGAGAACCATGGAAAACAACAACTGAAAACAATGGTAGTACATTGCCACTGAAGTATCCATGTTATTTAGATGCAGACAGATAATTAGAACATCAAGTCCTGTGTTTATCTGTCATAGATTTATTTCAATTAATGATTGATTTATATTTTATAAAATATTTTGATATATATTTTAACAGTTAAAAAAAAATAAATTTAATTAAATTAATTAAATAGAGCTCCACAGGGAAATAATGACTCAAAACTGCAAGATGCCCTTAAAAGACTGGACTTCAACAAACTCTTGAATTTCATATGTAAACTTGACCAGTTTAATCTGGTTCCAGAAGCTGATCACATGCTCTCTCACCTGAATTCCTCATCCAGTTGAGAAACAGGCATTTTGAATTTGCGAATGCTTTACAGAATCTTAAGCAGAATAATGTCTTTTATTTGGAAAAATGAAGCTTATGTTAGTTCACAGTAAGTACTAAGAATGTTGGTACTTTATTCATGTTGCAGATAACTATTGAACTGCTCAGACTAAATCACTTACCTTATAAAAACAAATGCATGTTTTGTATAACTATTTTCCTTATTCATTCTTGTTCAATACATAGTCTAATTGGTATGAAAAAGACAGTGTCTCCTGACGTTTATCATTTGATCAATATTAATATCTTTCTCTGTATGGCCAAAATCCAGGCCCAAATATTTCACTAGTAAAATGACCATAAATTTCAACAGAATGTTTGTGTGTAATAAAATTACTGAAATTACTTAGATAAGCCTATCTTTTTCCTTATATGTACATCAATAGATACATAATTTTGACAGATTGCAAGTGACTCTCTTGTCTTAAAAATACTCTGGCTTACTATTTACAGTATGCATAGTTCAGCTGAGAGAGAAAAACTAAAAGACCACCACATATAACTGCAGAAAGAATGTTGAACAGCTTGATAAAATATGGTAATAGGACATATGAAGTAAGAATTTAGAGTGTAGGCTTTGCACCTGTGTTGATCTAGAAAATGTTTTCTCACGATAAAGGCCTTCAGTACTCCACACTCAGAGTAATTTCAGTCAGCTCAGGAAAATCTCAACTGAGCCATGATACAAACACACTCAGAGACTGATGAAATGAAAGCATTGAAACATTTTTTTTCTATAAAACAGACATTAAGTAAAGCTAATTTAGTTAAATGTAATCAACATAATAATAACTGATTTTGATTCTGACTTGAATTAAACTATATGCTTTTTCTCTGCAACAGCTAACTATTGCCAACACCCTGGAAGAGTGACATAAACTGTTGCTGAAAAACCGTAACTGAAAGATTTTAAGTTACTGGTTTTAGAGGTTTAGACTGTAGCAGAGGGAATCAACAACTTTTCTGAAAATACTGTGTTACTAACAAGGCCTAATGATTTCAGATTCTGCAGAGAAATTTTAGAAATAAATGTCCATAAACCTCTCTAATGTTACAATTTTTACTGTATTTTTTTTCAACAGATGTGCAATTTTAGTATGCAAAAAATTCATTTTGCTCTAGGATTAAACTTTAATGGCTTGCTTTAATGGCCTGCTTTTTGAAGAGTACCTTACACTTTCATGAATAGCAAAGGGATTATGGTTAATCATAATCTTAAAACATTATAGTAAAATATTCCACTCTTTAGTAAGCTATTTGAATTTCACAACTGAAATTACTAAAAACTGATTTCAAATGGAAATTTTTAGCTGAAATGAAGTAGAACATCTAACTTGTCTTAGAACAGAATTATAAATCTGACTGCCTGAAAATCTGAATTTTCTGCCAACTGTTTATTTTGCCACATATGAATAAAGACATTGTGTGAGAGAAGAATCTTGCAAGACAACAAGGACTCCAAATTTTTTTTTTCCGCTCAGTGTCATTTTGGGGTTTGTGCGGTTGCATTTCTGTGTTTGTGTACCATGTTTAACCTGTGAAAGCAATGAACCCACCTTTTTCCCTATAGAATGTCACATCGAGGACCACTACACCAAATTGATTAATATCTCAAAAATGTCATTAAACAGAACATGAAGTGTTTGAGGTAATATAACTGCATCTCATTCTATCATCAAAAGTGGTGACAGAAAATCCCATTTTATAAATATACACCCATATATACTTGTCAATTAGTTGTTGGATATTTACTGCTACCTATTTGTAAGACAATCAGGATTTTACAAGAATCTGCCATGACAGAGAGAATAAATTCTTATAAGGTCATGGTTTCTATATCTTTCTGACAGATCTTCCCAACAAATATTGGGGAAAAGTAAAATCCAGGGGAGAATTTTAATTTCACACTTTGATATCAAAAATGTATTATCTCCAACAAAGGTAAGAAATGCAAATCTGTCATTAAGCAACATAATTAAAGGTTTTCTTCAGTGCAGTCTTGCTATGTTTATTCAATGAAGCATAATAGATTGCAAGATATACAGTACAACTAAATCCTCATTGATTTATAATAACAACCTTCAGTTGTTAAATAACTGTTATCGAATACATCATCAATTATAAATAAAAATACAGTTATTTCTTTTGTTTTAAAGAAAAAATCAATTTTATATTTTTATTGTATGGTTTTATTTAGTTGGTGGTTAACATAGAAAATCTCTGTGAAAGATATTTTTGCTGGTATATGCATGTGTTCAAATGAATAGTTTGAATTTTCATTTTTCTTTTGTATTTTAAAATCTTTCACAAACAATGAATCCTCACAACATCCCTGTGAGGTAGGTATTTATGCTGTTTAAAAAAAAAGAAAAAAAAAACCTTTGAGAAATTCTCTGTTTCACTGATCCAGCAAAGTCAAAATAATAACAATTACAAGGCAGTTGCACTTTGTACTCTGATTTTAGTAATGAAAATACACTGCCCCTCTCAAGTTTCAGTAGCTTCTATATAACCTCCAAAATATTTCATATGAATATCACCTCAGTCACTGTCAAAACAGCAAGACATTTTTCATGAGAAATGAGAAGGATACAGTAATTGTCCTGTGTACATGTAACTTTCATTGAATGACCTTATTCCCTAGATAAATTCTAACAAGTATCCTTCTTGCATGGAATATTTGAGAATATTAAAAAACTTAACCTTAAAAGGTTATATATTATATAAATTATATATTTAAACAATATAAACATATGTAATGGTTACATGAGTTTAAAAAGTTGATGAGTGTATTCCTCTGAGGAATTAAAAAACATATGTGCTTATGTATCTACCTTACATATTTTATATAAAAATATGTTAATATAAAGTTTATTCATCTGCTAGTAAAATTTTATAATGGATATATTCATCTCCTGTCATGGTAGGTGGTGGGTGACATAAAAAGTTCATTGCCAGCAAAATGTTTTTATATAAATTGCATGCACAATCTGATCCCTTACTTGCTTATCAAAGGAGCAAATATATTCATTATAAAAAAAAGCCAACTCATTTACAAGAGAAAGTGAAGCTTGCTCTAGCTCCATGTCAATATAAACAATTTGCACCTGATTACATCCATCAAGTTTAATATAAACCATAGTAATCTGAAGAGTGTAATCAGATGGAACAAGATTTAATAACGTACAAACCAAAGTTAATGTTTCTCTGATTGTTTCCATTAACTGCATAACTGTCCAAAGTATTAGTTTTACATATACATTATTTAATATTAGAAAAGTTAAAAATACACAATATAATACATTATATAGAGGAATATATTTCTCAAAAGGTTATACATAATGCTGATTTTTAGAACTTTTTTCATTTTTTAAAGCATACTTTATATCAATTAAAAGTAACACTTCATATATTTAAAATTTCATTACCCTGTCAGTATGTTTTCTCTGCAATCTAGGTGCATTTAAAAATAAATAAATAAAATTGTATTTTGATGAAATACCCTTTATCCACTAGCACCTTAAGATTACAGAAGAGCACATAAAGCAACAAATTCCTTGAGAGCAGGTCTCATCTTTCTTCATAAAGCCCAGAAGACAATAAGCAGAGTAGTAGGAATAGCAAGGCAAAACCTTATAAGTGCAAAAGCGACCTCTGGTAACCTTCTAAATGGGTAACACTGAATACATATTTTGATCATAAATCTGGAATAGTGAAAATTTCCCTTTTATTTATCCAGTTACCGCAGTATTTATAAACAAGTAAGAATAATTACATTTTATATACAACTAAACAAAATCAGAAGACATGAAGATGGTTCATAAAATTATGTTTTCAACCTGTCAAATTTAAAGGTACACTTTCTTACAAAAACTTTTTTGAGAATTCAAGCATTCGAAGAAGAGGCCATGTATATATAGTGTCATAAAAATTTTTCAAGTCACTTCCTAAAGTGAGTATAACATGTTATGGACAAATAAAAAAACCAATTAAAATTGGCATGAGATGGGTAGTTTGGAAAAGACAATTTTTGTGTTTTACATGTTCAGTGAACCAAATAGATGCATGGCAAACTAATGTTTCTAAACTGATAAATGTTATGGAAAAATAATGAGGCAACAGAAATAAACACAAATTTTTCATTGCTGAGTTTTTTCTTATTGACTGATATAACTTAAGGGCAATTTTAAGACAAAAGCAGAGCACTATTGTATTGGAGTATATAAAGATTCCCCCACTTGCAGACAATAGGGTTTTTCTTATTAATATCTGAAGAGTTGACAGTGACCCTGAAGCTCTCACTGTTAGTAGGATGCTGTTAGTAGTAGCAGTTGCAAACATATGGGTTTGCCAGTAACAACTCACAATTTGTGCATAGTTGAGTCTTCGAAACTGAGCAAATTTGCTCTCAAAATCTTGCCAGCGCTTGCTGAGCTGTATCAGGGTTGGCTCCACTGCTTTTGCAGCCCCATCCTTAGACAAGCGTTCAGCCTGCCTGTGCACCGCATTCAGATCTTCCTTCTTCTTCTCCAATTCTCCACCAATCTCCTAGTGAGCAAAACCAATACAGGGCCCAGGACAGTTAGCTAACTAGATCAATCAACTTGAAATTAGCAAAATACTTCTGTCAGAAAATCCATTTCCATTTTATTGTTACAATTAAAATTTACAGCTATTTCATATCTTATTTTACATTTAAACAAAACAAAGATAATTGAAATTGAAGAACCTTCTTGGAGATGGGCTGTAGAGATACTAACTGCTAATATTCTCTGAAACTGTTAGCAAAGGCCAACAGTTTCCACATTCAGATTCTTGCTAGTACACTGGGATGGGCAATTGGAGAAATTATTTTCTCAATAAGGGTCATGATATTCAGGACAAATATTGTTCGAACAGTTTACAAATATATTATTAGACTCTTTAATGTATTAATTAACTCCTATTTTACTCTGTGGGAAACTCAACAGAGAATGAAGCAAAGAAAGACGATGTAAAATAAACCAGGAAAATCTTTGACAGTATGTAAATAAATCTATAGACTTTGACAGTGACATATGAGTATGCTCTGATGAAAATGAATGTGCTAACATGAGATAGAGGTCATCCACATATCGGTAAGTCATTTGTTCATCTGGAACAAAGATACACAAAATCAATTACAATTTTTACTAGAAAACATTTGATGCTTCTTAATACATTGCACGCTTTTTGTATTACTGATAAAACATTATATTTAGTGTGTTTCAAATTATTTATATAACATTCTGTATAACAAACAAATACAAAATATAGTACAACAAAGAAATGTCAGTTTGAACACAGATAATTAGGGTTCATTTTACTATAAATAGAAATAAGAAGAAAACTGCTAATTTTCTATATCTATATTATTGTTTGTTGCATTTGCTCTCTGTTGAACTGACAAACTATCACTCAAAATATCTATCATTGTCAACCCAAAACAACATTACCTTTAGCTTCTGCTCATCTTTCTGGTCTGGTAGACCGGCTAACTTTTTCTCAATGTCATCCAGCCATGTCATTAGGTCATCAGCCTGCCTCTTGTACTGATACCATTGATGAGAAATCTCTAAAGCCTTTTTTCTTCTTTGAGATCTCAAGTCCTGTTCACAGTGCAGACATTATTAGAATATGAATTAAAGGCTTATAAAATATGAATTGGCGTGTGTGAACACTGTAGGGAAAAAAGTGTGCAAGGCCACTATTTTTTTAATTAAATGTTGATATTTAAAGCAAGTATATGAGTAATTGAACATATTTTCATCAGTTCAACAATTTTTGGTTTGTTTGTTTTAAAGGAAGTTACCTAATTCAGTTTTGTTCACATGTTGAATAAACCACTGAGACAGTCATCAATATTCATAGAAGTTAAGACTCTTACATAAATGTCAATATTTTATATAAAACACTTCTGCTCAGAATACTTACTGGACAGATGGAAACACAGCCCACTTAGTATCTAGCCAAAAGTGGGGCTTCTGTATTTTGCGGTCTCCTGTGAATTTCTAGCCTGCATGAAACTCTGTAGTTATTCAAATGAAAGTCATTGCAATGCAGAAATGTATGCAAAGACAAGTTTCCTTTTTCTAAATTAAATATCATGTATATAATAAATGTCTTGTGTTTATAACTCCACTTTAAGAGGTATTAAAATTTCTCTTTAGCAGGAAGGTAAAGAATGTATGATTTTTCCCCCATAAATGTTATTAAACACATATGTGCTTCAGCTGCTTAACTTCGCTTGCAGAGAATTGAGAGAATATTTTAATTACTATAACTTCTTATTAAGAAGTAAATTTAAAAATTCCTGGTACATTTTATATAAAAACACTCAGATGAATTTTCCTCAACAATTGTTGAATTTTGTTTGACAAGGGTGAATGCCTTAACTGAGTCACCCAAAGGAAAATCTATCACTCTCTTCCATAAAACAGCCAGCAAGGATCTGGTCAATAGCATAGGGCTAGAAATATTGTTCTTCTTTCTCCAACATAAAAGTTATGAATTGCTTCCATTTAGCTTGGAACAGTTGAAGACACACCTAATAGATTTCCCAGGTTCTTTTAAATATGGACAAAACAATAGTAAATTCCAGCTATCCTTCTCCTGAATTCACACAGATCTGCAAAATTTTAAGAATTGGAATGAAATCCACAGGTAAGGAAAGAGGCTGCTTAAAAGTAAGTAATAATAAGATGTAAACATGCCATGTTCCCCAAACCAAGGACAACTTAATCAAAATTATCAAAAGAAATTAAAATTCTACTTGCTGATGAGATAAAAATTCTTCTATAGTAGCCAGAGCCTACAGCTCCAGGTAAGTGACCAAGGTGACTCTACAACTGTAAGATTCTATCTTTCCTCACTTTTATTTTTCCATGGAAAGACAACACTTCCAATTACACGTATTAGCTGGCCCAAATAGGTCTCACCATGTGTGTTTCTAGGAACAACACCATACAGTTATACCTCCAGGATTGTGGCAACACAGAATTTTCATATGCAGTTTTGGTTTCCAGCCTCTTAGCTGCTCGGTCTATTGGTACTACCACCCCCCCTGCTCTAGAGTGGCTGGAGCCATCCTTGTTACTGAAGAATGCAGTGTGTAAATATTTTACTAAAGGAGAAACCGACTCATTCATGGCCAGAAGTATGTTATGCAACTGAGAATATAAGTTTGTGAAAACTGATTCAGTCTTGACTGCTGTTGGAGAAATATAAAACATACATCATATATTAAAAAAGGGATTATCAAAGCAATCATTGTTGTCCAAGTGGCAATCACACAATTGTAATACTGTGGATAAGACAGTACTTCTTAAGATGGAGACTGTAAAATGCCTTTTGCAAGGCATCAAGAGAACTGCATAAGAAAATACATCTGTAGCCAAATAGTTTCAGGTTACTCATCTCTAAATAGTAATGAAGACTCATTTAACAAAACAGTGCCCTGAAATGAAGACAAAAATGGTTTTAGTAGCATGTGCTTATAATTGTAGCTCCTATACCTTGAGGGCATTATGTTTAGTCCGCAACAGCTGTTGTTTTGTCTTTATTTCCTCACGCTTTCTCTCATCTGTGACTCCCTTTTGAAGCCTGTCGCCCCTTTGCAGCAATTCTTTCACTGTGCTCTCATCCTCTTCACTCTGAGTTTAAAAAAAACCACAAAATAACGTGCATCTTAATCTAAATATTACTTAACTAAGAGATACAGACATACAAAAATATCTTTCCTCTGCTAAAGTAGGCATGTAACAGCAGTTCTGTATTGAAGATTGAGTAACTTACACTTGCTTTCTACAACACATGTAGCCACTTGAAGGATAAAAGTAAGACAGCACTGAAAACCTACATATTTGATGTTAGACTTTATGCAACATCCAGAATAATAGCATGAAAACATTAAAGGCCAAAAGGTAAAATATATTTTACTTTAAAGCAAAAAGAATAGATATATCCAAAATATTCCAAATTACTCTCAGTAGTGATTGAACGTGCCAGTACAGCAGGAGACCATGCAATTCCTGACCATTCCATGTATCATCACTTTGCAAACCAGCTATTCTGGAAGGAAAAATGGTATCGTTAAATATTTTTTATGCAGAAGCTGAATCTGTGCCACAGTTTCTGGGGGTGTCTTGTACCACACTGAACATTTGGATGTAAAGAAAGGGAACCAAATATGCTCAAGCAGTGGAAATTGCCCCTTCAAACTTGATTCACTTAGACTTTACCACTGCAGCACATGCTGCCTTAACTGTTATTTTTCCTGCATAAATGAAAAAAAAGTCCTGTAAAGATTTCTTCCAGCACTGACATAAAATAGACATTTTTGAGGACTTCCTTAGAAGGGAAATAATATTGAGTCTTTACATTTGTTAGAAACAAATATATATTTGATCTTTCTGAGGATTCATGAAGAGCAGGTTTTAAAGATGAATCTCCATTATTGCACAGCCAAGAAATGTTATCTCTCTGAAAATCACTTTGGAGAAAACATACCACAATGGCAATAATAGCAAAAACCAGCAATAGTTAACTTCTCTTTTCTCTTTTTTCCCCCCTAATATACATAAATGCTTTTACTCCTTGCAGTCAGCAAACGTGAGTAATAAAGCTTACGACAGACAAAAAAACTATTTAAATTGCATGTTATAAGAAGATTGGTTAAGAACAAATTAGCAAGTGACATTCTTTTTGATTAGCATTTATTTTTAGTGAATGTATTCTTTTACTATATTGCCCATTTAGATACATTGTTCTGACTTTCCTTGGTCTTCATGCTGCTGCAGAGATTTTAGTATTCATTCCCTATTCTCTAATACTACTGGTATTATATACAACCCATAGATAATATTCCTGGTCTGCTTAGTGTTTTCATAAGGATCAAATTTTTTTTTTCTGATAAACTAGAAATTAAGTTAGCACTAAAAATTTTACTTAATGCTAATTTGGGACTTTTGATTTTATAATATATTAACATAGTAAAATTTTGCCCAAGTTATATCTACAGATCCTAACACCAATATGAGTTTCTAATTTTAACTCAGGTTTCTTCATCTCCATGTCTAGTTTGCTCAGACTTCCATTTCAGCCAAATTACCATATCTTTATTGAAGTCCTCCTCTTTCAGATTCACTCCCTGCTGAATTTCAACCTCCAGTGGTTCAAGCATTTTTTGTATATCGAAGTCAAATTGCTCCAATTCCTTCACAGGAATGAAGGGCTAAAATGGGAGAAATACAAAGATTTTATATTTAAAGCACACAATAATTTTATAAGAGACATAAATGAAAAGAGACATCTGTTCTATCCCCTATTGCTAAAATAATGGTAGACTTTCCATCACACTGAAAAATATCTACACCATACAACTCAAAGTACCCAAAGATACAAATAAAGATAGGAATATATGTAGGATTTCCATGCAAGTAAACAAAAGAATTTTATGGTGAGTGAAAATGAAAAGAGAAAAAAAAAAAGATAGTTTCCAATCTGTGTGTAAGAAAAGGTACAAATAAACAGCGTAATATAAAAATTTGTCTAAAAAAAAAAGATGTTTACACTATTTGGTTAAGTCTGGTTTGTCAGAAATTATTCATACAACAACAAGCAATACATTCAGATGAAAAAACCCTACTATTACCAATTGAGAAAATTTTAATGATACTCTGGTTCAGTTTTGAAATTATTGCTCTCTCACAAAAAACAGGAAAAGTGTCAGGTAAATTATACAAAACAAAGGACAAAATCTCTGCGTAAACTATTCCTCTAATAATATTACATAACATACTGAAAAAAACCAACAAAATTTCAGTAAAAGAGCTTCTGTTTCAAAAACTCTCAACAAAAATTCTGGACCAAACAACTGTCAACCAAACAAAACAGACTCAATTGCTCCAAAATAAATCACAGTAAAATTAAGGTGCTTTAGCTTCGTATTCAGTTTTAAACTCTCAAACAAGAGACTTGACACTTATTAACAATAATACACCACCCTTTGTCGATCTGATACATGAGTGCCTGTGAATAGTTTAATGTACAATATACAATATATTTATTAAGTGCATTGCAAAGGATCAACAGAAAAAGCTTTCTTCTTTCAAAGCTTCAAATGCAAGAACAAGAAAAAAATCTCAACAGTTTTTGCACAATATTTAGATTTAAAGGTAATTAATACTTTATAACATTATAGGAACTCTTGGACATACACTTGTCACCCTATTAAAGACATAAGCACATTATATCCTAACCAGCTCTCTTTCACTCTTCCCTCCAGTATAATTAGTTGTTATTATTATATGCAAAAACTTGTAATGAAGATGGTAACAATCAAAATTAAACAGATAAAACAAGAGAGACTGGATGTCAACTGAAATTTGTTCTCAGCTGTTCAGAGATGACCTGGAAGAATCAGGGTAGAAAAGTTTTAATTGTATTTAGTTGATTATTTTAATGACACAGATTTTGCACTCACAAACATTAATGGAAATACAATAATGTACAATATTTATAGAGAATAATCCTGTGTTCACAAATTTTCATCAAGAAGCTCAAAATTGCAAGCAAGCACTTCAACTGAGGTAGAAATAATAGCATACTACGCAGTAATTTCTTCTCAAACACTCTGAAGGATATTTTCTAAAGTACTTAAATCTCATTAAAAGACAAACCAACTAATAAAACTGGAATATAAGTTTTATAATCTATAAAAAAGGTTAAAAATACTGATGAAAAGGAGAGTGGAAAGAAAAATATTAAATTAAATTCCAATAACTAAATGAGGTTCAAAGACTACTTGAAAATGTTAAGTCTAATTTCAGTACACTATGAACATTTTGTTAATTCAGGACACGACCATTACATACTACCATTTACTAATTTAGTAGATAATTTCTTATTTTCTTCACCGTTGTACTGATAATTGTATCTGAAAAAATATAGCTAATTTGAAAACAGATGAGAAATTATTGAAAATAGGTTATGAGAGCTTTCGATCTTCTTGAATTAATGTCTTAATCTTTCACCATGTGAATAATTTTTACCTGGATATGGGGAAAAAAAAGTAATCCACTTAGGAAGTATAATATCACCATATAATAATAACTTTTCAGCTCATGAAGCTGAATTGAAGACTAAGGGAAGTGCAATTACCTACATTACACAGTGGACAAAATAAGGCACCCAGCAATTTGGTCCTTTATCCAAATGCAAGTGAGTAGAACTGTCAATAATTCAGACAAGTGTTTTTCTCTCCATCTGATGCAATGCTGATTATTATAGGTGTCCTTTGGGAATCACATTCTAGTTGTCCATTCCCCAAAGGCCCCCTGGAAAAGTTCCCCTAAATTCTAATTTAACATTATAATTGTGTGCTGATGTAACTCCTCTCATCTTTCTAGGTAGAAGCTTACTGTGGTACTGCCATTCCAGTTCATCTTGCCTCTACAATCATAAATGGAAGAACACCCGAAAGAGAAGGTTGCCAGGTGAAAGACATTTGCAGGCTGTGTTCTGAAGACACTTCATCTTGATAAGCATTTTTTTTCCTTCTCCAAGTGAGCCCACAACTTGCAATGCAAACCGCGGACCCACAATACGCCATTTACAGGCAGTCTCATTTTTCCCTAATACAAGTAATAATTTCACAGGACCTTATCAAAGGCTGTATCAGCTCTGTAGGCTTACAACATCATGGAAGTGCAAAGTAAAACTGAGACAGAAATCCAGACTGCAGACAGCAGATGTTCAGAGCAAAAACATCAAACAACACAGTTGTTTGGGCTTTTTGCCAAGATGTCCTCAGTCTACAGTTTGTACTTGTGTAAGAAGTAGGTGAGAAGCACACTGGAATGGCTGAAATACTACTGATAGCCATTAGGAAAAAAAAAAATTACCTTTATTCAGAGCACAGATTATTTGTTTTTGTTTCAGAAACGAAACCTAAATAAACCCAAATATCCACAAAGATGTGCTGGTTACGCAGGGTATTGAGCGCTGCATAGTCCCCAAACAACTCATGAAAACCATGTCTCTTCACTTATGCTTTTTGCAAAGCTTATTTCCTGCTTTGCCATGGATCCTCTGTGCATTTATTTCCAGTGTTATTACAGTAATCAGTAAAAATACTTTAGATCAGGATCCATGCATTCCCATTATCCTATATACCAACCTGCATGGCTGCCTGATTTAATCTGTCGAATAGCTCTTCACAATAAAGGCAGAAAATACAGTGGAGAAAGTAGGTGTCTTATGTCCTTCCTCATTCCAATTCAGAAGTCACACTCAGTTGGCTAAAAATTACCTAATCCATACTGAATTCAGATCCAGTAATCAAATTAGTTGTGCGAATGAGTAGTTGAAGTATCATTGATATAAGCTCTATCTACTTATTCCTGCCTCAAACCTTTGTGAATCATAGACTCAGGAAAAGACTGAATGCATTTAATGAAAAATTAGCTCTCAAAACCCAATCTATATAAAAAAAAGGCTACTCATACTTTGAGAAGTTAAAAGAATCTTACTAATTCTCAGATGTTCATTTTTTGTAAGTTAATGAAATAATCATTGTTACATTCATACAAAGTCAGTGAATACTTCTAAATTGTGAAACCCCAAATATTCACACTTCGGAAAAAAATATATTGTTAGGCTCTACGTTGTTTTCCTTTAAAAGCTTAATTTTTGGAAAAACTGCAGCCCACCACGTAGTTGCAATTGTGCACCCTGTATAAATGACATTTTCTTAATGCATCTCCTTATGGAAGCAAGTCCTCCTACCTTTACACTTTTAATTCTCTGTGATACAGTTGCAAATCGCTGGTTGAGCTCTGACAGTTTAGGCTCTATTACTTTCCTGCAGTGATCCCCACGGTTTGTCATCAAGTGCATCGCCTGGTCACGCACAGAGTCCACCTTTGGGTGAATGTCATTCAGCTCAGCCTTTAAGCGCTACAGTCCGTGAGCAAGAGACAGGGCTTGAAGTTAGTAATAAATGCAAAGAGAGAGAAAGAGAGAGAGAGAGAAAGTGTGCAAAGGAATAGGGAGCAAAACCACAAAGCAAATTCAGATAATTATGCATGAGTGTGTAAATCCAGTAGAAATACATTAGACAACATTCCCACTCACGTCCCTCAAATTTTCAGGAGGAACGTATCTATGTGTCTGTTTTAATATTTCCTAAAGGAAATTAATGGTGATCATTATTTCCAGGTAGATTCTTATCTGCAATAATATTGCACCATATTTCAGAATACACTAAATTATTCTATGTTCCTAAAGCTAGAAAGAGCTGCTAATTCTTGTATTATGGAACTGGATATATAGTTGTCTACTACAAAAAAAAGAAAAAAGAGGGCAAAAATTTTTATCCTCTGCAATAGTAATCTTAATAGTAGATCCCAGGATGAGCAGATGTAAAAAAAAGGATAGTAAGGCATTCAGGAATCATGAACACAGTGGGTATTGAGAATTACATTTAATTGTCTGCATGAAATGCCTTTGTGCAATACAAACATATACACCAGTATTGATGTCAAAGACAATTTTACTTTGTATCTGATGGTAGAAAAATTGTTCATTCAACTACAAAAAGCCAGTCCCGTAATCCTGCTGAGATCAATGAGGCATTGATTTATGCTCTGCCTTGGAATTTGTAAAGTTTTGCTTTAGTAAATGGCATCATTATGTTAGTGTCAGCAATACAATTCTGATTTTGATTTGCAAACTGTTCCTCAGATAGTATATCCTGACCATGGAGTTCAATACAAAGCAAATTTTCACACTGGTTTCAGAAGAAAAAAAATGTCCATATAGATAATAATTTAAAATTGTTCATAAAGAAGGTATTTTAAATGAGATACTTTAAAATTCACATACATATTGCAGGCTAATTTTTCATCATTTGTCCAAAAGATGCAAGCAGCCAATTAAAACCTTCTGAGTAATACTAATACTAACCCATGATTATACAGCTAGTTCACCATATAACACTCTTGTCTGTGGTGCTGGTCCAGCATCAATGTAAACAGTGTTTATAGAATTAAAACAATCATAGACAGAGATACCATAGATATTGGAAAAGTATCACAGAAAAACAGAAATACAATTAAAAATGAAAGGTACAGAAAAGAAGAAAAAAGGATTTTGTTCAACCAGAACAAAACTTTGTGTTTAAGGAGTATTTTCCAGCAGACATATGTTTAATAAGCTGCTGTTCTACTCACCAGGAAGTCTCCAAGATTTATAATAACAATCTGGTTTTATTTCTGCAGGGATTTAACTTTGGTAATACAGAGAAAATTTATTAAGTAATCTACAAACTGCCAGAGGGTAGCTTTATCACAGAAAAAAAAAAAAGAATTTTAATCAATTTGTGATACCTTTCAATATATGCTAGTTTTGACATAATCCTTTTTAGAATAAAATTAATGCTTTCCAGAAAATCACATTTTTTTACCTTAAGAATTTCCTCTTTTTGCTGGGGTTTTTGTTTATCAGATTCATCCAACAGTATTTCAGCACGATACATCCAAGTTGTGACATTAGCTAAGTTCTGATCAAAAGCCTCCATGTGCTTTTGATATTCCTGTATGTGGAAAAGGTAAATACTGCATACAAAAAATGTAATCAGAACTGAAATAGTAGCTGTAATTATACCAATTGTGGCAAACATGCACACATTATGATATTATGAAAACTTGTTTATTTTACACAATAACTGCTTGTTCTGTGAAGGATAGAATCTGTTGATTGTTTGCTTCACTTTATATGTGAAGTCTCTTTAAAAAGACATTCTAGGAGTGAGAGAGAAGATTCCAAAGTGACAGGCAGGAGGACAATAAAATCACAGCAAGATGCCGGTGTCTGCAGCTCAGCAGGGCTGCTGAGAGGAACAGGAAGCTGTTAGCCAGACCTACTGGAGGTGGAGAGAAGACTTTCCCAAGAATGAGGTACAGAACTCATTTTGGAAAGACAGTAAGTTGATTGAAACTCAGATGGCAACAAGGATGCACTCGCAAAGTCACAATCAAGAATGGTAGCTTTGTATCTAAACCTCTTATCTACATTTCAACTAATTTCTCTGCTTTGAGATTTTTTTATCTTTTTTAAAGTTATTCTAGTTGATATTCTGACAAATCTTCATTTCTCTACTTAATTTAGAAGCTTTTTCTTTTTTGGTGACCTCACTACAATGTGGCCTATGCATATCCCACAAAATACATATGCACAACCACAGACCTGATATCAAAGGCATTCAAAATAATTCTTTTGGCCTCCAAATGTATGTACTGTTTTTTTTTACACTGTAAAATTGGTAAAAAATCCAACTACCTCTCTTAGATCCTTTTATCATTGGTATTAGTAAATATTAACTACAGAATCCAAGCAGAGAGAGAAAGTACAGGAATACATAAATATATCAATCTATAAACTCCATTATATGCTTCTTATAATCAGTTCCATAGTGAACCTGTACAACTGCATCGTACTGAATGAAATGCTTAAGTTTTCCAGATACTTCCACTAGTATACTGCATACAGCTGAGTAAACCCTGTAGTGATGTTGTATATCAACTGCAGAAACATTTGTAATGTAGCCATACATACTCTAGTGCAGCTCAAACACATCAAGCTCTGAAAAGTCACGATAAAGGCTAACAAACCCTTGAGAATCGCTTCAGTTTCTCTGTGTTGAAACTGCATTCCCATGCTCTGAGGAACAGAAACAGCATGCAAGATTTCCCAAAGCATTCTGTCAGCCCAGTGGTTAAGACCCTTCTGTGTTTAAGGGTTCGAGCTGTCATCTCTTTATGACAGAATGAATTTTAAGGTACAATAAAGTTATGTGACTATCAGTAGTTTGAAGCAGCTGGGGCTGAGGCTCCTGAATCTGTATTAAATGTGTATTAGGGATTTTACTTTCTACTAGGCTTAATCCAGTCCCATTAAGGAATTATCCCTATCTAAACATGCCCTAGAAAACTATCCAAAAAAGGATCATGCAGTTCTGAAAGACCAGATCATAGTGTGCACCCTGAACAGAGCTTCTGATTTAGTTGCCTCTGAAATGAATCTAATTCACACACAGCAGACCTACCCTGCGACCAAACCCACTTGCAAGGGGAGACTTACTTCCCAACTGTGCTATTCCAAACAGAAATGCTAACGCAGCCAAAAGCAGCTGAAGTTGTTAACATCAATACCAAGACTTACTCGACTTATCTGACTGTTTCTTTCACTGGATTTATATTAGTCTTTGTCCTTGGGGAGAAACTGCATTTCATTTATTAGAAAAACAAAACAAAAGCAGTCTAAGAACTAGAGACTGACAGGAATGGGAATGACTAACAATCAAGATTCCACTCTGTAAACAACCAGATTCTTAAAACAGGCACAATGTACTAAACAACAATAAGTCTGATTGTCTGTGTACCTGTGTATTCAACAAGCACAGTCCAAGGCACCAGAAAAAGCCCTCCTATTAGTCCTAGGCATGTACAATGGAACACAACATTTCCCCTGCGTGAACAGATGCATTTTCCTTACCAGTAACAGATTGAACCATTCCTCAGCACGTGAAGTTACCGCAATCCAGTTACTGTTCAGCAGGCTGAGTTTATCCTCCACCAGGCTTTCCTTTCCTTTCATCACTGTCTTCAAATTCTCTCCTAAATCACTGATGCTCTTAAGCTGGACTTGCCGTTTCTCAATCTCCTTCCGTGTTGCCTACATGAGCAGAATAAGAAATAAAAGTTCTGGAAATTAAAAATTACCCACACTAAGGACATGAAAAATAAAACAGGCAGCAAGTACATACTAAAACACACAGTCTTGCTTCCTATAGGAAGAAAAAAAATGATTCTGTGAAGGGCAGTAAGTACAAAGCAAATTGTTTCTCTTGAGCTCCAATAAAACTGCAAATGTTCTTCATGTTCTCATGATCTTTTTTTATTAATAATTTAATTTTAAAAAGTGTGAATTATCTCTTATTTCAGTGAAAAAAATATAGGTTTAATACTTAATTATTGAAAATTAATACAAATTTTTATAATATTTATATAGAAATGCTTAAAGTTATTTCTCATATAGTAAAGTTGCATAGTTATTAAATAGCAAATAAAGCTTACATAATAAATGAGACAATAAAACAGCATCATGATGACATCTCAAAGACTTAAAAAACTCCATTGAAAGTGGTCTATTGAAATATTTTGTTATTTTAATATTTTTCAATGCAATCTTTTTCAGAAGAAACCACATTCTTTTCTCCTGTTAAATTTCTTTTCTAATTGTAGAAATGCATATTTTCATTACATTCACTTAGGATTTCAGTCCGCAAACTAAAATACTAAAATAAGCTATTGTCTATAGCATTTCTCAGCTTGAATGACTAAAATACATATGCAGTGCTATAAAATCAGATTTCCAGCATCTCTTCCCACTATTATCTTAACTTATAGATCTAACTGATATGTAAAGTTACATAATTTACTTGTTATTCATTGCCTCAATATTTGTTGTAACATGCAAGAAGTTTAACAAAAGGAGCAAATCCCCATGTACTTAGACATGTAAAAAAAGCAGAAGTTGAATACTAAATACTGAGAAGATACAGTGCAAAGTACAGCATTCTTGCTGAATACTCAAGGAGAGGCATGAATTCCTTACACCTAATTTCACATATAACCAGTTTTAGAGAGAAATTTATCTGAGATCTTTGGCACCTGATAGCAATGACCCAGGCATATAAGACCTCTGCTTATAAAATAAATCTACAGCTAGAAATGAAGTATTCCAGAATGAACATAAACAAAAGTTAGGAGAAAGGTAAGAAGCACCAGTCTCCAGAGACACTGATTTCTCACAGAAACTTGAATACAGTAAAAAACCTCACCACTTCTAAACAATTCTTCCATTTCAGGATCAATGCTGTTACTGCAGTAGAACTTCATCTTTATCACCTCCACATTATCACTTCTCTCACGGCCACACATCAGTATAATTTTGTTGGAAGTGTATTGTTAGTGAAAGTAGAATTTTCTTTTTATGATAAAGACAGCATAGAAATTATTCCTTTTGGTAGGATACAATCTTAAGAGTACCTCCAATTTATTTGGTGTATGTCATGCTCAAAGCAGCAGCTCATTTTCTCTGCTTACTAGAATTCATAATCTAAATATGTTATGTTATTTCACAGAAAAGGTCTTAAACTTGCATTTTATCTAAGTATGAGAAATTTTCTGCATTCTATCAATTTTCTCAAATATAGAGGAAATGTAATTGAGCCAAGACATGATTAATGAAAATTTTTAACTATATACTACATAATTACGGAATTTGAAAGGGGGAGTTTCAAATTTCAGCAGGTTTTTGTTAGGTTAAAGAAAAACATGCTCTCTCTAGTACTATTTCATCTGTTTCACAGCAGGTGCAGAATGTCATCATAAAAAAAGAATAACACAAGGAATATAATTTACCTCCAACTCAGGATAGAAAACTTTGATTAGCTTTATTACTTTTTCTAAACAATTTACTTCCATTTGGAAAAGAAACTAGGAAGCATATTTACTATGGGTTGTGGTTTCCTTTGTATTTTACATGTTATGAAAATGCAAACCAATCTTGAGCTATATAAATAGATGTTAATTCCAACTAGTAAACAGATGGTTTGAGTAATTAAATGTCTATTAAATAAAAAGACTACCCAAAAACCAGAGGTACTTACCCTATGTGTAAAAAAAAAAGTGTAACAGTGCTTTGACTGATCCCAGGAGTTATGTCTATCAAAGTAAAGAAATAATGCAAACCAAAGACAAGGTGCACCTCTGGGCAATATGAATTTTAACACTCCCGTGTAATTGCAAGTAAGGGATATGAGCTAAGTAAATCACACTTCCCCTCGGTGTCTTAAAAATCATTGTGGCCTTCAACACAACATCAAAGGGGAAAAGCCATCTTCCTCAATACTTCAGATCTCAGTTATTAAAAGTTTGTGTGGGGTTCACAGTTCTTTCGGTTTACTAAAAAATACTTGCAAGGGCTTTTGTTACAACTGTTTGGGTTTTTTTTACCTGACGGTTTTGGTTTACTATGATGGTTTTATACCGCCCTTCCATCACAAGATACTAACTAAAAATTAATTATATTTGAAAATAGAAGCTACATAGAAATGGCTTTTTCTGAGGGTGTGGTGCAGAGGGCTTCTGAGCTATAATTTATAGTGATAAAACTACCAGGCATGAAGTTGAACTGTTGATGGTTTTTTCAAACAAATCAGAATTGTAACTAAATGCAGAAGATAATATTTTAATCATGCTGGTCATTATTGTATGTAGATTAAAAAATTCAAAAATAATGAATGAGTGAAGAAAAGTTCTGTGTGCCTCTACACTGCTTATGTGCTTTGGATTACTTGTAAATAAACTTTACAATTTGAGTCTTTCTAAAAGAAATTAGGTGGCTCGGCTCTCATAGGTGGGATTACAGAATTAATGAGAAGCTGACATTATGGTCCTCTCAGTGGTTGATAATACATATTTATTTGTTTATTCTCAGCACATCTTTTATTTTCATTGCATTTTGGCCAGTGACTATAAATCAGCTGACACGATTTTCAGTTTGTCTTCTTTTATGGAATTTACTGACAGGAAATATGTTGCTAAATGTAATTCTAAGTAGTTCAAGTCAACTTTTTACTCACTGGCATTATGCACCATATTAAAAAATCAGATTAAAGCACTGGTAGATTCATACTGCTGATAGTAGGGAGTGATACAGAATTTTCCTGGTAATACCATCTGCCATTTCCTTTTTAAGAACATGGTTTCTTGGCAATCTAATTCTTATCAGTCCGGTTCCTGATTAAAAGACAAACCCTGCAGTAGTTAATGTCTTCAGTGATAAGTATGTTCACTAAATCAGACTTCTAATTATAAGCGGATTTCTAATACACAATGTTTAATGACTATCTTTCCACCCACATGTCATTTTTCTTATCTATTATAACAGAACTGAATTCAAATGGAAAGATTTAGCTTGTCTCTACAGAGCAGAAAGGCAGGATTTACAGTCTTCAGTATATTGCCCATCTCATTTCACATAACTCAGACAAGCTTTTTGTTATATCCTTAGAAAAATTCAAGACAGGAACAAATAAGTGACACACTTCCCTTGATGTCCAGATTAATGCTATGTTTCATTTAACATAATTTCTTACTTAAGATGGACATTTCTTTTTATTTCTAGGTGTTTATACCCTGAAGACAATGTTCACATGTATGATTTTTTTTTTTTTTATTCTAAACCGTAATTATCTTTGGAACCATGTGTGCTCTTTTCTCCTTTGAGAAGTCTTGGGTGCTGAAAATGAATTAAAAATAAGTGCACTAATACATATAATGCTTCCTCATGCTGTAAAGAAAAAATCTTATGAGCTCTCTGCTTATATATATTGACAGCAGCACACATCCAATTTTCAGTTCATTCACACTATTGAATTCTCATCTCTCCCTCTCCATTTTCCAACTCAGTTTTTCTGCAGACTTTTCTCACAATGGGAATCTGTTGGGCTTAATTCATCTCCCAGTGCGTTTCATTAGACTGGTTACTGTCTTTGGCAGCCCACTTACCCAGAAAGTCCAAAGCCCAAAGCTGTGACATCAATCAGATACTGTGAAGATCTGGTTCTGGGGACTAAATTATTGATGTATGATTTTGTGTGATGCCTCAATGAAATCCACATAGGATTATCAGCATCGTACTTACTTATGAAGTCCTCATGAGAATTTTATAGTGTCCTGGATAAAATGCAGCACTTTCTGCCTCCTAGTGGGAGTAGATTCTTTAGGAAAAAGTGTATTCCTCATGATTTCTGTAAATATTTACATTTGTAAGGCTAGGATTTGCCACCTATACTGTTGGATTGCTCAAAATTAAAAGTGTGCTTATATATATGTGAATCTTCGTTTACATTTTCTAAAAAAAAAGAATAATGGAATACTGAAGGCCACTCATTACATACATACTTCAGCATGAGGCAGCTGCTCTCATCCAAAATTGTTTGTTTATGAACTGACTGAAGGTGAAGAGCTGATGTCCGGTATGAAACTGGACTGCTGTGAAGGCTTTGGGCAGGATTTGAAGCCAAAATACCCTTTTTACCAGTTTTTCCTGCAAAACTTTATGTATCAATTCCTTGTGAGAATTCACAAAACTCAATGGCACTCTTTAAGATTAGGAGGAGGAGTGGTTCCTGTTTGATATATTTTTTCATGTTAATATTTCTTATTTTAATTAGCTCTTGTTACCTTTCTGATTGCCTTTAGATAAAAATGTGTTGTACTTGTTGTCGTAAGCTTAAGACACAATAAAGACTTCCCACTGTGTAACTGCACTGATCATCAGGCTTTAGGTTTCTAATTATGCAACTTCTGAAGCATTAGGTTTCATATCTAACAATTAAATTATATTAAGGACAAATCTTTCTTTTTAAACTACTGTGAAGCTACATACATCTGGATCAACTTTCCTGAATGTGCATACAGGAACATGCTGCGTGTATCTGTTTCAGTAGAACTGTACAGCATAGTTTAACAGCAGCAAAAATTATTTTTATTTTATTGACTGGGTAAATGTCCTGAATACCTAGCAGGGTACTTTGGGGACATTAAAGCAATATGATTTTCTAACTCATCTCTTAAAAATCTTGACACTTGTGCCTTGTTATGGCTGTTAAGAGCAGCTGGAAAGCTGCACAGCCAAAAAGGACCTGGGGATGCTGTTTGACAACTGGCTCAACATGAGCCAGTGTGTGCCCAGGTGGCCAACGATATCAACCATAATGTGGCCAGCAGGACCAGGGAAGTGATTTTCCCCCTGTACTCGGCACTAGTGAGGCTGCACCTCAAATCCTGTGTTCAGTTTTGGGCCCCTTACTACACGAAAGACATTGAGGTGATGGAGAGTGTCCAGAGAAAGGGCAGTGGAGTTGGTGAAGGGTCTGCAGAGTAAATCATATGAGGAGCGACGGACGGAGCTGAGGTTGTTTAGATCCCTAAAAAAAGAGGCTCAGGGGGGACCTAATGGCTCTCTATGACTACTTGAAAGGAGGTTGTAGAGAGGTGGGAGTCAGACTCTTTTCCCAGGCAACGAGTGACAGGACAAGATGAAACAGCCTCAAGCTGTACCGGAGTAGGTTCAGGCTGGACATTAGGAAGAATTTCTGCATTGAAAGGGTAGCTATGCATTGGAATGGGATGCCCAGGGAAGTGGTGGAGTCACCATCCCTGGAAGTGTTCAAGAAACAACTGGACGTGGCACTTGGTGCTGTGGTTTAGTTGTAGTGATGGTGTTTGGCCAAAGGCTGGACTCAATGATTTCAGGGGTCTTTTCCAGCCTTAATGATTCTGTGATTGTAAGATCACAATATCAATCAAAAGTGTTCAGAAGAACTGCAAAACCTTTACTGTAGGAAAAGCTGCAAGTGAAGATGAGAAAACATCAGGCAATAGGAGGAGAGAACAATGGGGTTTCTAGGGATTTAGGTTTTGATTTGAAAGTAAAAGTAGCAGTAGTCAAAGCAGTAATTGTAAGTTAATAGGAGCAAAATTTGTTATTTTTGGATATCACTTTTAAAATACTGTCTTTCTTAGAGACTGATGACCAAAATAACCCCCAATTCCAAACCTCACAGAAGACTTGTTGACTGCCTTTTTCTAGTTGTTGTTATTGTTATTATTCTACTGTTGTTATTAGTTTGTAAATCATCAGTGTATTTTAAGGCTAAAAACACTTTGTCAAGCCTAGAAGCTTGAAAGGGGCAGTTAGAGTCTGAAAAACAAGCAAACAAACAAACAGAAAACCTCCCAAAGAAACCCATATCACAAACCACATTTTATTCAAGTGCTTTTAATCTGCACTGTCTTTCAAAAAAATAGTAAGGTTGCAGGTGTATTATTCATCACTATTTCTATAATGCCTAGTGAAACTAGTAAAATATTCAGAGGATTCTTATTATTAAACAAAGCACAAGTGGCAATTTTTTTGGCACAAAACCCCAATACTGTTTAAGCGGATTTTGGTTGTTCTTTTTGAAATTATATAGGAACATTTGTTCAAAATGCTGCTGGCTGCAAACAATTATTTGAAATTTTGAAGCCTTGGAACATGCTGAGCATAGTTTGCTCTAAAATGCAGATTTTGGTATGTGTGAACAATGATGATTTGTTTTGTTTATGTTCTCAGATTGGATTTTTATTACATGAACAGAAAATAAAACAGATCAGCTAGTGTTGAGTCTTAACATCACACAGAGATACTCTGTTTTATATAGAACTCTCACATTCCTCAGTGTTTCTGTAAGATGTTTATCTAAACTGTGATTTTGAAGAAAGTTTTGAGTTAGACTTTGAGTTTTAACCTAAAATATGAGTTTAAGGTGAAGTCTCATGGAAGTAGGATGCTCCCAGAATGAAAACGAGTTACAAATCTAAAAGAGTAAGAAAACAAATATCCTGGCTGCTATCTGAAAATGTGAAATATATGATGTTCTGGCATCCTTAATCTTTCATCTACCATTTAATACTTTTCTAATTATGAGAAGAATGGGGTAAGAAAGGGATCTCTATTTAGATTGATACTGGGTGAGCAATTTATAGTACTCTAAAAAAATTAAATTCCAATTTTAAATTCATCTCAGTAAAGACTACTGCAATATGAAGATGAATTGTGCTATTGATATCTGCAAAGACAAGATAAAGTTTTCTGAGCACTAATACTAGGATGAGATAGTGCCACAACACTTACAAAGTTTCACTAATTAAAATGCCAGAATTTTTAATTATTTTTCTTTATCAAGAAAGAAATCTATCTTTCTGTAATATGCAGATGTGTGTGTTACATTGTTACCTTGCCCCAGGCAATTTCAGCATCCAAATTGCTCGGCATCCCCTGCGCAGCCGATCTCTTTGTCAATTCTGCGTCTGTCGCTGCGAGCCATTCTGTCAGAGAATTAATTTCTTTTCGTAGTTTCCGGGACAATTTCAAGCATTTCTCCAACTCTTGTTTTTTTTCTGTCACCTGCAGAGAGAAAACTTGTGGTTATTAACCCTCCAGTGAAAGAGGTTTAATGATTTTTATACATCATTTTCTGTATGCCGCTTTTCTATAAAAACCAAACTTGCAATTTCACAAGTGAAGATGCACTTATAATACAGTTGGGTCTTGCCTTAGTTCTCTCAATATTAGTAGTTTTGCTGCTAGAATGTAAAACATCTACAATAAAATTATGTGCATAAATACCCATGGAGTTTGAACTAGCAGCAGACCTCTGCAAACCTCCTCCTCTGTTTTGGTGTCGTGCAGAGCAAATTAATTTGGAACAACTGAACTATCAGGCTTTCCTTAAGACACAAAATAGATGTCAAAACCTTTCAGAGTATATTTTAATATAGGTGGTGATATAGGGATAGGGATTCCTCAAGGTGTTTTTCTATGTAGCATACCTACAAAGAAAGGAAAAATACCAGTCAAAGAAACCCTCAAATCTGACACAGAAGTCACCAAATAGTGTCAAACTAAGGTAGCACAGTTAACTTTAAGTTTTTCATTTTCTGAATGTTTTGGATGGGAAGTACTATGACCAACCCCTGCTTTATTTGTAAAGTTCTTTTAAGCATGTTATATGGTACCTAGAAGGAAGGCTGAGTATTTATGTTGTCTTGATTGTCTTATATTGAATTTTGGTGTGACCTGGAAGAATAGGGAAAATGCAATCTTTCCTTCAAACCCCTAAGAATCTTCAGGGAGAGAGAGAAAAAGTTCCACATAATTAGTAGAAAAGGGAGAAGAGTAAATAAAGAGATCTCTGATGGGAAACTACACCATAATAGACATTAGGCAACTAGTAGTCAGAAAATACAAATTAATAAATCATGTTGTGATGAAGTTTAAAAAAGCCCAATCAGAGTAAGAGAATTAAATGTGTCCCATAGATCACTAACATTTTAAAGAAATTACTAATTCCCTTGCATGTCAATTAGCAATCAAGTAAGACTGTAGCCACTGATTTGTATTTCAGTATTTTTAAATAGAAAAAAAAATCCACAGTGGTTTTAGGTATTCAAAACTGGTTTCAGTACCTACTAAAGCTATTTTGGACTTGGCCACTGAGAACAAGTAGTGGTACAATGATCACATGGATTCCTAGCTCGACTGCCAAGGAGAATTTGAAGTTTTAAAATGTAATAGGATGTTACAAGGTTAGGTACATGGCTTTTGCTATCCCTAAGTAAAGAGATGAGATTTGCCCAGGGAATAAGCCATAAAGTGTTCCTTATAATTTATTATCCCACTGTAGAGGCTTACTACTAAAATCTCAGAACATTTCTTTTTCACTGAATAGTGCTTTCTTGCATGCCAAATTTATTAAATGAGACCACAGAACTTACAGTCAGGCAAAGAGGTAAATCCCTGGGAAAGACCATAAAACTCAGCTTTCTAGAGCCATGAATGCACATGTTTTTCACCTCTTCTTCTGAAGAGTCATAATAGTAATTTTAAATATCTATTTGCAGGTACTTAGCAGCAATACAATGCAAAGTGCATTAAGGGTAACTGCCTGTCTAAGAATTCTAAACACATGGTATATTATAGAATGCAGTTACTGATACATGTCAAACAGAGAGAGAATATTTGTGTTGCTATATATATCTAAATTCTCTAAATTTATTACATAAACAATACTACAATATTTCCATATATATTGTATATATCCAGAGGTTACTGATCAATCAGTTTGTTAGTACTTCAAATGTAAAGATGTATTTTCTAAATAAAAACAGGAAACAGTGCCCTCTAAAGGCTTTCTGGGTCATAAAATGTTATTAAGAGGTACTTTTATATAAGAGGGGACCTCTTGAAGCAGTAGTTATGAAATCACAGAAGTGAGTCTGTGCTTGAAGACGTGTTTTCCCCTCAGACATACATTTCAGTTCTGGACTTATTATTAGTTATAACTATTATTAGTTTTCTTTTATAAAAACTTTTTCTCAATGCAATCAATTAAGGCTGATAATGGCTAACCAATTCTTTTATTTCTTTATCTCTGGGCTTCCGTGACTTTCTCTAAAACTGTTAATTACCATGTTACCTAAAAGTAAATGTGGGAAATTACACCTAGGACAACAGAGCTAAACACAGCACTGCAGATTTTTGAGACAAATTAATTTGCAATCTGGCTCACTTCAGATCACTAATGGCTCCCTAATGGCACATTTTTATCCCTTCATTACTTAAGAGAGGTTTCCTATAACAACGGCACCTGTTTGCTATTAAGTTAAACATAATGTTGGAATAAATGCCACAGTTCTTTCTAAAACAATGGAGAACCCAAACATATTATCCAACCCCAAATGACACCTATCCACACCTAATGAAGGACATTCTCCACTTTTCCTGACTCAAAAGATTGATGTCTCTTACTCCCTTTATCTTCTAGCAAGAGAGAACGGTTTTAATTCAGATCCCCAAATAAGAATTATCTCTGTCAAAAGTAACATAACTCTTATTGCTTTATCAGACTGCAGTCAGCAGGACTTGATTCTCATTATCTGTTTAAACCACGTACTGATTCTCAGTATTACTATGGGCTCATTTTCCTAGCCATTAATAATTTATGATTTAAATAATTTAGAATCTAAAAAACTTAAGAATTTGCCTCCTGGCAAGTTTTGTATATTTGGGTATATAAATTTTAGAAATAAACAGATAGGTATATCTGTCATTCACAATCTTTAGTCATCTAGCCACACCACCAAAGTTACTCTAATCCTACAGTTTTTATAAGTTCTGTGAATAGTTCTAATGAGGGCAAGAGGAAGAAACAGAGTAATGAAGGATAATTGTTAACTGAATTATTTAAATGAAATCTTCTTTAGGACAATGCCACAACTCCTCTTCAGAGCTCCAAGGTCCTTGTAAGTGCTTTGTACTTCGCTCCACTGTTATTGCAGACCCAGAATAAAAAGCCTTTATGGACTGACATATGGTTTCTTTTTTTTTTTTCCCAGCCATCTTCTCGTTAATATTGGTTAGCAGCCTATCCCTCCTACTCCCTGTTTAGTTGACTTTCAGGAAAAATTGAATAAACAAAATATTTTCCCATTGGGAATCAAGTAAACAAAACATTTTCCCATTGGGGAGTGGCTTTACATATTAAGACACAGTGAAAATGCAAGTCAGGGTTGTTCTTGACATTTAAATCAGGGAATGGTTACAACAAAAGCTGACTACATGCATGGTCACAACTGCAGAAGCCACAAAGCACAGTGGTACACAGATGCCTCCTGAGAAAAGCTGCAGTGGCAACAACTTTTTGGTCAACAGATTTTTGAACAGCAAGATATTGACATAATATACTTTAAGATCTGTACAGTCAGAGGTGGAAGGAAATTAAAAGGCAGAATTCTCTCTTTAATGAAGTAGTTCTTTAAGCAAAACAATCTAAGTATTTTTCTGACCAGAAGTGTTTTGAAACAAGTGATTGTTTCAGCATTAAAATGAAAAAACATCCCCCATCTGACCTCTAAAAACCAATGACCTAGTAGAAAAAAAAATTATTAAGAAAGTATAATTTGAAATTGTAATAAAAGAATTTTATCTTTTCCTAGATGGTTGGGGTTTTTTTCTCAGAGCAACTGAATAGCCATGCTGAGGGTTGACTCCATTTTTTCTGTCTCACTGTTTAGAAAATGGGAGAGCCACGAAAGGAACCAATAAAAAAACCTCCAACATTTACTTACCCTACCAAGATTATTCCTCACTTTGCCAGTTGAAAAGAAGACATAGTTTTGCATTAAAAACACAGAGCTTACCTTTGCACCCAACTCATTATATTGCAACTTCAAAGCTGTAAGCCTTTCATCCAGTTCCTTGGGGTTCTCCGTCTGCTGCTTCTGAACAATCTGCCTCCCAGTTTTTATTACTGTTTCCACTTCAGACTTCACCTCACTCAGGTTTTTATATAATTTCTAATCAAACAGAAATATAAAAATGAAACACCACCATTAAAATATGAAAACTAGAAAAGACCATTGAAGGTATTACAAAGGCACACTTTGCATTATTTGCTGTATAAAAGCACCATCATGGACGAGCACCTTCCACTCCCACTTGAAAGTTAAAGGAGTTGGCCTGATGATAGAGAAAACTCACCCTGAGTGTGAGTGTGTATTAAAAAAGTTTATAGGAAAAATTAATTAATTTCTAAACCAGATCCAGAATAGCCCCTCTTTACTAAGAGTAACCTCGAATTAGGCCATTAATTACACATAAGAAAGTATATACCATTACTAATTGTTTTAAGATATGAAAAAGGTTGTTTTCAAACTGATTTAGATAGTGCAGTATTTAAAACAACAACAGATGTATTCTGTCAACTCATACAAATTGTTGGATGTATTTGAACTACAAATAGTCACAATTTTAAAATCTGACAGTTTTTCATATTACTAAATCAAGAGACTGGAAGGATAGAGGATTACTCCTACATTTACTAAGTGTTATACTGTTAAAAAATTAATCAATTGAAAAAACTAAATAAAGAAGTAACATAATGAGGTTAATGTAAAATATACAATTCATTGCATTTTCCTCCACTATTTCAATTAAAAAGCATAAATTAAGGGGAAAACAGATGTTCAGTAGGTGATGGCATGCAAGCAATCTGTAAACACAATATATTTTCCTAACATTTCAACTGAGTGATAATAAGAACAACAAAGGGGTTCTTTCTTTCCATATGCAGAAAATTGGTATCTTTATCTAAATGTATGACTTGGTGACTCAAGTCATTTAACAGCCTCATAAAAGGCCAATTAACAGTCACGTAAATAAAGCAGAAATTAAATTTATTTTTCTTTTTAGTCTAAGAATAAATTCTGCCACAGCTTGGAAACACCACTAAAGTTCACAATGAAAAAAGACTCCATATAGATACACAGTGTCCATTACCACACAGATATGTGAAGAATTGCAAATATGAAGCTGTTGAGAAGTTCTATTTTTGAGATGTTTAGCTTAAGTCTGTGTTCCAGCATTTTGCAATCAAGTGTTAGAAAGTAAACTTACTGTCCTGTGTACTTAGACAAAACTGCAAAATAAATGACACTGTACTTTTTTAATCGTTATTTTTTTCTAGCTTTTCTTTAAGTAGCAATATCTCCCACTATGTAAAATCTGTATCTAGCATGTCTGGGCAGTAAAGACAAGACTTTTTTTCCAGCAGATCTGAGAAAAACAGCCAGAACAGTGCATTTCCTCCATAATCTAAAGTTAACTACCAAGACAATTCTTAACACGGTTAGCATTTTATTTACTTAAAGGTAGTATGTATATAGTCCAACTGCCTTCTAGGTGCTTAATATGATAAATATATTTTTCATCACTGAAAACCTGTCAGCAAATTAGGAATATGTTGTATGACCCATATTGTCTAACTTCTGATGACATATTATGTACGACTAGATTTTTAAAATAGAAACATTATGAGAATCTTTGCAGATAAAGATACTCTAAAATCACTGCAAGTCTTCCACAAAACACGTCAGGGCTGCAAAAGCCAGCTGCTGAGTGAAGACTCTTTAATTCAGTACAGAGCTTCTAATTACCATGTCATTCTAATAAGAATGTGAATTTAAGAGCAATTGCATTTAAGAAAAACCCAAGACGTAAAGAAATAACATTGACGCATCCCATGCTTATTTTTTTAATTTAAGTTCTTTCTTACATTTACATCTGAAAGAGGTTGAGAGGGGAAAAAAATTCTTCAGGCATGCCATTGCCCCAAGAAAAAACAAACCCAAAAACCAGCAAACAAAACCCTTCCCCACAGCCCTCCTAGCTTAAAGAAAAAAAACCCAGCTGATTTTTGCTGCTAAAATATCAATTTTATTATCATCAAGCACATAGTGCTCACCTTTAGCTTTACTTCCTTTCAAGAGTAAGGGGTTTCAGGATTATGGGGATATTAAAGAGATATGCAGAGATTTTCCTCATATTCTTTAGGACACATTCAGGTCATCTTTAGCTCTTGAACTGTAAAATAGTCATAGCATGCCATCTCATGGAAGCTGTATTCTATGGTTTCCATTATGGTTTGTGTTTCCTGGCTACAATAGACTTGTGCCCTGCAGCATCTCTTTTGGTTACATCACAGGGTCCCGTGAATGTAGAATATTGTGGAAAATAGAGCTAATCCAGGAAGATAAACTCATATGCAAGATGGGAAGCGGGAATTAGTGGGATCCCAATTGACCTTCTCGCATAGTGAAAGTGCGTGACTATTGTTTGAAAGTCCACTGAAATGAGAATTGTGTGTGTGTAACTCATACTTTGTTTCTAATCCTGAATTAAGGACAACATTCTATAACTTTCAGCTTTCTCTGCATAAATCCAACAGCATCTTTAAATATTCACCATGCAATGATCCAACTGTGATTGTACTACTTCCTGCTCAACACTCTTCGTCTCCAACTTGGGCACCTGCAACTTCACTTCATCTAAAATTCTTTTACACTCCTGTAGGCGCTGTTCAAAGTTGGCCGGCTTCTGGAACAAGCGGAACTTCATGGAGACATCCTGCAGCTTTTTCTGAAAAGTAAACATGGGGGAGCAGGAAGTGTGAAATCAAGTCTTAGTCCTGTTTCAGAATTCTTAGACCCATTATCAGACAGAAGTTTCTTATTTAAAGAGTTTAAAAATTTTGAGGAAAATGCCAGTGGCAGAGAATCCTGGTCTTCACCAGAGGATAAAAAATCTTGCATCCTGCAGAGCACCGGATGCAGCAGGGCCCATATACACAAATAAAGAAAGGGAGAGGCTTTGTATTTTTCAATACGCAAAGTGTTGGGGGGTGTGAGGAGAAGAGAGATTTATTAGATTGAGCATAAGACATCCACATTGCAGACTGAAAGCTCATCAACAATATCACTTGATGCTTCCTGGTATGAGGAATGAATCTTTTAGTCCGTCAAAGAAACCCAAATAAAGTTAAGTAGGTCTAGCACAAAATCTGAGATTTAGAGTATAAAATTGATTTATATTTCAATTTAAAAAAGCCTAACCTAGAGTAAAAAGAAAGTAATTTGAAGGCAGAAAAATCTGTGACAAGCTTGGCCTCTAATTTCACAATTTTCACAATTTGTTATATTTGTGCATTAATTATATTGCTTGCTCACATGATCCCTACCTCAGGGGGAGGGGAAATAATTAAAAATAAAGAAAGGGCATTTTAATTATCTACTTGAAAAAGAACTAATTTCTCTGTAGAAGTACAGAGTAAAGTATTATTGAAAAAGTTTTTCAACTCTTTGATTAAAAAAAAAGAAAGAACAAACATCATTAAGAAATAGATAAGTAATTACATAGGAACTCAGCATTTGCAAACACACGTGATTTTTTTTTACCTTCAAATTCTGGACACTTTATTCCACTACAACGTGGTCTGTACTATACAAATTCAAGAAAAAAATCTAATAAGGAACAGAATCAGTTTATACCTAGGCATTAGTAAAATCGCTTCCCACATCCCTCAGATTTCTGAGAAGGAGGCAGGAACCATGAACAGGCAATTTTGGGTACCACAGGAAAGGGTGTAGATATCTAGCAACGCCCTCCAACAGCTTTCCTCATTAAATATGTTTTATGAAATTGAGGTCCAATGAGGTAAGAAAGGAAGGCTTTCTTTAGATAAATAAGTGAATGATTGAATAAAAATAGGAAAAAAAGGGTAGAAATAAGAAGTCTTATTTTTTTTTCAGTGTGTTTGCATACACTACATTCATACGTAATTAGTTTTTCATCCTCTTGTGTCACTTCAGTTTGATAAAGATCAAGTTCTGTGGGAAGTTTGCATTGCCACATCTGTTTGTTACAATTTGTGTTGGTCAATACATTGAAAATGATTTAAAGGGAGAATGACAGAGAAAATTAAAGCCATCTGTGAAGAGTCACTGAAGACTTGCACAGTACTGAGGATCTGTAGGAAAAAACAAGCAGATTATTTTGAGTTCACCCAGAAATTAAGCAATGTAGAAGAACACTAAGCTCTATATGCAATTGGGATCTAAATTATCTTTTAGCACTCTCATTTAAGTTCTAACAGATAAATATACTAGCTAGATTTTGCAGTAATATTTATGTCCAACAGTTTTAAAATAATATTATCTCAATGCTTACAAGTAACAAAACAAGCAAAGTGGGTATTTGGAATAATTTGGAACATAAGGAAAACAGAAATTAAAATACCTGTCATAGTATAAAAGTCATTGTATAAAGCTAAGCTGTTTAGTTTTCATCACCCTGTTTCGAAAACATCTCAGAAACAGAAAGTTTAAAAGAAGAATGACAGGACAATGAAAGCTGTTTATCTAGAGGTCTCAGTATGATTTAACACAGTCATTCTAGAAAAGAGCCAACTGAGTATGAGTAAAATTAATTGTATGCAAAAGGTTGACTTGCAAAGTACTCAGTACTGAATTTCCAAAAATAGCCATTCCTTAGAAAAGATCTCATTTTCATGAAACAATTCTTAATTTATTATGACTAACTAAGAATTATATCACTTTAGCAGAAGTAGATTTTTATAGATATTTATAGATATTTATGTCAAATTAGAAATATTACTTAGTGCCAAAAAAAAGGCATTCGTTATGCGTTTCTAAGTGAGAATGCTCTTTAGAAAATAGATCTTTTGAAATGTGTTTTACCACTAAAGATACTGCATGATGATAGAAAAGAATTCAAGAGAGTTCACTGGCCTAAAATCAAATATAGTCATAAATATTTGTAACAAAGGGCTCAGCTTTTACATGTTTTGCTAGTTGATATTTACATTATGCCTGTAAATTTACTACTTTTTTGTTTATATTTTATCTAATGTTAGCAAAACAGAGTCCCAAGATGACCCTGCCAATTTGTCAAAACTCAAAATGGTGCATATCATCATCTAGAGAAATCTTACAAAGAAAAAAATATCTGCATAGAAATGGATTATTAAAAAAAAAAAAGCACCTAGAAAGGGTAATGCTCCCTTGCATGCTGTTGAATTTATAAACATTTAGATACACAGTCATCTGATGCCTCCATTTCACTGATGAAATATGGGCAACTTCACAGCTGCAATGGAGACCATCAGAAGCTGACTTAGTGTAAAGGAAGACAGAAAAATATGGAAACATAAATATTATCAGCAAAGAAAAGCTAGTCTTGTAGCTAAGATGAAACATTAAAAAATCAATTTGTTAATTTCAAATTAATTAACTGCTAAAAAGTTTAATGTTATCCATAATAAAAAGATAAAACTGAAACAAAGATACTTAGAAATATTTGACAGAGATGAAGAAAAAGATGGCCATAATAAAATTATTTTTCCTAATGAATGATGTCAATTTGTTTTGCAGCCTGAGGAACTTTGGCACTAAGGTCAGAAAAAAAAAAAGACCGCAAAATAGTCAAGAACCCACCACTAATGGGTAAAAATATGTGTTTTTCTTTAGTGTTAATTCAGTCTGTTTCAATTTCAAGCAGGCCTCTCTATGCCTTTTAAGACAGACAAAATAATGCATTAGCTAACATTTTAATCTGTCGTCTGCATTGCACTGCTCAGCATAATTTGTATGTCAAATGTAGTCCTACTAAATATTTCCAAATATTTTAACACTTTTTTTTTCCCACTGTAAATATTTCCAAATACCTCAAAAGGTATATCAAAAAGCCTCACTGTAGTTTTATTTCTTGCAACTGCAGCAAATTTAAAACACCCCTTATTATACAGTGTCCCTACCAGTTGGTTATGTCACCTCTGTGCACCCTACAACTGTTGCCAACTAGGCAGGAAGTCTGCAAGATAAAAAATGAGCAGTAAGAAGATATGGATGGTTTTGTCCACTCTAATTTTCTGGCTGGAAAGGAGCAGCTAATACAGAAGGGACACCTTAAGAATACTTCACACTGCAGTAACAGTACTACTCATGCTGGTACTGAAGGAAAAACAGAGGAAATAAAATTTGTATACCTGTGCCACATCAATTTGGGAAAGCACTCTTTTGGCAGCATCTTTACCCCGGTTTCGTTTCTTCATTTCTTCCAAACTAATCTCATGGCTTGTTAATTCAGATTGTATTTTCTGTTGGAAAACAAATATAGCAATCAGCAGGGCTAGAAGGAAAATTTTATGTTGTTAAAATTATTTGGAACATTTCATTTTTAACCATACTAAACAGCAGTACTGGACTATATAGCATTGCCAGCAGGTCAAGGGAGGTGATCCTGCCCCTCTACTCTGCCCTGCATCTGGAGTGCTGTGTCCAGATCTGGACTTCTCAGTACAAGAGAGACATGGAGATCCTGGAGCAGGTCCAGCAGAGGGCTAAGATGATTAAGGAATTCAGGATAGGTTTCTTTTTTCCGAAGGAAACCAAGTTTTCATTGATAAAAAACATTAAAAATTAATCATAGAAAAAATATATAGAAAATTGATTTGCTTCACTATTCTTATTTCTTCTTATTTTCACAGTATCACCAGACAAGTTGGGAGAAAACTGATTAAGGTATCCTGTAGGCATAACATCATCTCAGAGAGCTGTGTTATATCTAAAACAGTATACAAATTGTGGTATAATACTAACCAGAATCTATGTTCAGTACCTGTATATATGCTAAATGTATAATGACCTGTAGTTCATTAACATAATAGCTTAATCCATTTTCTAACACACGTTTCTGGTTATCTCTGTCTGCAAAATCAGTGAGTGATCACAAGAAAAATATCGGCTTTTTTAGTTCACCATAAATCAATCTTACAAGAAACAATTAACTTAAGCAGTGTTGGCTAGTGCAATGTAATGGAAAAGAATTCCCACAAAGTATATTGAAACAGTATAATTTAGGATGATTCACATATTTTTATGTTTAAACTGTTGGAAAATAAGAAACTGTCATTAGCAGAATTGTTAGACAGCACAACTGAGAAATATTACCCTATGAAATAAAGACAAGGTATGTTCCCACCAGGCCATGCATTTGAGGCCATTACTCCTGCATTAAAAAATTATTTTAGATTTAATAATTTATTTTTTTCTATGCAGCATTTTTCAGATATTCTGAAGACTAGCTATAGTTTTAATCATATACACATACTTTTATCTTACACTACAGTAACTTTCATAGTAAAAAAATAGTAAAAATACATGTATTTTTAATCATATTTTTGTAGGTTAGTACGTACGAAGCTGCACACACTGTATGCTGTCTACTTTATGGGGATATTACGTAGTTATAATGACTTGTATACCATGTATTCCAACATTATACTGAAAGCAGTTTTTCACAAGTTATATGGAAAATGTATTAAAGTTTTAGAGAAAAAGACTCACAAAAATACAGAAAACTATTAAGTCTAAGTTTAATTGCAAAAATATATTTATGTTTCTAAATTATCAGTACTATTTAGAGAATTAAAATATTTTTCTGAAGCAAAGTATTTGTAAAAGCAAAATGACTAAAAGGTAACTCCCAATTTAAAAAGGTGCTTGAATTTTAACAGGATTATCTTCCATTTTTGTGTGGCACAAGGACCAAATTAGTTGTGACAGCATTATTTAGTACCTCAAGCCAAGTAATTTCTTGATGTCTTGGAAGTTAGAAACGTATATAAAAGGAAGAAGCAAGTCTGAATGTCAGAAAAAAATATCCATATCACATCCAGTATTTCAACAGTTTGCTTCTGCATTTCATCAACTAACTGATTTTTGGTTGTATTTTCCAATTTACTTTGTTCAACCTCAGTCACTCTGGAAAGCATATAATTGAACAGTTCTTATCTGAATAGGTCAGAACAGCACAGTACAGATAAGAGTGGTGTTTAAGCAATTAGGTATTATGGGACATCGCAGGGAGATTGTTCTCTCTTACTTTTTTAAATTGCTCTGCAGGAGAGAGATGAAGCATCACCTACTCTGACATCAAAATGCATAATTGTAGAGAACAAACACATTAGAGGAAAGATTAAAAGAAAAGTTAGTAAGGCTTATAGCAAGAAGACATTTCTATTTTTTTGTTTGCTATTGCTTCTCACAGGTAGAAAGAATAAATTGGTCCTGAATAGATGTAAAAGAATTTGACACCTGCCAAAAATGCCTATTTGCATTCAGTTTTGACATAATCATTTTGACTTTTTCATCTCTTTATTTTATTTTATTGACTTCTTCTAACATCCACAAGAAAACACTAGTTTTTTCCCCTGTTATCCCTTTCTCTGCTTTTCTCAGTGGTTCTTGTCTATTTCCTTTTTTTTTTTTTAATAAAGAGTAAAACCCACCTTCATTTAATTTCTAGAATATCAGAATATAATGTACTGTATAGAACCATGTAGCAGTGCACATAACTTTCTGTGTCCTACAGGTTAAGGGTAATCATTTTCCATCACAGGTAATTTTTCAGGAAATTTGCAAAACTTTTATTCATCTATCTATCTATCTATCTATCTATCTATAGAAAGCATATAGCACATACAGAAGATGATGTTATAGCATGAATGATATACATCTCATCATGAACCATATACTTAGTTATGGACACTAATTTTCAAGAAATATTAACTGAAGAGTCCAAATGAGAAAAGAAAATCATCAGAGGATAAAAACATGAATGACAAGGCAAGACTGAACAAGTTGGACATGAAAAATGCAGTCCATGCAGTTAAAACGCAGTGTTTAGATGCTGTGGATATGTGTAGTGTGACAACCTGTGTAGTACAGAAATCTGCATAGATATTCAAAATTCATACATAACAAAATGTAAGCTTACAATTCTGAATAGCACTTATCAGCTCTTCCCTCTGACCACTGATCCACACATGGCTGAACAAAACAATTGTCACAATTTCCAGCAGAGGAAAGGTAAGTGTAAACACTTTTAACATTTTTCTAAGTAGGTGACTGTGAATTATTTTTGTCCCAAAATATTAGTCTGAAGGCAAGGAAGCATGGCATGATTCTTGTCAGGTAACATATTGAACAACTGAACAATCCTGCCATTATATCATCACATTCACTTCTGTTTTGAACAAAGCACAACTGTATTTTAAATACAGACTAATAACAACCTTCACTTAGAAGTGCTTATCACTACAGAACTGGAATTATCCAAGGAGTTTATTGAAAAAACATTCGTGTTTTTCAAAAACGTAATATTGTTCAGTTAGTCTCCACACTGCATTTTACATAGGTCTACCAGAAGAATAACAGAAAAGTGATTTGTCACATGCATGTGAGAAGTGAAATAAGTTTATTTTCTCTCCCATAATAAAAATACTCACGTAGTCACTCTGACTAAACAGAAGTACATAGCAGAGATTCTCTCTCCCAACACAAGTTACTAAATAACAAAGCTGTAAATAATTATCTGGAAAATATTTTGTCATATAAATGTAATATTTTCAGTACAGATTTATTTTCTTCCTGTCAGTTAAAGAGTACCTGAAAAAAGTCAGCAACTGATAAATTCTTGTGATGATGACTCTTTATTTTCTTGGTAAGTTGAGAAATATTAAAGACTTCTGCTGGGATCATGAGATCAAGCATACAAAGAAATAATCTTTCCTTTTGGGATATTGCTTTATAATTTATCTCATTCCAGCTCTTTTTATCATCAGACCTCGAGGAATCTGAACTGATTTATCTGTGCGGTTGCTGTTAGATTGTTTTGTCTGCATACAGCATCTTTAGTTGTATTCCAAATAATTTGGGTAACTTGGCTCTCCAGCATTAAATTCTCAGTGCCACATGGTGGAGTAAGAAGCACACGGAATTTACATTCAAAAAGTGATCCTAAAGAGAAGTTGAACAGCACATACTTGACTCCCCTTTCCTTCTGTCAACTTTCTTAATAAATTAAACTGATCATTTCACTTAAAAAAAAAAGGAGCTAAATATAATTTTGTTTTTTCAGATACAATTCTGATCAGCTGAAACAGAGATAAATCCTCCCATCAACGCCCTAAACAGACCTGCATTTTTTGAAGCAAACACAGAGAGCTCCCAAACCCTCAGCAGCTCTCTGATTATAAATTCTCCCATATGTTCTTTTAGAAATGCAACACATAATGCTGAGCGGTTTGCTAAATCCCTCAGCATGGATAAACTGATCCCTGCCCAGAAAGCAACATCACTGACTGCAAGATTCCCGTTCCAGCGGCGCAGACACTATTGTAGGGTATCTTAGATGAATGGACTGCTTTCAGCTCTACAAAAGACCTGTGCCAGCAGAAGCTCCACGGGAGACGAGGCCATTCAGTCTGTGCTTATTCTGCCACTGGCTGCCACGGCTGTTTGCTAAAGGAATGACTCAGTGTATTTACCCACATAAAAATGATTGTTTATTCCCTTTCCCTCTAAGGATTTTAGATAACTTCACAACTGAACTTCAGAGAACTTCAATATTTGCATTAAATCTGTTCAGTTGTTAATTAAGTTTTTTTTTTCATTAGGTCTCACCGGCACCATAAAATCAAAACATGAAAGGGAAAAACTCAGCAGCCTCTATGCTGATTTTTCCCACAGTGGATATAGTACAATCAGGTGAACTTGACATCAGACAATAAAATCTCAAGAAGAAAACCCAACTTCTGCAAAAGCACTGAGCTGAAATTTTCCTATCAAAGTGTGCTAATTAAGGGTGAGTTTTGTGCTGCTTCACTTGTTGAAGTTCTGAATTACTTTCTTTTATACAGTCTGTAATCATTGCCAGTATTGTACCTGAGGATGCACATAAACCAAATGCATCCATGGGACATGGGAAACAGGCAAGGGTCCAAATACACCAGAAACAATAAAAAGCATATGTTCATAAAATTTCTTTATGTATTCACTTTATATAATTACAAGATGAGAAATTAAACTGATACATCTTTAACAAATGCTATTTTGTATCTTATTTAAAAAATTGTTTATATCATTCATATTTCAAGGAAGAAGAAAAATAATTCAAGAGAATCAGCTGGTAGCTAACATTATTTAGGATTCAAACAGAAACAATTTGCCTAAATCTGATCTTATCAGACTGAATGTGAATACAATCCTGTTTTCTAAATATAGCATTTGTAATTCATATATACACATAAAAATATCTGCATGTACCTACTAACACACACATACACACACATGAAAAGCAACTGAAAAGTCCACCTATCTATATCTTAATTCAAAAGACATGGTAACCCTTATTTCTTTAAAGGAGAGAAAAAAATATTTTCAGTGCTGCATATATTCAGCTCTGAATATATTTAAGATCATCTACTCCATAGAAGATATTCACTTTTTAGAATGATTTAAAACTCTATAGGCATGTCAGAAAAAACATAATTGAATGTTTTTTCTAAAATAATTATAAAACATTTGTTTTCAACTTCCTTCTGGCTTTTTTTTGCCTTTGTTTTACTTTTGTAATCTGACTGCTTAAATTTAGATGGAATTAACAGAAAAGTTCTTTTATATAATACTGCAGACTGTTGATATTTTTCCAGCAGAGATGTTTGGTTTTATTTTGTTTCTAGTCTTGCCCTTTCCATACTACAGTAAAGCAGATCTTATAGATGGTACAAAAGAGTAAAAATGTTAATTAGATGTACATTTTTATTTCAAAGGATGAATAAGCCCCTTTGAAGAAAGGGTGAATAAAAAATAAAAGCTTTTTCTATTGGACTTACATGAGTTGTAAAAATTTGAATATAAGTACCTTTATGTGCACATTATGAAATAATTAACAATGTTGTCTATGTTGCAATAATTTAGTAACAAACCCTAAGCCACACAATCACTTTTATAAAAGAGCCACCTAAGAGTAGTGAGGATGATGAGTCTCTTCTTTCAAGAATGGGAACTGGATTTTAAAGAGTCACATTTTTTATCCTAGTCATTTTAAATTTCCTGCATACCCCTCCATGACATTTATAGCTCTTTGCATCTTCTGGGCAGGTATATAAATCAGAAGGAAGATATGACTTTACTAGAAGAGTAGCTTAAACTTCTCAAAGTAATCCTACACAAAATTTACTTGCACTTTCTTACTGATCATGTTGCAAATCCTCCTTAATAAGAGGCTGAGAGACAACCAAACACCAAACACTCTCTGGTTGATTAAGAAAACTAGTAAACACATCAGCTCAACCTGTATATACCTTACCTGTGCTTCCTGAGGGACCTGTGCTGCATCCACTCTGTCTGCAGTGTAGGCTGTCAGCTGTTTGTCAATAACAGCGAGAGACTCTTGGATTAAGCGCAGGGTTTTGTCAGTCTCCTGTGCAGATTGAATACTCTGTTCAAGACTTTTCTGTCTTCTCACGGCCTAAAAACAATGACAATGTTATCAGTATTCACAGAAATAATGCATATAATACATTTTTCCCCACACTTTTTTCCCAAAAATTCAGGCAAAGAATCAAATATAGGACTCCTGGCTTGTGCTCATCCACCTTTCTGTAGGACAAATTGCGCATCTTTTTGCCACCCATTCAGTTCTCTTGGTAAGAAACAAACAAACAACACTCAGATTGCATAGACAAGTTCTAAAAAATGTAGGATCCTGAAGAGCCAATGCATAAACTGAATACAGAGTGCAAGTTGGCAAAGCTGCATAATAAAACCACCCTGACAGTGCTCTCTTTCTTTCTGAGGCAGAGAGGTCCTCCTGATCTTATTATATAATTCAAGAGACTTTGTTTACTGAGAATAGGGTTACTGTCATCACAATCTCATCTGAGGCAATCCACCTCAGTAAGTGAGAGGGATAAAGACTCTCTTGAGATGGACTTCTCTTATATGAAGTACAAATAGCTGTTTGGAAAAAGCAATGCCTACTTTTTTCGTCCTGTGGGTCAAAAAAATTAAAAAGTTGACTTTTGCTTCTACCCTACCAGCAGTGTCACCATGGATTGTCTACCACAGTCTTTTACACAAACCTTTTTTGGAGAAGGATGCTTTCCTTTCAAAGGAGCTCAGTTTATGTTTCAACAAATCAGAACAGTAAATTCTCCTTCCAAGTTGTCCTTTGAACACACATATATTTAAGCGCTTGAAATAAATGAGTCAGCTTTAACTACTATTTGTAACAGTTTAATATGGCATTTAGCAGGTAATAAATAACATATTACTTTCTTCCATCTGTCATTGTGTCTACCTGCAGACCCATATTCTACTCAGACCACAGCAACTGCCTAAGTAGAGTTTCTGCTTTATACAAAACACACAGTAATTACGAACAATCTCAAATGCAATATAGTTTTTCTCTATACAAGTTCAGCCACACTGCTGACCACAGAATAAAGTGACTAACTTTCTTTGACATGAATCAAAGGAGAAAGGAAGCACTCTTTAAATAACATTTCCAGGTGTCTAGCCATTTTTCAAGTCAAATCGCTCTTTTTCTCTCTGGTGAGCAAGTTATACTTTAATTTGATTTCATACCTATTAAAACTCTTGCCTTGAACAAAAATATCTCTCAGCACTTCAGTGAGAATATTTGATATATCTGTACCTTCTTCATGGAGCTCAGATTCTTCTAGAGCTTCACATGTAACAAATGAGAAAGATTATTTCTTGTGAGCATTCTTGCTAGCTATTTGACTTAGTTAAGGGATAGGGATCCAACCAGTATTTTCTATATCTGTTGTTGTAAGCTGCTTTGTGCTATTTCAGAACAACTGATCAGATAATCTTGTATCACTGCCAGTTCCAGGAACCTTCTGGGGAACTGAGCAGCTTTACATATCAGACTCATGCTGTCAGTGTTAATGGGAGCACCTAAGCCACCAAGGTATTATTACCCTACTAAATGAACCATTAAAACAGTGTAACTTCACAATACAGTACTAACACATGCTACTTAAATGACTTTTATCTTCATCTGATTTGAGATTCTTATATTAATGTTCTCAGTCTGTCCAAAGCAGTGAGTTCAAAAAACCACAGATGAACTTAAAAAACACAGCCTTCCATTTACCTTGGCACTCATTACTATCAATTTGTAAGCCTGGCTAAGATACTCTCTATCAATCCATTTGCGTCACTATACGGTAGTTCGAAAGTCTCATTAAATCACAAAACAGGATAAGTAGCTTTCTACAGCCCATAGGTAACCTCTCTCTGTCTTTACTGATCTCTGTGGTCAACTGGTAGGACTAACATGCAAAAGTTCCATTCTTATGAGTCATTAAAATAAGTGCCTGTGCTTTCTGGAGAATTCAATATACTGGACACAAATTTGATGTTAAGTACATCTGAAAAATTATTTTTATAGCAATATCTGAAGCTTTGAACCCCTCTTAAATGCTGACCCATGCTAACTACTATTTGCAACCAGGGAATTGCTTAAGTACAGGTATATTTGCTGCCAGCTTCAGAAGCAGACTGCAGGCATGCAATGAAGTAGTGGAGTGCATGTAAATTCACAATGTCTTAAAACTGTATGACAAATATACAGTGATGAAAGATTGTCATCTCCGTGCTGATATCAGCATACGTCTATGAAGATCCCATTTTAGAATACAACTGGAAAAAGTATAAAACATTCCCATAATGGATCAAATATTAAAAATGATAAAGTTAAGAAATCATTCCAACAAATGCTTTCCGAGTGTGGCTGAATTTTTACAATTGGATTTCAAACAAATACGAAGTCAGATAATTATATATTCATGCTTATGATATTTTTATGTGAACACAACACACACAAAGACAAAACATTAACCTTTCATTGTCCTCAGAGAGAATTTGATTACAGCCTGAGAACTTGTGTGACATTTTGTACCTTCTAAGTGAGGTGAAAGTATGTTTTTCCCAAAGCTGTGAACAGTTGAGGTGGATGGGTGATATCAGGCCAAGATGTGAGTGCAGTGGTCAAAGAGGGGAATTATTTTTGCAGCGGGAGAAGAGCCATACAGTCAAATGCTGGGAAATGGTACCTTTATAGTTGAGATGATTTTCTCAGATATAAACAGCTGCTGCTTTAATTTGCTGGAGATAAGCATCAGAATGCTTTACAAAAAGGGGCAATCATACTATTCACTTACATCTGTGAACCTGAGTTTCAAATTTTTCCTTGAAACTCATATGTCTGTCCATCTGAAAATCTATATAAGCGTATTTTTTAAGGAAAAGTGAGAGTTGAAATTTTATATACTGTAATACAAAAATATTTTCATTTATGATGTTCTGGGTGGGTGTGTGTTTTTTTGTTCGTTTATTTTTTTCATGAAAGATTATCATTCTATTTCCCTGCAAAACAAATAGATGGTTTAACATCACAGTGTATAAATGGGACACAACAAGAAGCTCTGGCTCTGCTATCATATCATAGTCAATAAAGCTGAAGGCTCTGGTCTCTAAAGAGAAGTGTCTAACAATTAATTGCTAAATAGAAAATCTCAGGAAAATAACCAACTGTTTAATTATTTCTGAGCCAGTGGAATGTTGACAGCTGTCAAGGAAAACAAAATCAAAGGGAAAAACCCCCTGCTGTTAGGCACTATAAGAATGAAAGATAAAAATATTTAGGGAATTTTAAGTCTATACAGGTTTTTATAGTTTTTCAGTTTTTTCATTATAAATGTAACATTTTTTATGATATGAGATATTTTATAAACCTGTTTAAAATTTAACAAAGGTCAATGGCAAATGCAGGAAATAGTAACATTGCATATTACCTATATAAAATACCATCCTAAGGGAAAGGCTGCACTGAGAGGTGTTCGAAAAAACAGGAAAACTGAAGGTGCTCAAACCTTATGAATGCTTATGACTATAGTTCATTCCTTGATGTTGAATATTAAAAAGCTCCATTTATAGACATTGCCACTTTTTGCTTAAATAATACATTTCATGTATTTAATGACATTAGTCACACACACAGTTACTAAGATGTTGGTTAGAATTTTGTGGTTAAAATCAAGTAGTAGTAGTTGTGCTGTGGGAGAAAAATTGAACACAACTTTTTTGAAAATTATAGTACTTTTACCACAGGGCATATTTATTCTGAATGCAGAAGAAAATTCATTAATTAGCTTTTAAGATACAGTTCAAGCTCATGGAAAATAGTCCATTAAGAAAGGCAGAAATGTTAGTTTGGTTTGTTTGTTTGTTTGTTTGTTTGTTTTTGTTTGTTTGGGTTTTTTGTTTGGTTTGTTTCTTTTTGTTTGTTTGTTTGTTTTCTCCCTCAGTTTTGGGTCTCTTATTATTGAGATATAACTTTACCACACGGTAAAGTCAAAAGGTTAAAAGTTAGGAAACTTTAAATTTCTTCTTTACTTTAAAATTTAACCTGATTCTTGGTGTCATAATGGTTGTGTCTGAGATATATTACAACCTCTCTGTAAGCCATTCATCAAATTGTTAATATGTTAATCTCTGATTTTGTTTGGAATCAGAGTTGATTAGAGTTTGTGTTTAGACATATTTTTTTTTAAATTCAAAGCATTAATTTTGGACCCAGGAATTTTTAATATCCTCCCAGTTAGAACTAATTCTGCAAATTCCAGGAATATTTCACAATGTGCTTTTCAAGAAAGTGCCTACAAGTATTTGATCTTTCATCCATTAAGTTACATTCATCTTTGATCAACTGTATTCCAAAACAGCAAACTATACCTAAGAGGACTTCTATATCTCTTTAGTTATCACTGCAGACACATAATGCCTCAGAACTCCTAAAAGGAGCCCGCTTAGCAGCCTTCAAGGCAATCACACGGAGATGGGGCATGAAATACCCTTTCTCCTCTTGAGAGGAGGACACAACAAAAAAATTGTGTCAAATGATGAATGTGTGCTCTTTGAAAGAAAAAGAAGGCAATTTTCAGGGGAGTCCTAAAAGAAATGAAGAGACAGCACCCAACAATAATAATTGAATCTGGTGTAAAGCCATCTGAACAATAATGTTTTGTACAGGTTTCTCAAGAATATCTGATTGGCATTTTTGAAGTTTGCTGGACAGGATATAAATCACTTTCATCATTGCAGGGGATGATAGCCACTTGCAGTATTAGCTTCAAATTCTTCAATGCTTCTTAGCACCACATATAGAGTTGTAAGTGAATCAGTCCTTGAAAAGTAACTATAGGGTATCCATTGCTTATCAGTCATCCTCAAATGTTAAAAAGCAAACTAAATACACTGTCTTTGTTAACTAAGGAAGATAAGGCATACAAACATAAAGCCATTATCTGCCTTGAAAAATGAATCTCTATCTCACTAGCAAAGCTGCATTGTCTTGCAGCATTATTCATATGGAATGTGGGTTGGTTTGGTTGCTCTATTACTAGTGAATAAATATTTCCCATATCAGTCTCTGCCCACATGAGCTTATTGTCTTGGTAATTACCTGCACAATTATTCAAATAAAACCAAATAACTTCATCACATTAGGATAGCCCATTAGCCTGTCTGAAGTAGAAGTGACCTTGAACACGAGCTGAATTGTGTTATGTGCCTGTAATATATTTTTATGCAAGAAGGATGTACGCTGTTTGGATTTCAACAGACTACATGAAGAGTACACAAAATTCAGTATCAGGAACCTATGCAAAAAAAGGGGTTTTCTACTTCAGAGTCAGATCTCACCATTAGTATTTAATTACTAAATATCAGATTGAGCTTTCAAATAAGCTTTCAAGGAAGCCTTGCACCCCAATACTTAGGCTATATTTGGAAAAACCTGGAAAGCAGTGAATAAATTTCTAATATATTTTGCTTATATATTCATCCAAATTATTTCCAGAATTTCACACAACATCTTCATGTTGTACTTTTCACAGCTTTCATGGTTTTTGATTTAATGCCTATGATACTGATGACTGAATAGTATTCAACCATCACTCAGCAAGACTATTCGAACTTCACGTTTTCACAAACTGGAAGCCTCCTGTTTTCTCCTTCAAATTTTCTCAGTTTTTTCCTCCAAGTCAGGAAAAAAAAAAGAAATACTAAGAACCAGAATTCCAGGAAGTGCATCTGCTTTTAAACAGGAGTGGGATGTTAAAAAAAAAAAAAAGGAGAAAAAAAGAACAGGTATACAGAAAGTTATATTTACTTTTCTGTTATGACACCATCCAGCTACATGGAACTATGTGAATGATGTTTGCACTGCACCAGAACTACCACCAGGCTCTTTTCCTCCCCGTCCTTCAAATTTATTCTCGGAGCAGCTGAGGACACTCCCTTAGTTTTTATTGTAGTGTTTTTACTTCCACTGTTTTCAAGAACAACTATATTTCAAATATCACAAAAAAAGCAGACAATTTTTCATTGTCATGGTAGATTGTTATCATTCTAATACAGTGGCTTTCCAAAAATCCTTACTTGTGTACCATTTACATCATTGTAACTGAGTAATTTTTTACCATCTTTGAACATGGTCTGGTTCCAATCATAACAACATTGTATCCTTCACTAGGTCTTTCCTTAATAATTTCTTTCTGATCTTTACCAAGGACTGAGCACCTTCCTGATACTTCTAGCATATTGACAGTTTTGATTCTCCTTGTGCTAAACATGTTTCTATATTGAAGCGTCTTTATAAAATCTTTCATTGATACAAATACTCTTATTTATTGTTTAGTAAAAAATACATCTTTAAGAGATGTTACTCATATTTAATTTTGAAAATAATTTGCTTCTTGACAAGAGTTTTGCCAGAGAAATCATCTCTAAATATGTAATTGAAGATTAAATTCACTTCAATTTTGCAATTTTAGTGTTACCTATTTTACTGGGTTTGGTTGGGACTGAGCTAATTTTCTTCACATCAGCCCATATGGTTCTGCGTTTTAGATTGGTGGTCAAAACAGTGTTGACAACAGAGGGATGTTTTAGCCATTGCTGAGCAGTTCTCTCACAGTGTCCAGGTCTTCTCTTCCTCACTCTGCCACTTCCAGTGAGCAGGTTGGGGTGGACAATGGCTTGGAAAGTACACAGCCCGGACTGCTGACCTGAACAGACCCAAGAGAGATTCTGCTCCACACAGAGTCATGCTCAACAATAAAAGGAGCTGGGGGAAAGTTTTTCAAATTGCCATTGCTTGGAGATTAGTCTCCTGGGGGCGATTTGTTCTGTATCACTTGCTTTTCCCCTTTTGTTCTTTCACTTATTAAATTGTCTTTATGTCAATCTGTGAGTTTTCTTGCTTTTTTTCTTTTTTATAATCTCCTCCATTGCACCAGGAGACATGGAAAAGGAGCAAGCAGCCATGTGGTGCTTTGCTACCTACTGGAGTTAGCCCACCACACATAGGCAAACCCCTTCTAACACAATTGTTAGAAGTTTACTGTTTAGGAACCGTACCAACAAGATAACTTTTTCTTTTTCTTTTTTTTTTTAATGGTGCTAGACTGTCCTCTGGAAGACAGGTCAGTTATTAAATATACCTGCTGCTGAAGTTCTTCCCATCGAGTATTGAACTTCTCAAGTTTCTCATTGATCAATTCATCCAATATTCCACCATCTGTTAAAGTCTGAGCCAATTCCCGAATCTGATTGCGATTATCTTCTGGATGTCTCATTAAACGTTCCAAAGACTGAAAAACGTCAAAAAAAGTAGTTTATTTTCCTTTTTGTAAATAACATTCTACAGAGCAATCATAATTTGCATTAAAAATGTAAAAAAGAAATTTCACATTTCATACACAATAAAAGTAGGGAAAAAAAGATAAAATACTTATGTCCCATGCCTTGAAAACAAATGTTCTGTACTAATTAGTACCAAACCCAATGATTTTTCAAAATGTAATAAATTGTCTGCTTGATTTTAAAATGTGGACTATGCTCAGTGAGTTCAGTGAAAGTACTTGTAGTACATATGTTGAATACTTCAATATGAAAAACTTGAGTAGCTAAATGGATTAAGTTCAACAGCAAAAACGGAATATCAATGCAACATTTTATATTTTGATCCACTAAAACCATTAACTTAATTTCTACAAATTTAAAAAATTTTAATCACTGTTTCACTTAGGTGGATTTGAATTCAAAAACTCATTTGTTGAATCAAGTGAGAACATAGGACTTTCCAAATATTCTCACCTTGTTCATACAGAATGTTGATTCATAGTTTGTTTAGCATGCCATATGATTTACAATTTATCAGTACATGTGATTTGGTATTATTTAAGACAGCACTTACATCTAAAGACTCAGAAATCTCTTCTGCACCTCCCTGGACATTTTCGGTTGCCTTGAGTTTCAGCTCAATCTCATTCAACCATTTATTCTCTGCATCCAAATACGACAATAATTCACGCCAACATGCCCATACCTCCTGATGAAGAAAACATTTATTGAGGTTGAAAATCTCACAGCTAACTTTCACGCATTAAAACAGTGAAAACAATCATGCTTTATTCCCAAAACAACATGGTTGATATCTGATGGTTATGGAGCCATATAGTTGTTTTTTTTTTCCCAATACTCATATGATCCAAACTAATATAAAACGCTAAACAGAATAAAACCACATAAGACAACAGGAAAAGTGAACACTTCTGCAAAACACAACTTGAATTTTCTGTCTCATGAATTATCCGCTTTATATGTTTTCTGTAAAATTTTCTTACATAAATATAAAAATTATCAGAATTTTTAAATAACCATGTTTATGTCTTTATTATAAAATGCAGTTAGATTGCTTATTTATTCAATATATATTACTTACTTAAAGCACAGGTTCATAAAATGTCTAAAACCACAGCTTTCAAGAATTCAGACTGAAACCTCTATGGAAATTAATTTGAAACCACATTTAATGCAATTTATAGACCACTTAAGTGCTAGAGTACTAAACATAATGTTATAAAATGTTCTTTTCCCCTGGAATTAAATTATTGTCTAATATTTTATTTATACAGTGCCCGAAGATACTTAAATAAGCAGACAAAACCAGCACTTTATACACAAAAATGTTTAAACTCCCCATAAATCATCTTTTTGTTCTTCCTTTTTTTTTTGTTAGTAAAAGTTAAAATAATGTTATTGAAATACATTGTGCTCTTGGCAGATCAAGCTTTTCAGAGTGCAATTCATCTCACCTAACTAACTTAGCTCACATCAAATGTGTCTGATCTAGGAGGCAGTTATAGAGGGATAGATATTAGCATGCAACTGTACATCATCAGTGATCAGGGGAAATATAGATTACTAGTTTAGACTACACACCTAATTTCCCACACTGAAATTTAGATAAGATAAATTTTATCCTGATATATTATTGTCCTGTATGAGGTTAGTTAGTGCAAATTAGTTCACAGCAAAAAGCCCATACCTAATTCTCTGTGACTACTGCATAATATGCAAGTAGTCCTATGTCAAAAATCCACAATGGAGTTGGCCAAAAGGCAGGGTCAACTCAAAATGTGTGAGACATATTCAGTTTGCCAGCAGATCAAATGCTGTTCCCCTGCTGAGATAACACCACCTGTCCAGCTTCAGGATGATTCAGTCAAAATCCTTAACCATGGAGGAGAGAAGCAAGCCCAGAGGAGCTGCTGAAGACAACATCATAGGGTTGCTACAAAGCCAGATTCTTGGCTTGGTCTCAGGAGGAATAAGAACACTGAGTAGCCGTTCCTGCCTCTGATCTAAGAGTCATGTTTGAGGCTTCTCTTTTAACATGGGTCTCCAGCATATATGATTCTCAAAATAATTTTTTGTATGGCTCATAACATAGGGTATTTGGTACATGGCTCATAAAGCGAGGATAGCCCTGAGCTACTCAAGATCTCATATGATTATGTGCTACCTCACTGTTTTTGCACTTAGAAGGGCTATAAATACAATGACTGACAAGATATCCAACCTCCAAAGTCTTCCACTTTCCATTCAATCTGCTGCAGAGTTGCTGGTAGCTGGTAATCAGAACATCAAGCTCCTTTTTCAAAGCCTCATGGGCTGCAGGTGGAGCCTTTGCTATAAAATTATTAACAGAATCTGTAATAAGTTTCACTTTCACTTCTTTCTGCATGGCTTCCTCCTTTGCCCTCTGAAAGCAAAAGAAGGAAATTTAGTTCTCTAACTGTTAGAAGTCTCTGATAGAATTCTAGAGGAACAAAAACACCTCAAACAATCCTGCAACAACAAAACAAAACAAAACACAACGGAAGAGCCATTTTATTCCCAGACTTTCTGATATAATCTTGAATGCATCCAAAAAACTTTTGTTTCATTTCGTTGCCAATATACAATACTCAATACAATTAACATCTCACAACTGTTTAGTGTTCTGGAGCTCTCAGACTAGTGAAACACTTCAGTACTTTTTTTTCCCCCAAGAAATGCTCCAAATACCTTTGCCATCATAATTTGTGAATCACAAATGACAAAAAAAATCTGTTGCACAACAAATTCATGTACCCAGATTTAAAGGTAAAATCACAAACAAGGCAGAAGAAAGGAAAATATTCCTGAATGATTTTTCTCTCCTACTCACTGTCATTAACTTACATTTAAAGATAAATTGAGAAAATAGTTTTTCTCTAGTATATATTTCACACTTTTGCTATTTTCTCCCTTGCTATGCAGTCTCATTAATAAGATTTTCATATCTCACATTTCCTCTGAGTACTTACTCATGTCTGTGACTGGAATCATATCACTACTGGAAATGTAGTGATGTATACACAGTGTCATCAGTGTGTACAAGTCTTCATGAGAATTTATAATGAGAGCTCCCTGGCCCAAAAACATTAAACCAAAACCATATCCCTGGCAACTTTCTCTCTGGGTCTGAGGAAGTTGATGAACCAGAATAATTGGGATCAGGCTGCCATTGCCAGAAGAAGTTTACTAGGTTGCTCTTGGCTTTCAGCTTTCCTAGCTGTGGGTAGGAATGGGATGCAAGATGAACAAGGAATTCTGATCCAGATTTCCTCTGTTGCGTGAGAGGAAAGGTGGCTGCAATCCTTTGGGGAAAAGATCATCAGGAGCAGGTGAAGGGATGCATGGCAAATGATCTGGTTATTTGCATAGCTCAAGGTGTCACAGTCTGAACACAGCTGTACTTCATCTGGGTACAGAATATTTACTAGAAAATCCATAACAGGGGTTCTATATAAAACCCTCCTTTCTTTACAATGAAAGCTTCAAAAAGAACTTTAATCACAGCTCAAGGAATTAGTTCATTTTTACCTTCAGCTCCTCAACAGCTCTCTGCAATTCTTCAGGTGTTTTATACTCAAAATCTCTTTCCAGATATTCTTCCTCAGCTTGTGTTATCCACTCATGCATCTCTGACAAATCCTTTCTGAGACTCACAGTTTTATCCAAACCACCTTTTAATGCAGCCTTCTTAGCATAGGCCTTTAAGAAAAAAGATTACATGGTACTTGAAGCAAAGCTACTGTACAAACTTGACAATATTTTAGCCTGAAAAGAACTAAATTAAATCCCATACTAATAACATTGTTGTACTTAGGAAAATGTTAATGAGTAATTAGATAGATATTAATAACAGGTAATCAAGAAAGTATTACACATGTGTATACTTCCCTTTTTTTAGTGAACCACTGCTGTCCAGAATGAGTTTTTAATGATCCTAGAACAAGAATCTACACCATATGCTGATGTTATCAGAAAGCAAATCTGGAAAACAAACATCATCCAGGGACCACCTTCTGAAAGATGTAAAAAGAATAACTATGGGAGACTTTGAAAGCGCATCCAAGGATGAAACCAGAGGCTCTTGAGCTATGAAATCAGATGACCTTCTAACTAGTTTGAATGCAACTTACTAGAGAATAAAGAAATGTGCATATCTTTCTTCAGAAGTCATTAATAGATGTCCCAGAAAAGGGCATATCCTAAAAAAAGGTTAAGTAAAAAAACCAATCTCTTAGTAGAAGAAACTATTTATCTTAAAGGGAAAAATACTATTGATAAATCCTTTGCTAATCACTATACAAGGGTCATATAGATCATATATAAAAATAGAACTAGATGATAATTTAGATCCCCTTCTATCCCAAACCATTCTCTAAGTCTACAAATTGTGCATCAGCTTATCAAAATTGTCCCTAAACTGACTGATCCATTTACCATCTTCCAGCAGAATTAAGTTTACAACAAAAGCAGTAAGTTGCACTGGTGCCACTTTCAGAGTTGGACCTTCAGAGCTGATGGCTCCAATATCCTGTTTTTTGGTGCTGCTTCAATAAACATTATTTTCAGTAATATGAGGAGGAATTATCTTAGTATTTGATCTTAATTGCTGGTGTTTATTGGTTTGTTACTCATCCTTGAGGTCTGCCTGTTTAACATAAATGCTGTTCTACGAAAATGTTGTTTTACAGAACAAAACAGAGTAACAATCAGCAAGTATAAAAGCAGAACTGTATGTGGCCCTGCAAAATTGCCTCCTCCTCTGTCACAGTACCAGAAGACAGGGTAATCTCTCATCACTTGAAAAGACTATGTGAATGTCAATTCTCAGCTCTCACAGTCGTGTTAACTGCATGCATATCAACTCAAACTGACTTTTCCAAATCCTTTCAAGAAGGATTTCCCCACAGACAAAACTGATTTTTATTTTTACTACTCATATATTTTAATAGCTATACAGAAGAAGTTGTGTTAGAAGTGCCCACCGAGAGGCAAAAATTTGTGCTGTGTATTGAATGAAATTATTACAGGGAATTATTTCAGGGAATTCAGAAGAAAACTGTGACAGACTTCTAAATGCATAAGGCAATACTTTAAGTTTCTGTGAGAGAAGTGCAAGGACATCCAAATTATTAATATCACAAAAATAAGCTATTAAATACTCCATAGTAGTTAAAGGGGAAAGACTACAGAACTGCATCACTAAAATGTCTCACAGATTTCAAAGGTCAATTTTTTATAACTATGTTTATTAGAAAAATAGAAGCTGTTTTTCATACGTAAAGTGAATAATAATAATTTTAGAAAATATTAGACCACCTTAAAAGGTAACAGTTTTAGTCTTCCACAAATATACATAATATACATTAAAAAGGTAAACAAGAGAATAAGCAGGTAGGAAAAACTTAAAAGTAATACAACATGAAAGATATTTCCTTTCAACTATCATAAAGAATAAGAATCCAAATGCCATCAATTAAATAATAGCAATTTTTAGTTTCCTGATACTGTAAAATTATTTATTAATAATGTCTTTAATTAAAATAAAAGAACCATCCTTTCCTGTTATGCCCCTTTCTCTCAAATTCATGTGACTACTGGAGAACAATTTATACAGGTGTATGTGTATGTACTCTCAATTCCAAGTTATTGAATTCTGAACTCTTCACTGTTTTACTGTCTTATTTCATCTGAAGTAATGACATGTGATTACAGCAACACAGAACTAAATACAGAACTTGATTTTTTTGGCAAATGCCTAAAAAACACTTTCAAAAATCTAATTTTTTAGGAGCCATAAATTACATTGCTTCTAAGATCTAAGATATTAGTATGCAACTTTGTTATAAAAATAGTAAGATATTGTTCTATAATTTAAATGAATATACTTCACATATACTACTGCATGCTAAATTCCTAAATATAAGTTTAATTAATGTGAACCAAATATGTCTAAATTCAGTTTCATATCTACTGGATATGCATAGAAGGACAGATTCTGACAATGAGAAACCTGATATTTAATCTAAAAAGAACCAGTCACAGCAGGAGACTTGATACCTGTTGGCAAATGTGTTCCCACTGAGCATTGAGATCCTTCAGTTCTGATTCTATTCTGGAAGCAAATTCTGGCTCTGCTTCACTCTTCATTTTCTTCCCAACCTCATTAACGCTGTTCAAACTGGGCTGGATTGTCTGGATATCATTTACTAAAGCCTAAAAGAATAGTAGAAGATTAGGTAAGTGCCATTCACACAAATTTTCAGATACAGTTATCCCTATGAAAACACGGCTACATCGGATTCTGTCAAGTCTGTGGTCCAGTTCTCCAATCAAATGAGCACAATCAACAGATCTATCTATGAAAATAATTTAAAAAATAATGAGCAGCTCTTATGTGATGAGCTATGCTATACCAAACAAAATTCATTTGCAAGATACATATTATTTAATTTTTAAATTTTAGGTATGTACTGAAAAAACCCACATATATAATGTTAGATTACATATATTGTATTTTTTACAACGTTTCCCTGGTTTTGGTTGAAAACACGAAAAATGCCTAGATCTTCTATTCACATTTCTGAAAGAGCATTCCATCATAAAAGTGAAAAATGATGATAATTCTTGTTTAAATAATGGCTAGGAGAATGTCTGAGGAGCTTGCAGTTCTGCAAGATCACTGCGTATGTTTCATAATATTTACACATCCTGCCCGAACATTTACAGAACTTGTAAATTCCACTGAACATATGGACAGGGACCATCATGGATTACAAGATTCACTGCACTTACATACTCTGCTGGGAGAGACAAAAGAATTTGTAAACCCTGTGATGGAAGTATCAATACTTCACAGTGCTTTAAAACTCTGCTGGGATAAAATCCTGGAACTTGTAAGCTTAGTGAAAAAAGAATGGATATAATTTACAATTCTTGCAAGTTCCTTAAGAACTTTTCAGTTAGAAAAGTTTGTAAATCATGTGTGAGTAAGAGATACAGAAAAAGATCTTCTGGCACAGGTTATGCAGCTTAAAAAATAAATATGCTATGCTTTTAAACTCAGCAAAGTAAATAAACATTTGAATTCAGAGGCTACTAACATTATTTGCTGCAAGTACTCTTCAATGTGTTGTTCCTTCTATAACGACACTGTCACTGTGTGCCTCCTCCTGATACTAAAAATTCCAAGTTTTTAACTGAATTTTCCTTCAAACCCAGGAAACGAAAGAAGTTCATTTACACTGCAGAAGACAACCCCCTTACAACATGAATTTATTTTTAGGAAGACTAATCTTTTGTGCAACTTCTGTATAAGCCAGGCTCACAGAGAGGAATTGAATATTTGCCAAGCAGGCAGGTAATACTCACTGTACATTGCTCAAGTTGCTTTTCCAGTGCTTCTGAATCTCCAAGGGCAGGCCACTCTTCCTTCAAAAAAACATCCACTTCAGCCATCCACTTCTTCAGTGTTTTAGTGTCATTCTGTTTATTAAAAAGACATTTCATTGCATCACACAAAACCCGACTGGAAAGAGTGTAATTCATCCTGGCACTACAACTAAAACTCATCACAATGTAATTTCAAGATTATTGAACTGTTGGAAAAATACAAGCAGAGCAAACAAGCAAACCAATTTTATCTTGGACTGTCGTCAATACTTTAGGCTGCACTTTGACCATTTCTGTCCAAGTTTAATGTGTCTACAAGCAGGCAACTTTATGGCTCTCAAGTTTATGCCTTCTAGATATCATTTGTGTTTAGATACTGCATACTTGTTCATTGGGTCCTTATATTGCTTCAGATTACTCATATTTGGCATTTAATTCAGTCTCACCTATCAAATATTCTGTGCTTCTATTTAAACTTCAGACTTCTTTTAGAAGTTGTAGGCTGTATTGTCTATTTTTCTACCAGAACACAACACAGGAAAATGCCCTTACTATTTAGAATGAAAAAAACACAATGTAACTGAAACAGATTCACTTCAGAAACTAAAATCATATAATGACTCAATGAGTCATTTCAGGAATTCTCAGTTGCTTTTTCTAGCACTAGGACAGTAATACTATTTCCAGAGTCTTCAATTAAGTCTTGCAGTTAATAAAAAAAGCTGTACATCAAACACTTAGAGAATGCTACCAGTCCCAGGCAACGTTACATAATCTAATAACTTGAGAGATAGAATGAGATTTAAAAAATGTCACTTAAAATTACCTTAAAATGCCACCTAAGGGAAACAATTAGATGTACATATTAAAATAAAAATGATGTATGGCAAAAATTTTGAAGGTTAATTCTAATGCATTTTCTCATCAAACTGTTTTCATCAACAGTGAAATATGTATTGATACTACATGCTGAAGGCAAAGCAGAAGTAAAGCACAGAAAAGGACATTTCATTAAAATACAGACTGTGTCTTGAAATATATACAGATATGCCTTAGTAAATATTACAAGACAGGTAACCAAAGGGAACATTTACCTAATGTGATTGATATATTTAAAAGCAACAGGCTACTATGGAAAATGAACTGATTTAGTGAAAATGATCCTACAGAAATTATCAGTATACTTCAGAATGGCAATTACCATTCACTGTTGAAATGTCTACTGTGCATTCCATTATTCAACAGTAAAAATAGTTCATTCATTTCATGATGAAACTTTAATACCTTTACAAGAATACTTAAGGTATAGTTCATTAATGTGGTAAAATATAGATCTGATGGGATTTACTTAAAAAGAGATTAGTCCCCAGCTACCAATGAAGATCAAATGTATCACCTGCATTTTGAATCAGACTGTAAATGCATTTTGTTTATTGACTTTCATCATATCCCATGCTGACACATTCCATAAATTGCAACAGCTAAAACCATAATCTGGATGAGAAGTCATTCAACAAGCTGAAAAGACAATGACTTTTATATTGGATGTGTACTAGAGAGATTTCAGGAACAAATATAAAGGCTAAGATTGGTATACAACAACAGCTCACATAGCTTTAAAAATACCTGTTTTACAGAGAATGGTCATGATATTCAGGACCTTCTCTTTTTAAGAGCAGTGGGTAAACCTCCAAATTTGGGGTGGGGAGAAGGGCGGGAGGCAGAGGGGAGGGAAAAGGCAAAAGTTTTATTTTCTCAAGCAAAGTATCTTGCTTTTTTTATGTGGCAAGGTTTTGGTAGCAGGGGTGGCATCTGTGAGGAGAAGACAGGTGCTGTCCTGTGTCAGACACAGAAAGTTCCAGCTTCCTCCAGTGGAATCACTGCTGGACATGGATAACCCCATGGTCAGCTAGTGATGCCTCGGTGATAATATAGTTAAGAAAGGGCAAAAATGCCAGACAGATGGAGGAGGAGAGAAAAAAGTGAGAAACAACCCTATAAAAAGTGAGAAACAGCCCTAAAGAAAGTGAGAAACAGCCCTGCAGACACCAAGGTCAGTGAAGAAGAAGGGGCAGGAGGTACTCCAAGTGCCAGAGCAAAGATTCCCTTACAGCCCATGGAGAAGGCCATGGTGAGACAGGCTGCCCTGTACAGCCCATGGAGAACCACATGCCAGTGCAGGTGGATATGCCCTAAAGGAAACTGCAGCCCATGCAGTGTCCACACAGGAGCAGGTATTTCTTGAAGGCTGCAGCCCTTGGGAGGACCCACACGCTGAAGCAGGGGAAAAGAGTGAGGAGGGAGCAGCAGTGGAGAAGAGCTGGTATGGACAGCCATTCCTCCCATTCCTCATCCCCCTGCACACCTTGATGAAAAATGAGACAAGAATAAAGTGATGGAGTGCAGAGTAGGAAAAAGAGGGAGGGGGAGAGGTGTTGGTTTAATTTTTGTCTTTGTTTCTTACCACACAAATGCCTTTTAATTTACCCCAAGTTGTGTTTGTTTTGTCCAGCTTAGTAATTAGTAAGTGATCTCCCTTTACCACAATCTTTACGTCAATCCAAGAGCTTTTCCATCCTATTTTGTCCCCCTGTCCTTCAGAGAATGAGAGAGTAGCTGGGGCACCTGGATGCTAGACAAGGTTATCCCATCATACCATTAAACTTGATTTCATGTCCAGCTTCAAACACAAGCAATGGAGATATAAAATTACAGTTTAGAACAATGTGGTATTTCGGTAGCTAAATTATAAAAAATTGTTTACATAAAATATATAGGTTATTTTATATTAATAAAATGTTTCCTCCCTTTTTTAGTCTGTTTTGATAATCTAAAAACTGATGAACTGTAAAAAAATAATTTTTTTATTCTCTACTTTTTTTATCCTCAAAAAAAGAAGTATAAGAATACTTTGACAGCAAATTTATTCCTGACCAGACAACTCTACTGAATTAAGAGGAAAATAACAACTACAGTTCACATGCTGCTGTTTAAACATGGAGATAATCATGTATCATGTTCTGCTACCAACAAACCAAAGCCAAGGACAGAAATATCTGATGCAGTAAAAAGAAGAAATACTGAGACAAAACACTGAGAAGAAACACAGTGTGAGAAAAGAGCTTTGAGTATGGATGCAGGATATCAGTCTTTAGAATTTTCTTTGCAATATCCCATGAGCACACAAATGTCCATTTGCATGGAGGCAAGGAAAAAAATTATAGAAAAAAATTACAGTCTCCGTTTTTATGACTGATTGCTCTGAATTCCTCTGAAACTTGTTCCTTGAAATCATTTAAAAATAGAAGAGAAATATGTTAAAAACTGACTTTTTAAAGTCTCAGATATTCCCTGTAATGCTGCTACTTGTGATTTATAAATAAGTATAAATAGAGGATCCCCACAATGAGAAGAAACAGTGTAATGTTCCAGCGCTGCCATTCTAAATACCTGAAATACTTCTGCTTTCTGGTAACTGCTGCCAAGATACTACTATATTACAGATGACTTTAATTATGTAAGTGAATTCATTAAAGTCAATATGGTTACAGTTACTTCAGATGCATGAATAAGAGCTTCAGCTGCATTGAAAAAGTAAATAGAAGAACATTAGTAGCAATTTTCACTGAAATCAGAGTTTTTGCTGTTGAAACAACATGGGTAGAAACAGCCACAAAATCAGAATTCAAAGTAAAATCTTGGACCAATCAAAATCAAGCAAACATTTTAATACATTTTTTGTGCTGCTTTGATATTTCACTTGGGTGTTAATTTCTGGAAGTATATAAATGTGTGTTTTATCCTAGTCCCACAGCAACCAGCCACCATGTGTTAGCTGAGGCTGAAAAAATCTGATTAACCTGGAATCGCTGGAGTTTGGTCATACGCTCCTCAAGTTTCTGACAATGTTCCACCAGCTGTGCTGACAGTTTCTTCCAGCGGCCAAGGATCACCTCAATCTCTGATCGGTATCTTTGACTGACTTCTGCAGGGGCTTTCCTGGACAAATCCTCCACAGTTGTGCTGAGATAGTTTAGGCCTTTTTGCTGCTCTTGAAGAGAACTTTGTAGAGCCTATGGATAAGAAGCAAGTAGTACCCTGATTCATGTGTTAGGCAGTTCTTTTTGTTTCATAAGCACAGCCAAGACACGTAGGTCACCTTTGCTAAAACATGCAATGGCATAATCTGCTGAGCAGTTTGGAATTGCTTTTCTCACACAAACCAGAAAGCAGATTTTTTTAGTTGAATCGAGAATATAACCAGAGGTTGTTATACTTGCTAATAGATGTGATCTACATACATTTCATTAACTTGAGATGGGAATTTACTATGGCTCTAGTGATTAAAGATTTCAAAAGAATCAGACTCTACATGGACAAAACCAATAAACTTAGAGAACCAATTCTTTGGTTTACATTTTTGATCGCTTCTCAAACTTTTGCAATTCTCAGTCCAAATTTACTGCATCCAGATTTTTTTTCCTATATTCTACTTTTTATTTCTGAATGCTCATCAAACAACATGCTCATTAGCCATTCAATAGTAAAATATTATCAGACATTGAAGTACAGGGAAGGTTTGTACCCACTGGCAAAAGTTGTTCTGCATTCGTGTCTGCTTGTAAATTTGACAGAAAATCTGACAAAGACCATGCTGCATTTTGCAAATCAGAATTGTTTCCATGTTAGCACTGGAAAATGAAATCAGCTAAATCTATATATAAATACCAGAGCTATCATCAAAGGAATATTATATATACCATGGGGACAAACAAGGTCTTTACCTTAACATGTTAAACATCATATAAAATTAGTTTCGATGGTGAACACCACTTTATATTCTTCAACTTTAGGAGTCAATATATTAAGCAAGCAGACACCGCCTCCCGAAGCCCTTGTCTAAAACCCAAATGGGCATTATTTACTCAAGATCCATAGGCTTCAGCAGGCTCATGACAACTGAGGGTTTTGTCCTTCTAAACTTGTCACTCAAGACATTCATTCCCACAGCTTGATTACTCACCTTGAGCTCCCTGAGTCTCTGCTCCATAATTTCATATTCAGCAACTGCAACCTGAGGCATGGAGAGTTTAGTTTCTGACTGCTGGATCCACAAAAGTACAGTGTTCATTGTCTCTTTGTAGTGTGCAGGAGGCAAACTGTCACAAACTACATTCAATGGGGAAGAAGAAGAAGACAGGAAATAAAGGAAGAAACGAAATAAAATGATTTTGTGCTTCGTTATTCGGTTTGCTGACAGAAGATGCTTGATAAAAGACCAAGCTTCATTGAAGTCATTGGCTGTTTTGCAACAGATTGCAACAGGCTCAGTATGTTTAGCATCAGAATTTTCAAAAAAATGGTGGAAACAGAAATATTTTGAAAAATGATGACACTTATTCTAACGTTTACAATATCTCTGCCATTTCATGAGTTGTGTGTCATTTGACTCTCTTATTATAGACCACAAGACAACCTATATGGCCAAGACAACTAGCTTAAATATGTGTGTTCAGAGATCAACTGACAAACCATTGTACTTAATCCAAAATCTAATTTCAGAAATATATTAAGAACTAGCGTTCTCTTTTATGGCCCATGTTTGTGTGTTCAATGTTTCTGTTCAAGTAAAATGTTCCGTTTAAGACACCTGTTAAAAGCGTAGAAAATTAATCTTTCTTCTGCAATAAAGCTGAATTTTATAGAACTGTGCCTATTGTGCCAACATTACAGCTGCTGTAAATAGACAACATCTGGCACGCACATCAGCAACTCATTAGCACAGAAATTCCCTCTGCCATAAACAACAGTTGCTTCTATACTCATTGAAAAATGTACAGACAAATAGCATGGCTGGTTAGAACTGAAATATTTCCAACTTGTACCACATATTAATGAAGCATATAAAAGCTCAAAAAATTTACACCCATTTGTATCTCCTGTATCCTCCTCCATCTTCTCTGATGTTTCAGAAAGAACTGTACTGCGAAATGACATATCTGTCCAAAAAGCAATTTTGACAAGCCTCACAAATAAAGTTTATAAGTGCAAGCTTGCTTATATTTTCATACAGCAATGCTTTGCAGACTGTACTTCAGATTTTAACCGAATTTTTTAGTTGATCAACAGAACACTATATGAAAAAAAACCCCACCCTTATATTTTCAGTTAGACATCATAACAACATACTAAAATCAGGGCCATCTAAGCTCTCTCTTGTGAAGTATACACATTGTATCACATACCTTCCTCACAAAAGTCTTGGTTGATCTGATTTATCACATACATCTGGGGATTTACAAAAGACTTGGTACCAGAAAAGAATTACCAAGTATCTCTTCACTTGTGCCTTTTTTTTTTTTTACACAGAAAGCAATAGTAATATATTCTTGGAAACACAAACCCGAACATATTCAATCTCATCAAATAGCATTTTAAATCTTTTTATTTCCTTAGTGAGATTCGTATTGTCTTTGACTCATTTAATCCAAACAATTCCTACTTTAGAATAGAACATACATTTAAACTCATCATTGCAAATGAATGGAGATATAATTTCAGTTTATGTTAAAAAATTATACAATTTTTAACTGCAGTTTTATTTAGAAATATGAAATGGAGTTCGGCATTGTGATATAATGCTTGATTTCTCTAAATTATTTTCTCCTTTAAATAAAAAAAACTATCTTATGACTAATGTATAACTCCAAGCATTTATATAAAAGAATAGCTATTTTCAATAGTAGTGAAGACTGCATCAGAACAGGTAAAACCTGTTACAGCAAACTCCACCAAACTGCATCAAACTCTTATTCTGCAAGTTTGGCAATAATAATTTTAAAACCTTCCAAACACTGCAAACATTTTGTTCAATTGTAATGAGTTCCCTTCTGTAGTATTTGAGGGACTAAATAAGAGTTCAAATGGGATGATGGATGTTGATTTAATCAAGCTAGTGTCTTTAGAATGTGGTTATTATATATTAACATGATAACATCTTTAAATTGAGTGAAACAACAGTTTTCCTGTTTCACTTTTTGAGATTACTACAGATTACTAATAGTGAAATGTTACTTTCTAATTTATTTTTTTTAAACATAGAAAACTTGGCAGCATTTTCATCCACAAGGAAGCAGATTAACTTTTAGGATGACACTTAAGAAAAGCCTTTATTGTTTTTGCAACACACAATGTCAAGGATGAGAATTCAGCCAAACTCCTACAGTGGGATTATTCATTACCTAATCATAACTGTCCAAATAATCTAACCCATTTATGGTCTCTCTCCGGACAGTAGGAATCTTTAAATTTCCCATGCTAATAACATAAATCCACATTCAGACCTGTTTATTTTATCCTAAAATTTGCTTTGTGATACTAATGTTCATGGGTTAAAGCCCACATGATAAGCAAAGTCTATTAATATGGATTCTGTTGTATTATATGAAAAAAATGAATTGGTAGTGAGAAAGATTCAGCAAGTCCCCAACATGGACCTCCTTTAGGTGTAGCAAAACTAGGCCCATGACAGAACTGTAAAAAAATATCACAGAGGGAAATGGCAAATATGTTTCTGTGTAGTATCAGAATACAATTTCCATCCCAGAATGGAAAAATATTGTTGTATTAATCTATTCCACTTGTAGGAAATGAATTTTGGTGTGACTAACATTGCAACCCTTGAGAACTGACAGGCAAATACATTTACGCTTGCATATTTATTTTAGAGAAAGACCTTAAATTTGCATATATAATGTTCAAATAGATATTTGATTAAGATATATTTTTAATAACTAGAACTATTTAAACATGTGAAAATAGGTTTCCAAGTAAGCAAAGTACTTTGGTTTTTTTGTTTTTCCTCCCATCTTCTTTTTTTGGGACCAGATTTTTCAGTCAAAAATATTTTCCCAAATCAGAAATAAAATGAGAATACAATTATCTCAACAACTATCATATCACACTGGATAGGTTTCAATGTGTATCTCCTGCAGTCAGTAGAAATCCCACTGTTCATTACATCATTATGAAAGGCAATAAATATAATCTATGGGATCATTTTAGTATAGAGTTATTCCCTCAAATGAATTAACTATATTGAACTTCATGTATTTCCACTAAAAATTTCTTCAGTAGCAACTGCAGTTTAAAACCAGGCTGATTTTCTCACAACTTTGTTTTGTTTATTTTGTTATACAAATACTTGAACCTATTCATCAAACTCTTTATACCGATGCCTTCATAAAAGCTGTGATTCCCTTCTCCCACATTTCTAATCAGAAACTGCCTAAGTAGAATCATGAGGACTCTTGTATAATATATAATCAATATTCTGCAAGTGATTTAACACTTCCAATTCTGTTTGTTATAAAAGTCTTAAAACAAATAGAAGGGAATAATAGAATGGTTTGGCTTAGAAGGAACCTTAAGGATCATCTCGTTCCAACACCCTTAGCATAGGCAGGGACACCTTCCACTAGATTAGGTTACTCAAAGCCCCCTCCAACCTGGTCTTGAACACTTGCAGGGAAGCCCTTCTCCAGGTTCACAAGATCTAATGTAACAGTAAAAATCCTTTAAAGACAGAAATTTTTTAAGATGGTTTTATTTCCCATCCATAAAAATTTTCATTTTTACCATGGAGGAAAAGGATAAAGTCGCCCACAGAGTAGAGGACATTATCTCATACACATTCATTTTTGCTTTGTCTTTTTGATCTTTATTTAAATAAAAAAAATTACCAGAGGAAATGGATGGATGGGGGGGGGAGAAAGAAAGAAACAAAGAAATTGTTTGAATGCTACTTATTAGAATAATAATTTCCCACACACATCTAAGATGTACCTTCAGCTCAGAAGGCACATTCAAACAAGCAAACTTCCTCCCTCATAATCAAAAAGCAATGAATATTTTTGCTACTAAATCATAGTTTAGGTCTTAAGAAAAACTTACAGTTAGGAAATTTACAGGACACCTGCTTAAAATTTTCCTTCCTCAAGTATACAATGATAACAATTTCACTTCCACTTATAACCCATCTATCGTACTTAGAGCATCCAAATAAGTTAGCAGTTCAAAGTTTAAACAAATGGAGACAAATTACAGACTAAAACTCCCAACGGTCATCACACTGTTATAGTTACTGTGGTTTATTGAATTATAAAATTATGCCAAGACTAAGTTGCATGAAATACATGTAATGGAACACTCTAAGAAACTGTATAAGTGGATTAAAGAGAATAGCAGTTTCCATGCAAAATAACTGTAAGCATGGCTTGGGTAAATAAAAAGTCTAAAGAATCTTGACACGATATAGAAGGCAAAATCTTTCTAAATAAGAGAAACATCATTTGAATCCAGATGAATAATTCATCATTAATAACAAAAACGACAATGATAACTTCACCTTTGGGAGTTACTGATCCTGCAAAGGTAGAATCAGAACTTGAAAGGAAACCACAGTGCATGAATTTATGAACAGAAACATGGAAATAAGTATGACTTTTCCTTTGCCACCTCCATCTTCATACTTTTAACTTTACCTGTCACAGAAGTCTTTTTCTTTTTTTTTAGTGACTTTCTAAAAATCTAATGACTTTCCAATTTCCCTCTGAAGAGAGCCTTGTCAAAATGAGAACATGTATCTCACTCAAGACCATGGCTGAATAAGAGTTCAATGCAGCAAGACTAAAAACCAGAAGCACCTTCACGGAATTTAGTTCAGTCACAGAGGTTCAGGACTGCTGGAATGAATCAGCTGCCACCCAGGAGGGAGTTTGAACCAGGGAGTGTTCACTTACCTGACCCTGACTGACAGCTCTGCCTGGGCTGAGGGGGAGTGGGAGGCTGACCAGGCTGCTCCCTAGAAATCTCTCTGACAGAGCAGCAGTTTTAATGTCAAGACAAGTAAATATAAAGTGCAAACCCTCATTTTTCACCAGGGCATTACAAAGCTAAGAATTTCCTTGTGAAATCACATTATTAGTTCTTGAATTATTGCCAGGATTGTCCATTTCTCTCCCTCATATAGATTACTGAACAGCTTGAAGCACTGTCTGATCTCTGTTTTTTCTATATACCAATATCGTTGAAATGACTCTAAATTTGTTTGGGGAGGAGGGAGATCTGGAATGCTGGATACATCCTATTCAAAAGGACCTTTCAATATACAGATATTACATAAAGTGAAAACAATAAGGTCATATTTCTTCGTATTTTATGAGGCTGTATTTCTTTAATAAAAAACATTGTAAAATAGTGAAAAAACAACCAAATAGGTTTTAGAATTTAAATTACATTTTATAACTGGATATGCTAACCAAATCATGGAGAAAAAAGTGAGAAAATCTGAGTTCATTTTTAATAATATTTTAGTGACAAATCTACTGTGCAGCACAGAGAAATTACTAAGCACTCTTGAACCTAAAAAAAAACAAACAAAACCCAACCAAACAAAACCATGACCTTCAGAAAAAATGTAATCAATTGTAATAAAAAGTATTTGAGGGAGACAATTTCCAAAATAAGAGGAAACTGTTTATGGGGGGGAAATTCCCTTGGAAAACAGAACAGTTAAATACCCTTATCCATCCGAAAAGATAATATGGAGTAATGGAACATGAACAAAAAAAAAAACAAACCAAAAAACCAAACCTCTTATGATAAGTCAAAAATAAATATCTTTTAACATAAGAAGAACCCTTAATGATGAATTTTAAAAAAAAAAAAATCTTTCTAAACATATACGTTTTATGTACAGGGAATTAAAAAAAATAAATACTATAACTCTCAAGCACAAATCCTATGAGGAGAGGCTGAGGGAGCCGGGGTTGTTCAGCCTGGAGGAGACCTCCTCACTCTCTACAACTCCCTGAAAGGAGGTTGTAGCCAGGTGGGGGTTGGTCTCTTCTCCCAGGCAACTATCAGCAAGACAAGAGGGCATGGTCTTAAGCTCTGCCAGGGGAGGTTTAGGTTGGATATTAGGAAGAAATTTGTTACAGAGATGATAATCAGACATCAGAATGGGCTGCCCAGGGAAGTGGTGGATTCTCCGTCCCTGGAGGTTTTTAAGATGAGACTGGATGTGGCACTTAGTGCCATGGTCTGGTAACCATGGTGGTGCTGCACCAAGGGTTGGACCTGATGATCTCAGAGGTCTTTTCCAACCCAGCTGATTCTATAAATCTATGATTCTAATGAATCTATGAATCTATGATGATCTGCAAAACATCATTCAGTTTTCAGGAATTTTTTTTATTTGTAGAAAAAATTAATTGCAAATAATTTATGTAAATAAAAGATAAAATATCTAAATAATAAATAATAAAAGATAAATATCTAAAATGCTCTAGCAAAATTTCAACATTTTCTATTAAAGTAAGGGTAAAATAAAGACATGGGATATGGTCTTTTTCCCATCTGTATAACACAATAAATTAGTCATTAAAGAAAGCTGTAGAAACTGAGTCTCAAAGTACCAAATTTTCCATGCTTTGGTTTCAGGGTTTGTTTGTTTGTTTGTTTTTCTATATGTTTTGATCTGTAAGACTTTCCTGAAATGGCAATAGGCAAACCTATCCCATGCGTGATCGTTCATATCTAGAACAGTTACGGCAGGAAGTTAGCACTTTGGATAAAACTATGTATGAAATTTCTGAAGATCAAATATAATTGACATAATACTCTTACCTAAAATATCACTGCAGGTATGTACTGTACGAGATAAAACAACCTCATCTTGACAGCTGAACCATTTGAGATGAAGCTCCTATGATGCATAGCAGCCACATAAAACAGTAACAACTGTCCAGGGCTCCATGAAATATTGATTTAGGAACTTCTGTTTTCTAGCACTTCAGGAGACTCTCCCCAGTCTGTTCAATGCTTTCACCTCAGAACAACTCCCTCTGCAGCTGTCCAGGGCACCCAAGGAGCATAATACAGCATGGGGGGGGTGGGAGGAATGAACATTCAGGAAGAACTTTCCCAAAGCCCATGGTTCAGGCAGTGAACACTATTTGTCTTACTGGATTAATCAACTGGTTAGTTCATGAGCAATCACTACAGTAAAATTAGATGAGGCAAACCCGGCAATTATGCAACATTAGATAAAGAAGAAATCACAAACAAACTAGCATCTACAATATTTTTCTGTTGGCAGAATGGCAACCGATTTCACCATATTAATGGGTTTTAAATCTTACCCACTGCATGTCTTGGCTTTAGAGTCATGAATAAACATTATACTCCTTAATACTAAATTTCTACAGCTCATTCTTTCATCATTTGCTATGGCACACTTACATTTTATATCTTCAGTTCTCCTATGCACCTTCAGTTTGTGTATGTGTGCACGTGTGAAATAGCTACAGCAGCACAGTAATGTACTGTTGTAAAAACAAAATCCAAAACTCTTCACGAAAGAATTTAGGAGGAATACTATAAAAAAACCACTAGAAGGAGCTAGCACTATGTCAAATCTCAAAACAGTACAGTCATTTAGAGATATTGTTGGTTTAAGAGGCAAATAATGTTTTTGTTGTTGAGAAAAGTTGCATTTGTATTAATTATTAATTTCATAATCAAATACAGAAAGTGTACAGTAGTCATTGACATTCTACATATCTTTAATAAGAAATAGTCACTTTTCTATTTTGGTATAGCATTTTCCATCTCTTGAAAAATTCATTTTACTACAAATATTGCAAATAATGTTATAACTGGCAGTCATATATTCCACGTTGTAAAAAAAGAACAGTTGGCCACATGATAAAAAACTTGATACGCTAAAGTAGCTGCTCTCTTTGATGAGCTTTATGCAGTTAAATCTCTATTCTCTGAAAATGTAGAGCATTTAATATAATTTAATATTAGCATGTAATATAAATCTCTTTTCTCTCTACTGACAGAGATGGACTGTCCCACCTTACAACCCAACTAAACAAAGACTTTTTTAGGTTGCCAAAAAATATCACTGAATCTGTCCATAAACACACTAACAAGAGGAGGTCTGATAGTAGAACTACATTGAGTGTAACCTTCTGACCAGTGTACATGCCCTTGTTTTCCTATTAATATGGAATTCACTGATGATTTTTGAAAGACGAATTCACTTGCAAAAAAGTGCACCTAAATTGCAATACTAGTTTAATATGACAAAAGCAAATATAAAACTAAGAAAGCAAAATATATACAATACCTATTCTTTTCATGCTAGTCAGGCAAATTGACTTTTTGTCATGAACACTTACTGGTCTGTAGCTGCTTTTCTCTGGCATGCATGTCAGCAAATATTTGTTTGAAATGGCTGGTAAAAGCAGCAAGGTCAGCATCCAGAAACACTGGTCCTTGTTCTTTCTCTTTCAGTGCTTGACTTTGAGCCTTTAGTCGTTCAATTTGAGGTTGAAGGGTTGACATTCGGATGATTTCATCCTGCATGTTTGAACAAAAAAAAAAAAATCAAGATAAAGCTACTTGAAAAATGAAATCCATAGTGCCATGAAATCACCACTGTTTCAATGCACATTACACATCTCTTCTGCTTCCAAATACATCAGTTACAATACAAGCAAAACCAGTATTTTAAATCTCTCCTCACAAATCAATACCTCTGCTCCAAATACGATTGTTGATTGATAGCACTGCTTAAAGACACTTTAAAGACACTTTTGCAGAACATTGGCATGTTATTAGTGTAATGCTCAAAGAAAATAAGATAGATAGTACATTAATATTTCATCCCTAAGGAACATCTTTTTCACGTGAAGCTGGGAAGAGAAAAACACATGTCCCATAACCCTGGAGTCTGTTAGATTATGTACTGAATCTCTGTTAGATTATGCACTAAACAGCAGGCCAAACAGTCTAAATAGCATGAAGCAGAAAAGGAAAGATGAAGATGCCCAGTGATTTCTATCAGCCTCACAGTAACATAGCAGAGTTTGAGGTTAAAGTAGAGTAGGATAGTTCAGTTGGAAGGGACCTACAAGGAACATCTAGTCCAACCACCTGACCACTTCAGGGCTGACCAAGTTAAAGCATGTTGCTAAGGGCATTGTCCAAATGCCTCTTACAAACTGACAGGTTGGGGGCATCAACCACCTCTCCAGAAAGGCTGCTGCACTGTTTGAACACCCTCCCAGTCCAGTCTAAACCTCCCCTGACACATTTTGGACCATTCCCATGCATCCTGTCACTGGATACCAGGAAGAAGAGATCAGCACCTTCCTCTTCACTCCCCCTCCTCAGGAAGCTGTAGAGAGCCATGAGGCTGTGTTATTATACCTTCATGAGACCTTGTACACATACAACTACTAAGTAAAAAGACAGGAGGAAAGTAAGCCAAATGTACAGTTCATAGTAGAGCTACTCAAAGAGAACCTTTCTGCGTGAAAACACAGACCCTCTGTAAGTACAATTCCAGCTTGGAAATGCCTGAAAACAGAAGTAATAGCACAGATCTAAATTTGGGTTTCAAACATTGTTTTCTGTTTGAAAGCTTTTGGAGTCAGAGATTCCCTAAAGTCAAGCTTCTACAAGTATGTCATGCAATTTATAATTCAATACTACATCTCAATATATTCCTGTACATCAATATTAACTTGTAAGTAATCCCCACTCACAGAGCTCTCTACAGGAAGAGAGATAATCAAATTTCTATGACAGTGCAGCACAAAAATTAAAACAATTAGGGAGAATAATAAGTGAATTGGTGTAACCATTTTGCACAACTGTGCAAAATGTCTGTGATTCTGTCACACTATGACAGAATAATATTCCTCCCCTGCAGCAGAACATAGGGTATGTATCAAGTAAAATGGTGTGCAATAGCAGAATTTTGGAATTTGAAAACAATTTTCTGGAACAGATCCTTAACAGAGGTGATGAGCAACAATTTCTAAGACACAGATTCTTACAGGAAAAAAAAAAAGGAAGAAGACTTTAGGGCCACAGTTCTCTAGCTTAAAGAGTCTAAGCATCTTAATAACTAAATATTTTAAACACCCATATGTTGGGTTTTATTGTCTCTTTATTACTTTACCAGTCTTTCCTTTCCCTTCCTTGAATAAGTTCAATAATTACTTTGCAAAGAGAAGGGTTCCATTCACCATTTTTATGTTGAAATAGAGTTGGTCATAATCTGTCCCACTGTTAGAACGCCAACGAAGTACAACATCATAAAAAACTGGGAGAAGAATCTCTAACCTTGCATTTTTCCAACTGAGTTTTTACTGTAGCAGGATCTGTTGCTGGTGTGGGTTGTGCTTTCAGCCAGTTTTCTGCAGTAATTGTTGTCTGCTCCAGTTGCTGCAGCTGGGAGTAGAAGTCAATGATGTTATTTTGGTACTCCAGCCATGCCAGTCTTTCACTGAGCAACTGACAGAACTCAATCCAGCGGCTCTTCAGCTGCTCTGAGGCTTGTCTAATGTTGTCAGGATTGAGGCCCTCTAGAAACACGGGACAAGAAGATGATTAAAGATAAACAAGTTACAAAGACAATAATAATAAAAAAGTAATATAATTTAACAATTCAATTTCTGGTTTTGAGAACTCATAAATCCAGTTAATGATTTATCATCAAATAACAGTCCTGAATATACAGATGTTACACATTAGTGGAGAAAGCATATCAAAAATATTTAAAGTTGCTGCTAGGGTACTTTTGTTGCTATGGGAATGAATTATAAAGTACATTAAAGTACAAGAATAGGAATAAAGCAGAAAATAAAGATACAATACATAAAGCTAATTAAAACTGCTGTAAGAAATAAGAAAATGCATGACAGCTGGATTTTGAAAACTTTGTCTGGACTGTAATTAGATTTTAATGTACAAGACTGTTGGATTTTCTTTCATAAAAAGACTGATTTAAATGAATGGGAACTACATTCACAGCTATTTGGAGGCTTCTGATAATCCCTCAAGTTTTGCATTAGATGTTATTTTAGAAATATCATAAACACATGATCAGATCAAATTTCCATCCAGGCCAGTCCTGTGTATCCAACAGTGACAATCAGGAGACACTAAGCAGAGAGACGATGAACCATAGGTGATGCTTCTCTATGATTATTTTCAGACAGGGTTTGGTTTCTCTGACATAGTTTGCCCATTTCTGTCTATTGTTCAATAATTATGCTTATATTAAAGTTCATAAAGTCAAACTGGCTTTAGTTATTACAGACAAGGCAATTATTTAGAACAATTTAAAGATAAAAGAGCTCTATATTCTCTGTGAAGAAAGTGAGGCAATACATATGAAAGATAAGCAAAGGCGTCTTACAATAACATAATTTATAATTATACTGAAACTTGAACTCAGGTTGACTTCAAAATAATATTAACTTAAGCATCTCATTTATTCTTTCAATGGAAGCTTAAATCTAACCCCTAACCTTTTTTTGGTGTAATGACATGTAATGATACATATAGCAATAAGACCCATCTTGATTTCAAAAATAAATTTCTCAATTCATTAAGCAATGCTATATGCTGAAGAACAGTTTTAATATCATCACTTAGTCATACACTAGCTAACCAGTAAAACAGTTTTTATCAAAATAATCAAAATTAAAGTATTTTTCTTAAAAGCAAGTTTAAAAGCAAATGAGGCAAAAGACCTAAGTGTTCCACTTCTGTGGTGTTTAATACACTGTCAAATATGGTTTATCTAGTTTGCAACCTGGACTCCCAATCTGCAGGAAAATTATTTTATCAAGGATAAAGAATAGTAAAGTTGATGAGCAATTTTGTAAGGTAGGACACAGGAAATGAAGTTCTAATTACAGCTAAATCCCTTAAATAAAATAAGTACTGCAAATATATTACAATAAAATTTTCTAGGGAATTACTATAATGTATGCTATATAGTAAACCACACAAAATGATAATCCAGGATCATGTCTGTTGTGGAGCACCATAGTGCTCTGGCAAATCCTATTCTGGATCCAGCTCACAGCTACTCCATTCAGAGTTGCTTGGGAACAGCCCACTTGGAAAGAGACTGTGCAGTACCTGACAGTGGTTCTCTGGACATGCTTTGTTTCTGGGGTGCTGCCTTAGCCAAGCAAATTGTACGCGATTTCAAAAACCAAAACTACAGAAAAATAGGAAGCCCAGGGCTACTGGGAGATAATGGCAACTGTGCTGGTTGGAGTAGTCACATGTACACATTGTATACTCTAAAAACTGAAGAGTACAGTTCAAGGACTATGCAAGAATATAAAATGAACCTTAAGAGGTAAACAGGATTTTGACACATATTAATAAAATCCAAAAACAACGTGGTCTTCCGTGAGTGTGTGTGTGCATCTGGAGATGTAGTACACATAACTAGATTTTATTAAAGTGTAATGTCTAAGTAACATATAGTGACATGTGAAGAGACAGCATAAACCTGATTAGCATAGCACATCTAAATAACAAGAATCACAGATGACCAGGCAAACAGATACTGAACCTTAACAACAGCAAGAACAAACAAGTCTTATAGAAGATAAGACTTTTAACTGTGTTGTATTTCAACAATTTTTTTCCTTTTCTGTTGTGATATTAGTTATAAAAATGCTGTATACCCATATCAGAGAGCAGATTATCTTTGCCACTGTGTTAATGATTACCTCTGAACCTGGAAGACACTGCTTATGAGTTTGGCGGAGTAGATATGAAAAGATCACTTTTATTTATTCCTCCTTTCCTCTCTTTTCAGCTGCCACAATCTCCAAGGTACCCTTAGGCAAGATTATGATTACCAGGTGAAGTGCAGTCATGGATTCCCCATGTATAATAATACTTTTCACTGCAATATTTTCTTCAAGGATTCAGAGAGGACTATTTCAGATGATCTTTTCTCTTTTCTTCTTTTTACTCATATGTCTCTCTTAACGTAACATTTAAACATGTGAAAATACCCAATATTCAATTTTTCATTAATTCTTTTCTGTAATATCTAAGCTTTGAATCTAAATGTGATTCCATAAGTCCACAGATAAAAAAATGCTTTTGCTCTTCATGTTACTGAAGTGGACAGTACAAATCTGGTTTGTGCTGAGCCATGTTTGGTAAAAGATTGCAGAGATACACCTCCATTAGGCAACACAATATCCTACTGAAAGGAAGACCCATCTGAAAATCTCCATAGCATGTGTTTTCAAACTCTCTTAATTCACAGTCCACTCAGGTAACTCAAAGTTCTCTATCACATGCTGGTATGTCATTGCCAGAAGGATGTAAGAAAATGGCTATTACTTGCACTTGAAAACATTTGGGAGAGTTTGTAATTTTTTTTTCTTATTATGAAGAAAACTAGTCCTTTGTCTCCTTGAAAATGACAAATTATTATTTGAGAAGTTGATACGAGGGCATAATTTTAATGTTTTTATTTGCTCACTGAATTGCTGAAAATCAAGAATTTCACAGAATTGTTAGGACTGGAAGGGACCTCTGGAAATCTTCCAGTCCAACCAACTGCCAAGGCAGGGTCAGCCTAAGTAGGTGACACAGGAGCTTGTCCGGGTGGGTTTTGAACGTCCCAGAGATGGAGACTCCACAACCTTCCTGGGCAGCCTGTTCCACCCTCAGTGTAAAGATTTTTCTCAGGTGAAACTTGTGTTTTAGTTTATGGCCATTGCTCCTTGTCCTGTTTGAAACCTTCCTTGGTGATAAGTACTGATTTCTTCATTAACTTTAGCAACCACCAGCTTTCATTCATGATGTTAACATCGATCCCCTTGTTCTGTTTCATTTATAGTAGAAAGACATACCAAAAGTTTACAAACAGGTCCAGAAACCATATAAAACCCATTCTCTGGTAAAATATTATTTTATGAATAGTGCACAGTTCATAATCTTTTCATATTCTAAAAGCTTCTGATATAATCATTGAATAAATATACTGTACCCAGAGGAAACAGATAATTATCTGAAGTGCATCTATTAATTTTATTACCTTATATATGGCACATAACAAATTGTGCCTGAATATTTTTAATTGTGCAGCACCTCACATGCAAGTGCTTTGGAATTGCCACTTAATATGAAGTAAATCTTATTAAGTGCATCTATCACTTGCCATGGTTCTGTGATAGAACAATGTAATATTATTGTGGGGTTTGTATCTTTTGACTCCTGTGTGTTAAATAGTAACTCACAAGATAATCTATATCTTCCACAGAACAGTGGCACTTAAATATTAGATGTTTTATCACAACAAATTCATTTGTATTCACTTAAGTATTGCCTATAGAAATTCTCTGAGTATTCATTTTGATGCCCTGTTTATTTTATTCTAAACTACTATAATAGTCAAGTGTTCACTGAAACTGCTAAATTGCTTCACTCATGCACCAACAGATGTGTTATTCCATTTTAGAATATAATTTAGTAAAGAAAAACAAAACAGATATTTTTACTACAAAATGGGAGAAATATGGAAGTTTTCTTTGATTGTAATCATCAGACTTCTTTGAAAGGGTGGGCAAGGAGAGGCAGAGCACAGATCAAGTAGAAGATGGGTGGTTGGATAAAGAAGCATCCACCAAACCCATCAATGATTTCCCTTGTGATAGGAAAAGTCCTTCAAATGGCAATGTCCAGACTCACTGCTTACAAACACAAGAATAGCTATGCTGTGTGACAAGGCAGTTCTTTCTAGTGCAAAATACTTTTGCTGACAATGGTTGAAAACATTTACATAAGGCAAGAATAGTGCCCTGTATAAACGCATTTCCTCAGAATAATTTCTTCTGAGCTAAGAAACAAACAAATGAAATCTTATATAAATCAATCCAATTATCTCCAGAAATTGAATCCTACTTTTTGCTTATTCCCTCTCCTATCACAGTAAAAACAAAAGCAAGAAAGTAAATATAAATGATACAATGGAATTCACCACCATTCTAAACTTGCTCTTACAAACCACCAGACATTTCATCTTTTTATGCTCTTTATCTGTTACATTCAGAATCTTGTTTAGGAGCAGAGGAAGAACATTTTATACATTAACTAAAGCCAGGAATTCAGTGATAGCATAACTGGAATCTTAAAGAGTCTAATTATTATTAGTCCACATCTAATTGACACACAATAAGTGAAATTTAACAATGCAATTAAAATTGTTATCACTTGACTTCTGAACTCATTTATGCTGTAAATCTGTTTGCCTTTTGTAGTCTTTTAATTACAGATTACACTGTAAATGCATGACAATCATCAATTGTATCAATGACTGGTTTCCCTAAAGAATAACAAAGGGAGCATCATCATTTTTGATCTGTAAATTGTGGTAGTTAAAAAGGGTTTTCATTCAAAATAACACAGTACATCTTTCTTCCACTAGATGTTAAACTGCAGACCTCCCACAAATCCATACAGGCACATTAAGTCCAGTTCCTTCCCATGTTATGGAAAAGAGTTCCAGGATTAGAACAGGAAGGTATGAAGGCACAGTCACGCTGCTCTGCTTAACATTACTTTGGAGATTCTGCAAAACTTTCCTCTTATTCCTAGTGAATCCAGCAATCAAAAGAAAAAAAAAATTCTACGAGCCAAAGAAAGACTATAGAAACTTAGTTGAATTACTGTGGAAAATATAAAGCTGGATAACTCTACTACAGTTTGAGGTGCAGTTTTAAAGTTGTTAATATTTTTACATAACTTTTAGTTCAATGTTAATTGAACTAAATTGAAACCATTAATTCTAATTGCAATAGATGATAATGATTTGGAAGAAAAGACAAATAGAAAATATGCTCTATTCAAAAGTACAATGGCTTTACATGACAGTTAACTTTGTCTACCCTCAAGGAGTAATTTTGAGCACTTCGTAATGTATTCCATTTGCAAATCCTTTTTAAAATCATCTCACAGTTCTCATCAACTAATGTTAATTATTTAATTCTACTCTCTACCACTGGTAATTACTGCATTCATTAACCATTTCAAACACTATTCTTCAAATTGACTTTGCATTAGTGGAGTAGCTGAAAGTCCCATAAATATTTAGGGTTTCAAGTCCAGAGGAATTGTTCCTTTTTTCAAAGGGATAGTTTCTTCCCTAAAACCATGACAATTGGGGATCTTCGTTTTCACAGCCAACTAATCTGTCATCAGTGCTAGAATATTTTTGCTACCAAGGTTACCACAATATATGGCATGACATAGATCTCAGAGCAGCTGACAAAGCTGATGAAGCTGATAAAGTCAAAGCTGGCTTAGTTAGTCTACCCTGTACCTGCACCCCAGTTGGAGGATGTGCTTCCTACAAAAAAGGTGCGATTTGTGACATAGTGGAAATATTTATATGCACATCTAGCCACAGTGGAGATCACGATATCTACAAACCATGAATAAGAATGGACCCATGGACTGAGGGAGAAAAAGGAGAATCTTCAGTTAAAAACACATAAGAATAATTAAGGCAGAATGTTAGTCTACTTGATACTAGACTTGGTAGGCAGTACAGTACCAGGAAAGCATTATCTAATATAGTAGTAGGTTCTGCAACTAAAACCAAAGTTAGTCATCATAAAGTACTATATAAACCTAAGGTACTAAAACTGGAATTCTTGAGGTGCAAGTCTCCATTTGGCCAAAGGAAGAGTGAGGCACTGCTAAATGTGCCCTAGACAGATTCTGCCCAAATTAGCAACCTTGACGTGTCAGCACAGAAGTTTCAAATGCTTCCTTAAAAGTCATGTACAGTCAGTTCTTCCAGGCAGAAAACATGTTAAAAAAAAAAATCAGAACTTTTTATGTACTCAACCATAAAACAGCCCAAATTGTTTCAAAGAGAGTGCAGATGTTACCAGACTCCCTTCAGTCTGTTCAGTGAGCCTGGGAAGGGAACCCTTGAAGCACTTGTTACAGTAATGATAATTAAATATGCACCACACATCAAATATGACCACTTTTAAAATATTACACCTTTATATTTAAGCAAAATAATTTTAGGCTTCCATCAAATTTCTTTAGCTTGGCCAGTTAGTACCTCAAACTTAAAGCATTTCAATTTTAGCTATTTAATTCTTGGTTCTTCACTGTAACAATTTAGTAGAAAATATATGTTCTGAAGCTCAGTGCATTCATCATCTGTATTTCTGGCAATCATATCAGTATGACAGATGTTGGCCCGGGTTTAATATTTTCTTGCAAAGTAAGACATTCTTCAATATCAAGGACAACGGCATGACTTACAATTTTACTTTCATTTACCTTTCTTTGGGGTTTGTTTTTGCTTTATCTAGAAATTCAAAAGAATTATATCATATTTTAAAAAAATGCAAAATCTTACAGCTACTTTTCTTTTTAAAGAGTTGTTTAAGTTTTTACATTTATCATCTTTGAAAAACCAAATGCCAAAAATTTCTTCCAAATCCCAGTGTTGTATTTCCTATGACACAGACCATTACAGCAATATGTATATTAAAAAACATACATTTCACATTAAAAATCAGGACGCACTTTTGATCAAACTTTTAAAGTAATGCCTTCAGAGCTTTTCTAACTCAGATGTGTTAAAGTACTTCAAAAGCTTAGCATGCTCACAAATAAGATTACAACTTAAGTCTCTCCACAGAACAGATTGTTAATATACAGTTCATTACTGTGAGCAAGTTTTACACAGATTTCTTTTCATGGTACTAAAGTGGTAAGACTTTTTTTTCCCTCTTTTCTAATTAATAGATTTAACATTCAGAAATAATAAAATAAATATAAGACAATATCACTTTACTGTTCCATTTGGACTAATATAATTCTTGTGATAAATATAAACCTGTACGTTTATCAAATCTGTAAGAAGATTATCTAAACCAACTCCCATGTAATTACCATTCACCATCTGTTCCACCAGGGCCTCAGCTGATCTGCTGGCATCTTGCAGTTTTCTGTACTTCTCAGGCTTTTCTCGCTGGATGGCCTGCAGCATGACAGGAAAGGTGAGTATTTCAACAGAGGGATTTTGAAGAAGAAAGTAATTAATCTCAGGGATGCCTTCTGATTTCTCAAGACCATTTACCCCTCATATTGCCCTGCCTGCCTCCCGATTTGCAATGGAAACAAGCAGGTACCACATATAACCAGGAAGGGAGTCAAAGTCAAATACAAAAAATGGAGAGTCAGAATACAACAGAGCTGAGAACACATCAGTATTTTACAGAAAAATAAAAGAAGTACAACCTAAGAGCTAGTCAAAGCCCAATATTTCAAAATGAAAATATTCATTCAATAGAAATTCCTTTTGGAAGAATAGAGTAGCTTATTTCTCATGTTAACAGCAAAAATTGAGCATGCTAACCAAATCACAGGGATTCATAGCATACTACAGTATTGAACCCATATACAATTTGATATTGTATGATATTGTGTCATGTCACTACTTTGTTTGGAAAAAAACAACCCTGACCCTGTAAAATGCTTATTAAATAGATATCTAACGTATATAAGACCATATACAGCAGACATCCATCCATGAGCTATTAAGAGAGTTAACTGCAGATTTAATTCAGGCTTCTCATTACGTATTGTAGCCAATACTCCTGATTCACCTCTCTGTATGCAAAAATTTCTCACCTATGTTCAGGCTAGCACTCAGGCTAGCTGTTAAGGCCTAGTAAAAGCTAGCTGCTAAAATTACAGGATGTAGAAGAAATCTAAGTTTAAATTTCATTTTACATTAGTAGCAATACTAGTGGAAAGTAAACTCATTTTAGATCTGACAGCCCATCAATGCTGTCTTATAATTAACATCATGAAGTCACTTCATTGATTTTAAACTAATTTAGTAGCATAATTTAGGTGTAATTTAGAAGCTCTAAATCAGAAACCCAAAGAAGCAGCATGGGGCCACAGTCAAATTTGATACCAAAAATAAAACAGACTATATACCTCCCAGAGATCCTGACCAACACAGTCTCCCAGAAATCGAGAGTCCCTCACTTTACTGCAGCAGATACACACATACAAGAGCCTATGTCCCCACAAATCCTACATGGTATACATGGAAAGGTAACACACAGTCCTGGATGCAGCTTCTCAGACTGGCTGAACCCACTAGGCTTCCTGATCACCGTATTTATTCCCACAACAAAGGGATGTGCTGGGTGACTGGACTCTTCGGGGGAAAAGGTTCCTTAAACTGGAAGTAGGTGTCTAAGCTCAAGTAGGTGTCTAAGAATGTAGGATTTTAGTAAAGGAACCTTATACACTTACACTTGAAAATACTATTTTTCAAATAAATAGTTATGCCTACGGAATTAATATAAACACCTTTGCATAAACTCTCTTATAGTAATATTTAAAGTGTAATGCTTTAAACATCTTCAGTTCAATAAGATAGAGCTCCCTGAATGACTTCTGTATCTGAGGAGACATTCAGAACTTGAAAGAGAAATTTTCATTTATATTAACACTTTTCCACCACCTACCTATAACTGACATTCATTTGTGCATACAGAAATGGTTAAACAGCAGGCTTTCTAACATTACCTCGAAGCTTCTATTAAACATTTTCACTAATACAATTTTGAATAAATAAAATATATATAGAAAGGTTACTAAGAAAATAATTAGGGATGAAAATATTTTGGATTTTATAAACATATCTTTAATACATCACTAAATTATCACTGAAAGATTATGTATATTAATCCCAATAAGTTAAAGATGATTATATTAATTATCTGTAGGTTTTGTAGGCCAATAAAATCTTGTACCATTTCACTGTACAATTTAAATATTTTCCAAATTAAAGTCTATTAATTCTCTGCAGAGATCCAAAGTTTCTTATGGAATCTTAATTAATACTACTCTGTCTATAATGTCAGGTATAATTAACATGAGAATAACTACTGAGAACTGAAATGAATCAGTAAAACACTAAAATATATTGAAAAATTCTACTCTGTAGAATGTCTGTAATGTCAGGTGTGTAATTATCATGAGAGAGCACAAATGAATCATAAAACCTCCTCATAAAATATACTAAAACTTATCTTTTTAACATATAAAAATGATATGACATCAGAGCTTGTGGAGGTGAACCCCTCAGGGCCCAGTAACATGCTTTATGTGCAGGAAAATGTGGAGAAATCTCCACCTCTCTCCTGAAAGATTAAAGTTTTCAGGTCCTGGTAGAAAATATAAGCACTGTATTTGAAGTCCTTAAATAAACATAAAAATTTGGTACATATTAAACTTTCTGTCAATTATTTTTTTCCATTCATTTTTATGTAATTAGCATATATTATGAAAATGAAGGTCCAGCACCGGTTACAAGAAGACAATCGCTTACACACAAAAAAGCACAGTGCAAGCCAAAGGAGAAAAGCCTGTCTTCTTGTTCCTTGTACAAAGACAAATTATGTGATCCTGGCAGAAGGGAGGAAATTCACTCTAGTTACTTACAGCACTAACCACATAGTCCCTGATATCAGTCTGTACACGTTGCCATTCTATGCTGAACTTGCAAACTGTGTCTTGGATTTTTAAGATTTTAAAGAAGGATTTCCGTAACCTTGCGTAAAGTGCCTAGAAATGATGGGAGCAGTACTGGAAACATCTCTCATGTATCTCTTAGGCTCTATTTTCTTTATTTTTTGCTTTACTGAAGGGAACCATACTCTCAGCTCAGGTTCGCTCTTGACACCAGTGGAATGGGAAAATTTTGAAGAGGTTTGCGAAGTTTTGAAACTCAGATTCTGTACACACCTGTAACAGACATCTTTTGACTCTAGTGGCAAAGCCACTTCAAAGTATTTCCAAATATTTACTTCCTCCTTTTTTAACTATTTTTGTTTTCTGTAAAAGATTTTTTAGAAAAAAAAGACACCAGTAAGAGAGTAAAAGGTTGGCTTTATGGGCTTTTGTCCAAGCAGGGATTAATTCTATTTTGGACTGCTTTCTAACAAACAGTGCAAATGTATTATAGCCTAGTCTTAATTGATTGAAAGACATTATAAATTCATCTTTAGCTAAATGCCAGCCAAAGGCGGAAAGGCTATTTTCAGAATACTAAACATTTTATTTGACCTTGGGACTTTAGTTGGCAATTAATGACTTTGTAACCTAGAAAATTCTGCTGGTTGGAGAAATTTGGATGTTATTCATGTATCAAATCAACATCCTATTTTTAGAGCTCTGTGAAAGGGTGCAAGGTAGTAGTACTCCCTGACCTCCTGTGATGGTGACCAGTTACCCCTGAGGGCAGGAGAGGGCAACATTGTCATCACTAGCTCTGACTGTGATTCATCTCTCAAATATACAGGCCCAACAAAGCATGTCTGAAAAAGGTCACTAAAACAAAACAAACATAGGAGAGCGGAGTTACTGAGAATGCCAAGAGAACAAATTTAATTGTCTGGAATATCTGACATTTTCCCTTACATCTGTTCCTTATATGTTTATCTTTGATTCTGAAATTCTAGGTGCTGCTTCTTGGCTAACCAAAACTCCTTTCAAGGAGTTTTATTTCCAGTTTATTGTTGTATAATCTGAAATCTGACTTATTAAGCAAGATTTTCTATCAAAAATTGTGGGTGGTTTTTTTGCACCTGAATCTTCCTATATTTGAATTTGCAATATTGAAAGCTTAAGAAGAACAAAAAAAGGTCAGAGTCATTGTTAGGTCTGTTTTTAGTAAAATACACATACTAACTGTAAACTTTTAATGATGTGATGCAGCATAACAATTTTTACAGCATTAATGTTTGGATGTCTTCATTATTTAGGAGTAGTATGGTTGTACAACAATGAAACTTATATTCCTATGGCATCCCAATCTCTCTGGTCAGGTAAGGCGAGGGCCTTTGTAGTAGGGAAGGACTATAAATATTTTTGCTTCTTCCCAAACAGGAATGGACTTTTGCACATGTCTAATATATTCAAGCTACATAATAGATCTGCCAAAGGCTAATTTCCTGCCAGAATATGAAGAGCAGCTGGCTTAGCAAACAGTGTCATCGCATTTCATACAGCCTGCTCTTGGCTCTGTCTCCCCCAGGCCTTCTCTGAGCTGGGATGAGAGCAAGCTTTTGCACTTGATGCATCATCAGTGATGGCAAAAGAGATTTCTTTGTGGCTTTCATTTCTGACGTCTGTGTCCCTGTATCACGCAGCAGATGCTCTTCCACTAAATCTTGTGGAAATGACCCCTCATCCATGAAAAATAATGGGCAGGAGCAAGCTGCCACAAGAAAAAAAATCCTAGTAACCTTTCCTCAAAAGAACAGCAGGAAAGAAAGTCATTATAAAAAGGGCCTAGGACTCAGCACTTGCTATGTTAGGGAACAAATGGTAGATCTGACGTCAGCCAAGCACAGGTGTTCTGTGCTACACCAATGTATATGTTGTCATATGGGGAAAAAACCCTAAATAAGACAGTAAGGGTAAAATGGGACTTCTGCATGCATTTGTACATGGTGGCATGCATGCTCATACGAGTACAACAGTGGTGTATGACTATGTATGTCATTACATGTCCTGGTTTTGGCTGGGATAGAGTTAATTTCTTCTCAGTAACTGGTACAGTGCTGTCTTTTGGATTCTGTATAAGAATAATATTGATAACATTGATATTTTGGGCTTTGCTAAGTTTTGTTTGTCCTAAGTCAAGAACTCTTTTGTGTCTCATGCTCTGTCAGTGAGAAGATACATAAAAAAACCCAGAAAAGCTGGGAGGGGGCATAGCCAGGACAAACTGGTCAAAAGGGTATTCCACACCATAGAATGTCATGCTCAGTGTGTAAACTGGGGGAGTTTCCTGGAAGGGGGGCCAATCTGAGTTCAGGGTTGGGGTCTGGCTTTGGTCAGCTGGTGGTGAGTAATTGTGTTGTGTGCATCAGTTGTTTTTTGCCTTTTATTCCCTTTTTATTATCATTATTATAATTTAATATAATTATATTTTACTTCATTTCAATTATTAAACTAGTCTTGTCTCAACCTGCAAGATTTACTTTAGATTCTCCTCCCCATTCCACCAGGGTGGGTGGGGGGAGGTGAGTAAGCAGTTGCAATGGTGCTTAGTTGCCAGCTGGGTTTAAAGCACAACAGCACAATAAAATCTATTTCAACTATCACTCATATATGTTTTCCTTTTTTTGCATTTCATCTTTTTTTATATGGCTTCTTAAACTTTACTAGTGATTATAATATGTTAAAACCCACAGTATCTTATTTTCCACTGATTTGAAGCTCATTTTGAGGGAATTGAAAGGAAAAGTTTTAGCAAGCATCAATGAACTGTTCAAATCAATGAACTGAACAGTACTTTCTGCTTTGGCTATAGTTTTAGGGATAGATACAGAGAAAAGACCAGGAAAAGCCAAATCAGGATAAGTTTTAAAAGCTGGCAGTTATAAAAACTTGGTTTTTAAACGTTTTTTTAAAAAACATGCACAAAGACTTCCACTAACTGAAAACCATTCAACACAGAATCCATGTAGTATTTGTCAAGTGCCATCTTTCAGAGTTCTCTCTATCAAATTAATACATGTAATGAGAAGGTTTTCTCCCTTAGAATACTTAAAAACTTCTAAATGTAACTTGATTTTCTCAATAAAAATATTCATTTAAAAAGCAGTGACACCTTTGAAATTAAAACCAGTCTTGTTCTTTAAAAATATTTTCAATATAATGATTTTTCTTATATCTATTTAGAATTATTGGTTTGTCTCAGACTGCTCCTGATACAAAGCAGATCCTTTTCTGCACTACTTTACTGAAAAGAAGCTGGAAATTGGTCTCTTGACAATTCAGTTATTCAATTTCCAAAGAGGTCAAAGGAACATCTTTGCTATCTCCTGCTATTCTGAGTGTCTTGAATTCAAACTTACAATGCTCATGCACTGGTCAAATACCACAACTCTTCCTCCAGTTTTATATATGTTTTATATACATTATCACCAACTGAAACGAGACCTGAACAAATGTGGTAGGTAGTGGCTTCCCAGCCCCAATGTTCTCTCTCAGAACCAGCAAAGGCGAGGCAAGAGCTAGTGGCAACTCCAGCTGGGACCAAAGGAGGGGCTGTGGTTCACCTACCTCCACCCCTTTAACTGCAGTGATCACCACCTACTTGGAAGCAAATAAAGGATAGAAGGAGGAAGGTGAACCGTGGCTCCTGGATCCTTTAATGCTTTTATAAAGTCTTAGAAACTGACAATATAAGGTGGAACATCATGTTGGTTAGGGAAACCTGACAGTGCAGGTATCCAGTGTAATATGTAGGCCAAGATGAGCTAATTTCCATCCTTGTAAAATTATGCATTCCTCAAGATGGGAATATATGAAAGGGAGATGAGTATTCTGTTTCTATTTTTTCCACTTTCTTTTCTTTTTAAATTTAACCTACAATGAAGATTGAAGAACTCAGAAAATTAACTATATATCTATTTATATATTAGATGAATCCCAGTAACTCAGTATGGAAGCAGTTGAACCCATCAAATCTACTCTGTATATTTGATCCATTTTGCATATATATATGTATTTATGTATATTTCACGTAACATGAAGTGGTGGCATGAACTAAATTCAGGATATTAAATTTTAATTAGTACTTTCCAGCAGTAATATTATGACAGTATTAACAACTAAAATTGTTGCCAGAAAACTATGATTTAACATGAAATTTTAAAAATTTATATTTAAAATCACAAGGTTCCATGTTCCTTAATCTTATCTTAGCTGATTTATGATGGACAAGCAGACAATGAGAAAAAACAGCAGCAAAACCAACTTCAATACAGTAACTTATTCCTTCTGTAGGTGTTCTAGAAGTATTTATCACCATATGTTTTAATGAAGTTCCATAATACACTATGCTGCTATAAGAGTTAATCATCAAAAAGAATTCCCCTTTCTCTTACTCGGAAAAGATAGGCATTTTTTCACTGAGTTACAAAAAATAATTGGGGAAGAAAATTTGTAACGGTTTAGTTTTCAAGGGCTAAATCCAGTCATTCAGACTTTAACACATATACACAAGCACAGCTACTCCTTAAGCAGCGTAGAACAATTAATTCTGGCAGAAATAGACAAGAACAGTTTTTGATTCAGGCATGTTACTACAATAGAGTAAAAAAAAACCAAAACCAAACCAAAACAAAAAAACCCCTGTGAAGGCTGGTGATTTTCATAGATATTTTACAGCACTGTAAAACAGAATAGATAAAGATTTTCTTTAGCATACACTAAAGTGACACTTTTCACCTTCTTCAATTTATGCATATGTAACGTCTAATTAAGTTCTTAGTATAGAGTGATGATGCATATTTAAGAAATGATATATAGGCTTTGATTTAACTTTACCTAAGACTTTCATAAATCTAGAATACCTTAATTAAATATGAATATGTATGAACAACAACAAAAATAATCTATGTATTCACACAGCCTATGTAGCAATTCTGGTGCCAAAACTTGAAATTCACAGAAATAGTGAGCAGTTCTAAATTTATCTTGGACAATCAATGCTTGCCAGTCTACATTTGAACCCACTTAAACTTGGACTTTGAAAGCCCTTTGACAAGCTAATACAGACTAACAGACGTATATACAAGCACTTTCTCCTACATTGACTCGTTCTCTGAGATCTGAGAGATTGCCTTCTTTTCGAAAGATTGCAAACTCGGGACTCTGAAGCACGGCTTCGGAGCGGGTCATCCAGCTGTGGAGCTCTGTTGTGTCAGAGTCAAACCTACAAGACAGAAAAGTGCAAGGCGATATTTAATTTCCACAAAGTTTCCGAAAACAGGATTTCACAGTAAACATGTTTAACCCATTGTTTAAACAAATGAATAAGCAGCAATTTCTCTCAGCGAAAGACAGTTTTAAACCCCCATATGTCATTAGACAGTTCATGAAACTATTCAGTCTAAAATTTAGGAGCACAGCAATACTTTTTCATTTTTAAGACCCTGATCTGACAGCCAAACAGTAATTTTCACAATAAGGATTCTAATTTTTCAAGCTGATGTTTTTAGAAGACATGAAACAAATGTCTCTCAGAGTACCACAAGTCCTGTCGGCTTAGCTGAGGATGTAAGGCCTATCTGGCTGACTAAATGCAGCCTTCAAACCTGTGAGATTTCTGTCCCAGCTTGTGCTGAGGATATTATGAAGGATATTCAAGCAGAATATTTGACTATAAGAAAGGACTCTCTTCTGGTTAAATCAAATTTGTTGTAGAATGTAATCACTAATAAACAGTAAAGTATAATTTTCCTACAGTTAAAGCTTTAGAAATTGAAATTAAGATCCCCAATTCTCTGCACATACTTTATAACTAGTTTTTACTCTACAGTCCTCTTTAATACAGTCTAGATTCTTTCATCAACGCCTTTAAAACTGATCTTAATTTTTGTTAACAAGATAATGTGTCAAAATGCAGATATTTAAATTACTGATGTATACAAAATTCAAATGGTGATTCAGTATCTACTGTAGTTTTTAAAACAAGAAGCTTCAGACAATACTTTTTCTCAGTTGTGCCACACTGTCTGCTTGATTGCATTTCTTTATTGAACTATATGTTTTAATATTTATATCTGCAGCTGATTTTCCTTCTGCGGCAACATAGAGAATGCAATGGAACAGAAAGACCTGGGGGGAAAAAAATCCTAGCTGTATCTTTAGCTTGCTTTGTGACTATAGGTTGTATCATTTGCATACAATTGAAAAACTACTAACAACAGTAACTTGAACAATTATACCCTTTTATTTTATAAAAATATACTCCATTTATACAAGATCTAAAATGTAAGGATGTAAGGTAAAATCAGGTGATACAGAATTCTACATATACTGAAATGAAAACTGAATATGAGAAACAGTTCCATGCTTTATCTAATATTTATGTCTTCCTTTTTTCCTTCTGCACTGTGATTTTTTTATTCATAAATAATGAAAGCAAAAGAAAGAAGAATCACACACTGTCTTAATCCCAGTCCAACATCCTATATTCAAATTATAAACTCCTAGGAATAATTTTGATAAAACAATTCCTGATAATACTATTTGAACGCTTATCAAAGGAGAAAAAATGTGACTGTGAAGTAATGGAAGGTGCAGAAATCTTCATTTTTATAAAGTACTACAAGTTCAGAGGCAGGAGACAAAATTCCCAGATGGTTCAAGGAATCTCTGTGTTGGTAACAGATTCTAATTCCTGAACTCAAACTACGCTCCCAGTTAAGGGCTTCCTACCTCAGCTCTATTTCTGATCATTAAATCAACTGTAATTCTTGAAACATAATGTTATGTAAATTATAACTGCATATTTGAGGATCACAAAACCCTAGAAGTCTGATAACAATGAAGACAAGTTTTTCAGTCCCTCAGTATGAAACTCCCTTGATTACAGGTAAAATTGCATGACTTCTAGTATTTGCTCCATTCTGAAACTGCAGGTAAGTAGGACTGGTGAGACCATATCCCTGGAAATTAGCCTGGTATTACCCCAGTATAGGATGGAAACTGGCAGAGCAAAATATTTACCAGTGATCATTTCTTAAATAAAAGGACTTAGCTCTTGTCTCTGCAACACCTTCCTTGGAAGAGAAATGGGAGCATTTGGGACAGTTTTGACAGTACAACAAAATAATCAGGAACACATCTCATGGCCCACTGAGCCATCAGATGGTGATAAGTATTAGACACAGATCTTTAATGCCCCTTCCAACCCAAAGCATTCAATAATGTGATATGATTCTCTGATATGACAGAGCTGATCTCACATAACGGATGGCTCTGTCACTTGGAGTTTCTTCTGGAGATAAATATCACTCCACAAACAAAGCCTACAGCTCAAATAAAAGGGCAAAAAAGAGGGGACAGAAAAGAATTAAAATACATAAAAGTCTTCTAAGTAGCATTTTGCAGTACATAAATATCCTTAAGATAAAGATGCTTTTCAATTACCTTGGGGGAAAAAAAAATTCTCTCATGTTCAGCTTGTATAAAAGGAGGAAATACAGGTAGAACATGGTATTCAAACATTCCACTATAGTAATTGCATATTTCATTTCTGAGGACAGCTGCAATTACAAATTATATTAGCTCTAGATTGGTATAAAAGAATCAATAGAATATTTAAATCTCCTAAGTACAACAATACTTTTGACATAAAAAAAATGCAAGATTACCTTTCGGATCCAACAAAGTTTAACGCATGTAGAATTTGTAAAAATAAATCTATGGAAGATAGATTTGGAAGATGTTTTCTTATTAGTCTTTTCTATGTCTGCTCCACCAGAGAGATACTACCTTTTACCGGTCCCACTGCCCTCTCTTTACAGGCCAGTACATGTCAGCTGAGTCCAAATAGAGTCTCTTTTTACTCCAGAGCATGTTTGAAAAAGCATGTTCACATTTTTAGTCCACACTGTTCAAATTTTCATGGAAATCCCCAACAAATTGATTTTCTGGATCATCCTAAGCCATATGTCCACTTCAGATTCCCATTCCAAACTCTTACTGAGATCACCATGTATTTGTTCAAAATTAATTCCTTGTTCTGGCAGCTTTCCTTTTCTGTATTAAACACATTATAAACCTCACCTTTGAGGCATTTCACAACTTAGTTGTGTCACGTTTTTCTCTTTCTGTGCAGGAAACTCCAACTCAAATACCCAGCAGAGTATGACACTCTAGTCCTAACAGAAGTTCCCTATCTAATCAAATAACTTCTGGAAATCACCAAGTAACAACAAGAGTTATTTTGTTTATATTTCACAATAAAAAAAATGTATTTTTTTATTAACACTTAAAGGGTCAACTGACTCTAAACCTTCAGTTTCTGCAATATACCTTATAAAGGCCTATTGTGGTTCTTACAGCCACCATCATCTAGAGAAAGACAATTGTATATTTTAAATTTATATTTCTGCCTTTTCTTATATACTGCCACAGTAAGATGATGATGTATACTTACACAAACAAATTCAATGTTGAACAAGTTCACATAGGAACACAAGGCATGAAGTATCTTGCTGTCATGTGGCCACCATGGTGTATAATCTTATCTCTAAACTGAATGAATTTTCGACTTGAAACTGCTACTATTTTACAGCTACAGTGGTTTCAGTACTTTATTCTTTCAACAGGCACAATTTCCTTCACTCATTTGTTTTTTCAGTTCCCTCCCCAAACAAAATCACACTGGGCCTGTCACCACTGTGTATCTTGGACAGACATAAGACCATTTGCCTACATATTGAGCTGGCAGGGAACGATACAACTTTCATCCAAGCACCACATTACTGAATTATTTCATTTCCATGTCTGGACTGAAATGCCCAGCTCACCAGAGGTCTTTCTCAGCTTGTAGCTCCTCACTGCCTAGAACATATCAAAGAACAACTCTGCAGTATACGATGCCCATTGGCAGAATTGCTCTGAGATAAACTAAGTCCCTACTGTCTGTCTTCCTCCTCTGTATTTGTAGCTGATGAACCATTAGCTGATAAACAGACTTGTTCTTATCTCCTAATTCAACAGCTGATTAATCCTAACAAATATTTTTACCTTTCAACTTTATTTAGTTCAGTTGTCAAATAATTTTATTTCCTTTTGGAATGATACTCTTAAACTCCTTTTACAGTTGTGATACTATTCAGTTTAGCCTCATCAGCATTATGACCAGCACATTTCTGCAATGCACACCAAGGCATGAAAGGAAATACTAGATTGATCCCAAGTGTATATCTCCAACAGAAACTTCAATAGTACCATCTTATTAGTCTCATAGTTTTCCTTCTTTAGCCGACCATCCATCTTGCCACTGGGGTACTGTACCTTCCCCAGCCAGAGCAGTAATTCCTAAACTGTAACAAGGAATGCTTTGCAGAAAATCTGATAGATACATGATATGTAAGCAAGTCACTTTCAGCCAAGGCAAATGAAAATCTAGAAGTTGTTTTAGAGTGTGTTCATTAAAACCATTTGCCTGCAGCAAACAGCCAGTGGCTAGAGGTGGAAAGTAGTTTTAAGTCCATGGCTTCCAGTGAGAGCCCGCTGGTATCACTCCTATAATATAACAGGTAATTTCAGATGCTAAAAGTGAAGAATACAAATTCTCAGTGTATTTATCACTATGCTATTTCTCACCTCACAAACAGGATAAAGGGTTAAAACTAATGAGCAATAAGAGGTTATAAAGTGTCCATGTTACAGACCTCAACATACCCATACTTCTTACACTCCAAATGAAAATATTTATGTCATCATAATTTTTCCTGTGATACATTTTTCTACAGAAATCCAAACTTTTCTAAGAAATGAAAATATCCTATAATCTCAAATATAATAATTTGTAAAGAAATGAAGGCTTTTGTCTTTTCAAAAAATTGTTTTAACACTTGTTAAATAAAAAAACCACTAGATGGAGCAACTATCTTATTTTAAGATGCCTTCCTCTTCAAAGGGTATCGTCTCTTTCAAATCTTCAGATTAACATTATACCCATAATAATATTATAACAAATAGACTTTCCTTGGAAACATTAGGAAGCATGTACAAAGTTATTTACTAAATGGCTAAGAAAAGTATCTTTGGACATTATTCAAGCACATTAATAGTACAAATATGCTTAAATTAAATGTTAAGCATCTCTAACATGTTTGCTGTTTAAAAACTTAACATGAACAATTTCCAGATTTTGCTACGATACACAACTAACCTGTTTTTTCCCAAAATATGTAAATACCATGAAAATGAATGTTACACCTTGCAATCCTTTCTCCTATTTACATTCTTTCTTCATTCTATAACTTCAGTGTGTTACATTTATCTCTAGTCTTAATGCCTAATACATACTTTCAAGATTTTAATATACAGCTCCAAGTATTTTATCTGTCTCAGTTTCAAATTGATTCTTTTGGGAAAAGGAGCTTTTCTTTGCCTAGTAACAGAACTTAGCATGTGCCTGAATTACTATGACATTTTGAAGCACTACTTTTGAGGTAGTTTTAGATTTTTTGGGGAGGGCAGAGGCAGAGTTAAAAAAATGTAATCTGCTTCTTATCTATGCTCTCCACCACTTATGGCAAAAAGTTGTTTTAGGAGGCAAGAAAAATCAACAGCTACTTTCCCATGCATTCATGTCACAGTGAATTGGAGCAATGGAAATGTGACATTCGGTCCCATGTATGCTATTGGTCTACAAGTCAAATTGCTTCTCCTCAATTTCTTCAGTATAAATGGAGATTCTCATACTTTCAATCCTGCCAAAGTACTTGCAAATATAAAAGTAAAAAGTTTTCTAGAAAGTTTGATGCTTCAATCTTAGCCATTCATTTTTTTCTCCTCAGCTTGGAAGTTGGAGACCATATTCTTACATTAACTCAATATTCACAGAGTGGCCAAACTACTCTTTCTTCCTCCTTGAAGAGGTTTCTAGAATTTCCAAAATATGTATTTCACAGAGAAGAAAATCTAGAGTACAAATCTTTCAAAACATGTGGCAATTGATGACGCATTTATTTCAGGCATACTCTTTTACAGCAACAATGCTGACTAAAGCTTGAGGAAAGATGAAAGAAGCTGACGAAACCTGAAGCATTATTGACTATCTCAAAAAAGCCCCAATGTGTCTTTCCCTCCCAGGCCCAAAAACACCATAAAGGGTGTTGTAGTGTGACAGCAGAAAGCAGCCAACACAATCTGTTTATTCACCTTCAGAAGCCTCTGACAAGCCTTTGATAATTGCTAGGGTTTTTTTTTTTTTGTCAAACAAAAGCTAAAGAGTACATAAACATCAAGTATTAGTCATTAAGTGCTCAGGGAAAATTTTGAATGTAAACACACACACACAGTATAGAACAATGTAGGAGAGGTAGGTTGAGAAACTCCATCCTCTTTTTTATTTAAAAAATCAAAAGGTATGCAGTACTATGGGCTTTGCTTGCCCTTGGGTGAAGCTACAACTAAATAAATACAAACACCCTTGAAAGATCTTGTGACCAACAACGGACTAACAAAACAAATGACTGGCTGTTTGGGAATACAACCATGAGATTCTCCAAGCAAAAAAAGTAGTGATCGAAAAGGTGTCTAGTCACCAACGAGCATAGATATTTTAGCTGAGCACCCAAATTTTAAGATGAGTTTTCTTCTCCCATGATTATCTTTATACTTAGTATTGATTTACTTTTTCTTGTCTTTGAGAAAGACAACACCATACTGTAAAACGTATTCGATTTCAAGACTGCATTTTTACATATTAATTAAAAACCGTAACAAAAATTGTTATTTTAAGCTGTAATTTAAATTGGACTTTCTAGAGAAGAAAGGTCCATAAGTTGTTGTTTTTTCCTTTTTGGTCTGTTCAGTCAGAAATGCCAAAAAATGAAATCCTGCCTTCAGATAACATAACCATCATTCAACCTGCTGCCCAGCTGTGGACATCTGTAACATTGCTTACTTTGCACATTACCATAATGTAGGTCTACTCAGAGGTATAACAGTCACATTGAACTAGTTCTCATGTGCTGGTATAATTGCATTGTTAAATCCAGTAACTTCTGCACAAGAAACGATAGTAAGACCATATTAAAGTGTATCAAACAGTTAAATCCCTTCTTCATTCTACAATTCAGATTTCTTTCCTGTCAGATTAAAATAAAAATCTAACCTGTGCAGCAATGAAAAGGACTCTGATTTTAAATATATAAAAGAAACCACAACTTACTCAATTATCTAAAGTCATCCTAGACAAAGACTGAGAACTAAAGATTTTTCCATCTTGGCTCTTATACAAAAATTAAACAGAAATTACATGGTGAATGTCTATCTCTTAGATATCATTAAAATAAATCAAAATCCGTCAAAACCTAGTATGCATGGTAAAAAAACCCAACTCTTTAAATTTGGTAGAAGATCTGCCAATAATATATCTACATACAATCACAGTCTCAAATTTGATAATATGTCCTATTTTCTGTACAAGGATCAATCAAATTTACATATAACATTGCTATTTGCAGTGCTTTAAACAGACAACAGCTTGAAGAATTTATAATTCTCAGTTTATATAAAAAAGGGGATTTCAGAACATAAACAATTCCCATAATCCAGCTACTTTTTGCCCCCTGGTAGTTTGTTTGCATGAAGATTATGAAGTCTGTAGTCTTCTGTATCATGCTTATTTTATTTTCAGTATTAAGGTAAATCAAAAGAAAATGATCAAGAAGGAAAACGTATGCTAACATTACATATACTTGAGCTGAGAAAGGAATTTCTACTGCAAATTGGTTTCATAATAATCTACATATAGCAAAAATTTTCTCACAGAATTGAATAATATAGGCTTAAAGAAATCATTCTACTTCATCTAGTTTTAACTAAGATAATGCTTTCCTTTATAACAGTAGTCTTTTTTACTTCCTTATCAAGTAAGATCATTCCAAGAACATTCCGTTTGGAAAAAGAAAAAGTTAAATGTTTTAAAATAACAATTATTGAAATACTTCAAAACTGCAGGAAAATTTTCATTCTTAACTTTTCAATTTCAAAATAAAGAACATCAATATTTTCATGGTAGGGATCATGCTATAATAAAGGTTTACTCTTGCATAAAAGCCAACAGGGTCTCGATCCTGGTTCAGATCTTTGCACATTACCGCTGAAATATTAACAGGAGGGCTAATGCTTATAATTTCTGTTAAGTAACAGCAATGTCATCTAAGAATTCCTTGAAAACATTCAAGAACTGCAAGTCTGCTGATAGTCATCACTGTGCATTATTTTGAGTTCTTGGGAACATATTAGCAAAATGCAACTCTCACTACCATTGAATAGTGATCTGGGATATGGGAAAAACAGATTCCAAACTAGGACTCTGGAGATAGATTCAAGTCATTCAAGTTAAGCTAGTGAAGTTACTTATTTGGGATAAGTACTTTCCATAGTAATACTTATCCAGTTTAACAAAGAGGGGTGAATCACTCTTCTTACATCACATATACAGCCTTTTTAAATAACGAAGCTCTACTAGAAACCCTACTTTTAGAATGATCAAAGAGATAAACCCCATTTCAGATGCTTATGTGTAAGCAAGTACCTATTTTTTTCAATTATATAATCCTTCAATTAAAAAAAAAAAAAAAGATTTCTCCTGTTCTTGGTATATTTCATTCTTCTTAATAAGTTAAGTACTATTTTACAAGAAAATACCTTATCCTTGTAAATACATTGAACAAACAAAGGTATTTTCTATGGAAATGAGACACTCAATGCAGTTTCAGGTCGCTTTCAGGACTTAAATCTGTTACCTTGGAATTCATGTTTATTTGGATATCAAAAAATATTTCCCAAACAAACATTACAGTGAACGTTTGAAGTCTACCTTCTTAGCACCTCATTTAGAAACTTACTGTTTGAGTCAATTCTACGTAAACACATTAAAATTTTTTCTCATGACTTCAACCCATGTTTAACATCAGTTGAAAATCCCTTGTCACTTGTATTTGAGTTACACAGGAAAAAATAATGGTAATGCACATTTCACCAAATATTAACTACCTCTGCAGAACTGTTATTTCTGCTGCTGACCCACAAGCATAAAAAAATACATGAACTTTAGAAACTAGACAATATCTGCACTATTAGTATTCTAACCATTCTTCTTAAAGAATGTAAAAAGCTAAGAATTAATGGAATGCTTCTTGCCCATCAAGTTTCAAGGCTATAGTCAAGTGGGATCCCCATGATGCCATACATAAGGACTTCAACTGACTATAATTACTATGCAATGGTATTGATGTAATTGTCAATATTCTGTACTGCTAAATAGTTGGAAGAGAAGCACAATATAATCCATAACTCATACTGAGTAAAGAATTATAATAATCAATTTGTACCTTAATAGAGAGAATGGAAATATAATTTTAAGCTAAAAAAAGTATACAGCAAACTATTGCAGTCAAATGACTGTATTTGCATTTTCATCCAGACTCTACCAGTATTCTCTCTCTGTCTCTTGATGATTCTCACCTCTTCCTAATTTCTGAATCCACAAGGAGTTGTCTTTTTTTGTGGGGTGGAGGTGGTGGGAGTTCCTCTTTAGCATGCTTAACCAGGATTTGTTCTCTTGTGGTCACCATAGTTACAGTTTCCATTACAGTTGTCTGTGTTACTGATGTCTGAGTGGTAGTGACAGCCTGCGAAATCTGTGAAAAGTATAAAAACACAGGTCACACATTGTTGGAAAGCCTTCAGTAAAGATTGTTTGGAGTAGCAATAGAAAATAATGAGGAACTGCTCCCATCTGATCATAGGCTGACCTTCAGAGAAAAACATTATACACAACCCAAAGCAGATTGTTTTATCCAACTCATGCCGTGTGAAAAAGATACCTGCAATAGTCAATATCAAAATCAGGAAGGATTCTAACGGAATTAAGTCTCCCTGTTATCCGTGCTGAATGAAGAGAAGAAATGAATGGTCAGTTTTGTGATGGAATTGAATGATAGCATATATATAAAATGTTACTATTGCTAAATGTTATCCTGCCCCCATTCTGAAAATTTGCTCCTTGAGAAGTGATAAAGGTATGATAATAGCACTAAAATACCAATTACTATTCTTATGGTTTATAAAAATTTTGAAATAGAATGCAATTCATCATAACCTACTTGCATAAAAGGGCAGTTAATTTTCTGTCAGGAAATCTTAAATTAGAAAACATGCACTAGAAGGCAAATTAATTTTCAGCAGTTTTATTCCATAATTAAAAGCAATGTTAGGGGGTCATACCAGATACTAATACATATAATATGTAACTCTGTAAACACTATCAATCTGATGCATTTAGCTTTGCCCAGTAATATGAAAAAAACCTCTTTATATAGCTGAGCTGCACTGAAAAAAAAAAAAAAGAGGAATATTTTTTGCTCATATTTGTTTGAAAGACACTGGTTGTACATGTACTGCCCATTTATACATCTTTCCATATAACACCAAACTAGAAACTTGTGACTTAAACGTGGGCAGCTGTTCTTAAATCCCTTAACTCATGAGAAATAGGTCACTTCTTTTTCTAGTTCTGTCAGATGATGGCTCATTTGTCAAAATGCTCTAGTTACAGCTCCAATGGCCACCTCAGTTTAAGGGCAGTGAAATGGAAAATAAAAGGAAGAAGTTATACCAGGAGCATAAAAGTTTGTGCACCAGAAAACCCTGCTTCTTTGTTTACTGCCAATACGTGAGAATTAGACTTCTCAATTCAACAACAGAAATGGCAGTATCTAAAATTCCATGAAACTATAAACACATACATAAATTATCTATTAGTTCTTGCATCAGAAACTCAGTAAGAAAATTGAGTCACCTTAGTTATTGAGACAGTAGTGTTTCTATAAACAATGGAGAAGAGGCATACTAGGTAAATAGCTCATAACAATGCCTTCATTCATTGAAAAAAAAAAAAGTAGAATGACAAGGAAAGGGAAATACTGATAGCAAGCAGCCTCTTCAGAGCAGGCAACATCAGCAAAGCTAAAAAAAAAGTAAAAAAAAACCAAATTCCTGCCAACTTTGCTGAGTCCTTCACATGTCTTCTACACAAAAGTCTTCCTGTTCTTTCTCCAGTCTTCCAGTGGAAATGAGGAGTAGGGAAGTCCACTTCCATTGTACTTGTGGTGCTACTTCTTACTTAGAGCAGTTAACTCAATGCTATGCTTCCACCTCTAGGAATTACCAGCTGCCTAGGTTTTAGAGCAGAATATGGACTACTCAGAAGACTAGAAAATTGAGATTCAGAGCAGATTTTTTTTTTTAAAATCTCTGGATTATGTCAGTTGAAGTAAGCTGCTTGTGACCTGCAGGGATTTAGCTAATGCATGAACTACCAAATTCTCTGGAAGAGAAAAACACCCACTTGACTTTTTAATCACTACGATATTATGTATTAGTGCTCTTGTTTTAGTTCCCTCAACAAGATGTACTGATTTTAATTTTTTTCCTACAGAAATCACAGTAACATTAAGTAAACATTTCCTTATAGTTTTCTTGAAACCTCATACAGCATTCTTTTCAATTTATTTTTAATTAATTAGAGTGCAGCAGGAAAAGCAAGTTAAAGTTTCTGATGTCTAGCATTCTGTGAAATTTGAGGATAGCACCTGATGTCATCTTTCCCTGACTCTGCACCTTAGAACAAAAAGTTTTGGATACAGTCTCTCTTTCCTCTTCTCATAAAACTCGTATTACACTCAGTTTTATCCAAAAATCAATGATAAGCTGCTTATGACACCTGGCAAGGTCACACCCTGCCATGTTTTCATTTGCCAGTCAATACCAGGGTACAGTTTCCAGTGAAGAAGGTGTAACACAGAATAAACCACAGCCAGGGGACTGTAGGAATCATCTGCAGCATACTACCAATTACACAGGAGTAGCAGTTTCAGTTGGAGATTGGGAACTGTGCTGCGATGCAATTACCATATGCTCAGAGCAGTCAAGTCACGATGCTGTGGGGGGTAATGATTTACATGTCAAAACAGTAAAGAAGTATTTTTCACGCTTAATCAACAGGAGTGGAGGTTAAATACTGTGTACTTCAAAAGGAGAATGGAGATGTGAATTTGATGTTCATAATCATTCTAATTAGAGACAGGGTAAGACTAAAATGTACATTGCAATCCTACTCTGCAAGATGAAGCCGGTTCACATTTAAACAGTGCATGCACTTTAGTGAGTAAAGGACAACCCTTACAAATATGAGGAATAAAAAGAAAAGAAGTAACTTTCACTGACTTCCCTAGGGAAAAAAACAAACCAAAGAACTGAAACAGCTCCTTAATCACTGAAGTGGTTATGTGTTTCATGTATTATTCAAAGATGGTCCAAATAATGACAGTATAGTTTCTTCATCCCTTCTGAGAAGGAGCAATACAGACTAGGGTTTTAACCCACTAGAAAATCATATGGAAAGTGCTAAGGTGACTCACAAGGCTGCACATTAAAAGGCTCTCAAATTACAATGCTTGCCTGCAGTTTCACATCAGCAAGCCCATCTTAGGAACATGTTAAAACTCATCTCTTTCAGAGTAGACAAATTTAAATCTTCTTTTTCATCCTCTATAGGCAAACATATGTACAATGTGTATATAGCACTTCAGTAGTTTTATGTCATTTTATTTCTCATTTATACAGCAGCCTACCTTTAATGCCATCATTTATTACTGCCTTTGGAAGTGCCCTCTGTCCTGATAAACTCATAATTTTCCTTTACACTCACTTTTGGAGCTGTCATATGTTCTTTGATGAAATTTATCTATGTGAGTGGGGAAGTTCAGATGAGGAATGGTGTTTTCTTTAGTTTGGAAAGATTTTCAGTACAATTTAGTGAAGCATAATCAACTCAGCAAAGCTGGGTTTAGAGCTTCTAGAAGCTATGCATCTAGTCCAAGTAAGTTGTCCTTGTCCTTGATTCCACTGTGTGGTCAATGAAGGAAAGCTGACATTTTCATGATGAGGACAAATTGCTTTTTAGAGGTATTTGTCTCTCTCTCTCACACTCTTGCCATCCACTCTTGTAACAGAAGCTTCAGACATGAGTTCTGATTAGATGCTTAAATTCAACAGTAATTAATTCAGCTAAATGTGGGAGGACTCACATTCTACTTTCTGCGCTTTTCCTTTGGGATGTATAACTACTGCCTATGTCTAGTTGTAGAATCAGCTTTGAACTGAGCCTGAGGTTGTCTCTTCCACTTAATTTCTTATTTTGTTAACAAGTTAATCATTTAATGACACTTTAGTAAGAGAAAGAGGTGATACAACTAAGGACAAAAACATAATTGCGAAGGTACTATAAGAATTATTAATCATAGAATCATTTAAGTTGGAAAAGACCTTTAAGATCGTTGAGTTCAAGTATTGACCTAGCTCTGCCAAGTACACTGCTAAACCATGTAAAGTTGATTTTGAAGTCAGTATCTAAGCTTGATGAATAAAATGTGCATTTTCTGATAGATCTTAGTGAAAAATGTTCTATTTGTCACTCTCTTCCAAGTCTCTTCCTCTCCAGTTCACAACTAGAGAGCATAATGAGATATTGTAAAGGCAAGCTTTTTCTTGCAGCCTAAACTGCAAGAAAATGAGCTCTGTAATAAATAAATGTATAAACCCACTAACATTATCTGCCCTGCCTAAATGGCAACAAGTACACCATCAGTATTTCATAGAAGGTACAGCTAAACTGTGCAACAGCACCTTAGAAACTGGTCCTTCGGTTTGCACTGACTGCAATGCCTCTAGAACATGAAGCAGTATGTCCTCAACAGCATACCAATTTTGTCCCAAGAAAAGCAGCTTCTCCTTGGAGGAAAAGTTTATCAGCTGAAGGGTTCTGCTATGATAATAGTTACACTGTTTTGGGAATCCAAAGCATCACCCATCCATGCAGATGTATGACATACACAGCCTCAGGACTGCTCACTTCACAAGGAGGCCATCTTTTCCGTAATCTAAGTTCCATTTTCAAAACCAGTGTCTGCTTTTAGGATCATCAATCTAGACAACTTTTGAACACTTTGGAGTGACTTACTAACTTTTTCAAATCATGTGACCCTAGCCATCCCAAATTCAAAAATGCATCTCTGGATTTTCCTCTGCATTGAAACCACAGGTTTCCTACAGCAAATATACAATAATTAAATAAAATTTTCAATCATAAATGCTGTGTAGCACGAACTTCTGTTACTAAGTGAAATTGTGCCCTTCCCTCGTTTTCCTCCCTTCTATTCTCTCAAACTGATTCTTCCAACTTCAACTGATTTTTTCCAACTATCACAGAGCAAACTGAAATATCAGGGTATGAGTTGAAAGCAAGGTTATTGAGAGGTATTCAGATCACTACAGGAAGTATAGCAGTTTTTATTTAATTAACCAGAAATATTAATATACAGTGACAAAAAAGGGCAGAATTCTCAAGGGAATTGAATCAAACTGTCCAGAACTATGAGACATCCTCTATGGACAGGACAGAGGTGTATGGCTGTAACATTCTGCTCTCTGTTATCATTAAAAAGTCTTTATGTCCATTTCCATTTCACCAGTCACACAATGATAGCACAAAAATAACTCAATATTAGTGAGATAATGGAATGGGAAAAGTGAGCTGATTTGGGTTTAAATCCAATAAGAAAAAGATGCTGACAGAAGGCTAGGCAAAATAATTGGATATCTGTTTGGGTACTACACCAGAGTGCTGAATTTATCTGGTTTAAAACCTCAATTTCTTTCTCTAATACATTACAATTAACATACAGTGGTCAAAATAATAGCAAATGATATTTTTTCATTGGCACTTTAGTTACAGGTATGGATTGATTTCTTTATTTTTCCAAGAAGCTTCTCTTTTTTGTGGCCTCTGTTTTTAATCTGTAAATCAGCATAACATTCAGAAGTAAACCAGCAATCGATTATAAACTTTTACTGTTGAAAAAGAGAAAAACGTTCACTTTAACTAGCAGACAGTTCTTACAGTAATTTCAGACTAAGTGCTATTCCACAGAGACAGTCATTAAAAAAGTGCATTATTATAGGTTAAAAATAAATTAACTGGAAAGGGTATTTTCATTACAGATTGTATCATCCCTGAAAACATGGTTAACAATCCAAGAAAGTAATCAACACTATAAAGACAGATTAAAAACTAAAGAGATAAATAAAAATTCTGGAAAGTTATATTGCTCTTATATTATACTGTCCTAAAAATAAAATATGTCTTAAGCAATCATGCAGGGAAAAAAATTAAAACAAGATGACAAACAGCACCAAAACTACTTCAAGTATTTGACTGTCAAAGGATAAAACTGATAAAACTATGGTTTTGACAAACCTGTTTAGAATTGCTCTCCACCTTCTGCACAAGACTATCCCAGCGCTGGGCAAAATTTTCAAGACGACTCTCCAGCTTTTGAGCCACTGCTTTATTTTTCACAGCTACAAGGAGATCTTGACTGAGCAACTTCAGCTTACTCATCATTTGCCTTTTCATTTCTAGATCTCCTTTTAAGATCTGTTAAACAAAGTAACAGAAGGAAGAACAGTAAATTATACACAAAAAAAACCTCCACAAAAAACAAATCCAATAAACTTTGGAAAAAAATCCTAAAGAGAGCATCATAAAGAACTGAAAATGGCTAAGGGCTCCTATACTTCTATGCTGCTGTTACTCTAAAAAATGTTGGCAGAGCTGACGGAGAGGAATGGACACAGTGTACTTCACAAGGCAATATAACGTGGCAGGTAGAGCAACTCTGGACATCACAGCATGCCTCAGGTGGTGACATAAATCAAAAAGCTAAGAGTTGTGTGACACTAATAACCTTAAAACTGCACCAATGTTAACAACTATAGCAACATGTCAAACAATGTTTCTTTAAAGTTTCAATGTACTTTGTTATATATTGCATATTAAAACTTCATGAGGAAAAAAAAATGTTTCCTAGAAAAATAATATTTGACCCCAAACCAGGATTAAAAAAAACCCTCAAAACCTCAAATAAAAAAATAAAATTAATGAGGAGCCCTTGGGAACCCCAGGAGCTCTGCTGAGTGTTCCAAGGACAGGGCCCTGCAGCTGGAGCCCAGGAACTCCTGAGTACAACCTCTGAGCCCTGCAACCTGCCCTACAGCCTGAACCCAGCGATGCTAACAGTCTTCACACCTCTACTGTAGCAAACTGCCAAGGGATCTTGAAATTCCCGAGATCCATACAATCAAACCTGTCTGTGAAGTAGGCTATTCACAGATCCAAGGATCATCCACAGCTCCAGTTCTTAGTTGGGTTTAGTTTTCCAAGCCTCATCTGGTTTACTCCGTTGATTTCCATTCCTTAAGTATTCATTCTCTACACTCTAATCTGTGCTAACCATGGCTAAATTTTGACCTCTCTGTGCAGCTATGGGTTGCATTCTAATCCCCAAGTCATGAAAATGAAAATTAAACAAATGGTTAGACAACAAAATTTAGTCTAGATATAGTTTCCTATAGTAATATCATCCAAAACTGTAATTAAAACTACAGCTCAGTAAAAAAAGAATCATAGTCTTTGTAATTAGTACTCTTTCTATTCAGATGTGGTATGAAGCATCATAATTACTAATGTTAGTTAGAGTTAATACCAAAATTTAAATTGGTATATCCCTAAGAAACAGAAGCTAACTTTATATTCAAGAATCTGTTTATATAGTGGGAGATCTAACAGATGGAGGAAAGTAGACGTAAAACAGTTTATCATCTTAAATTTCAAGCATTGCTATATATGCAAAATATACCTTCTTCGCCTATAGTGTCAGAAAAAGCTCATGTGGAAGCCACCATATACAGTGACTAAAATAATAAAAAAATGGTACCCTGTGAAACACTAGTTAATTCTGAACAGCAATTTTATTTCCAACCTCCCCGGCTCACAACAGCTGCATTATACACCCATGAGCTCAGCATCAATCTAAGATACACCAGGAGCACCAGCAGTCAGGGAAATACTAGAAAGAGAAGGATGCTAAAATTTTCTATGTCAAAGATACTGCTCACTACGACCTAATATGATTTGTGATAGATACAGTGAACCTCCAAAACTATACCAGGGGATTCTATTTTCACATTTCCTTACCAAAAACCTGTCAATGGGCCATAATAACAAAAATATGCTCTATTTTTTTTTTCCGATACAGGAATAGACTAAAAATACCTATGTTCAAGACCTAAACTACTAATACTAGCCACAAAATAAGTAATTTTACAATCTACAAGACAAGAAATGGGAGTTTGCTTTATGAAATTAGTTATCAAATATGTCAGTCATAACTTCTGTCAAGTTCATACTGTAAACCCTGATATTTGAATATTATAAAGTGATTTCCTTATTTGTTGGTAAAGCACTTTTACCATTTTATTGGTCTTAAGATTTTAATTATTACTGTTCTTCTTTTCCTTAAACATCATCAAAAACTTTCTTTGCTCATTGTAATAATCTAACCAGCAACATCCGTTGTAATTTTTCAAGTGCTAAGAGATTTATTCCAGTAAAAAATAGTGTAATAACTAATTTATTCTCTATAATAAGTAAAAAAAAAATTGCATTAGGTGAAGCAGAAGATTTAACTCTATTTTAATGGAACATTTATTATAAATAGAGATATATCTTGCATACCTTTGCAGTAACTCTCAATATTAAAAAAAAAAAAAAAAAAAAAGAAAGATGATCAGCTTCATTTTACAGATTACAAAATGCAGGCACAGGACATAAAAACATTCTATCAAGCCTGTGCAGGACATGAAAACATTCTATCAAGCCTGTGCCATACATGACAGTAAAATTTCACCCCAGTTCTACATTCTCAGTTTATCACATCTTCCAGCTTAGTCCATGCCCTGTTTCACCCTTTGTCTTGTGTAAGAATTCAAAGACAATTATAATGTCAGTGAATAATGGTGGGTGGAAAAATTAAGTTCTTTTAAGGAAACATTTTTAGAACTAGAGTAACTACCCACCAACATCAGGAAAAAAAAAACAACAAAAAAGGACAAACGTCAATCTTAATATATGCAAAAAGTAGTAAAGACTAAACAGTTTTTCTGACCTTTAGACTAAGAATATCCCAGAAGGGAGTTAATGACAAAGAAGACAAATTTTCACATACAAATACTGAATAAATCCTTTGAAACAAACCACTGGAGATTAGTAAAACATAAAATTTTCTTGGGAAAACCAATTTTATCTGAACAAAAATTCTTACAGCTATTACACATCCAGTACATAAATTAAGAAGAAATCTAACTGACTTGATATCAATTTTATCACAATGCTAGAACTGAGTGAATTGCTACACTGTTCAAAATATATTTATTCTAATAACAACGAAAAGGTAACTACTAATGCCAAGGGGAAAAGGAGGCAGCATCTGTACTGGGTTTACATGGCAAGATTTTGGCAGCAGGGGAGCTGCAAGGTTCGCTTCTTTGAGAAGACACCAGGAGCTGCCCCTGTGATGGATAAAAGCAGTTTCAGAAGGCTCCAAAACAGACCCACCACTGCCCAAAGCTGAGCCCATCAGTAACTCTGACAGCGTCTCTGTGGTAAAATCATTAAGAAAGGGTAAAAATGCTGTGCAGCAGCTGCAGGAGAGAGGAGTGAGAAAAACATGAAACAGCTCTGCAGACACTGAGGCCAGAGAAGGAGGAGGTGCTCTAGGCACCGGAGCAGAGATCTGCCTGCAGCCCACAGTGCAGACCACCGTGAGGCAGCTGTGCCCCTGCACCCCATGGAGTTCCATGGCAGATCCACCTGCAGCCAGGGGAGGACCCCATGCCGGAGCAGGTGGATGTGCTCTGAAGGAAGCTGTGACCCTGTGGAGAGCCCACACTGGAGCAGGTTCCAGTTTGGGGACATTATTGTGATGAGAGTCATTTTTTTTTTTCATACTGTGAACAGCATCTCAACAGACCTATTTCACTTCAGTCACTTCAGAATGCTTAGGGCCTTGTAGGAGAGCTGTAGAATTTCAAATCAACAGTCATAACGCTAAATAATTTAATAAAATACCTTCAGAAATTTTCTTTCAGGCTTAAAGAGATTGGCTAAAGAAAAAGACCTTAATCTTGCCAAGTTCTACATATAAGAGGGGCAATAAAAAGAGACTGGAAGTTCTTATGCCATACCATAATATCAAACTTAAAATTCTTAAGGTCATACAGGAAAAAGTAATGCTGTAATTTCTTGCTGGAAATGATTAAACAGTTGATGGACAAAACTATCATATCACTAAGAATATAAACATTTTCATATTATTGAAAGAATATATTTTCACTGCCTCGTAGACTAACTTTTATAATTCATGAAGAAGCTGGCCTAGTTATAACAGTGATTCTTAGTGACAGTTTCTTCTTCACTACATTCAAACACACGTCTACGCCCAAAATAAACTACACCAAAAGATGGGCCTGATGTGCATGTCAGCGTCAGGAAAGCAGGATCCCATTTTTCCTTATTTCTAAAAGCCAGTCCAAGAGCAGAAGAATATATTCTGTGAAAAAAAATTTCATGTGGGCCATGCACAAATTCCCCGTGATTCAGACAAGAATAAAATAGCAAATCTTCATATACAAAACTCCTGACAATTTGGCATTGTGTGAATGTAAAAATACATATTCACTGGAATTTGGAGATGACTGCTACTGACAGAGGAACTCCAAAGTAAACAATGTTTTTCTGCTACAAATCAGACACAGGAGAGGCAGTGTTCCTCCAGCATACCACCAACATTTACACAGCTAAACTATTGCATTATGAGTCAGCTGTTCGTAAAAAAATCAAGGTCACATGTGTAAAAAAGATTAAGTCGGTATCAATAAACCCACCTGTTCTGTTAAGGATGACATAATTCTTGTTGAGGTTCAGGGCAATGGAGAAATCACTTTATTTACTCTGTTTTTCATTCAGTTGCACGGAAGACCACAATGATTTAATGACAATAATGCTTAACAATTTAAGCTGGCACAATAATTTTAACTTCATAAAAGTCCGTACTTATTTCATTAATCAAATTTATGAAAATACTACTCAAGTGTTTCCCTCTTAACATTGTGTTTTCAAGTAATTCTGAAAGGTATCCAAAGTTGTTCTAGCCTTGACTCTTGTAAACCATTAATAGTCTTCTACTTCACAATTTGAGATAAACATTTCAACCCTCAGTACCTATGTCCTCTAGCAATTTACTGAATAAATTTGAATTCCTTTTAATACATTTTTCTTCATGAAGCTGCTCTAAAGCATCCTGAGTTGCCTCTAATTTGTTATGCATTAGTAAAAGCCTGGCTTGAGGTCAACTTTGAGACTGCTTACATGTTAGATTCCTAGAATTTCCAAGAAGTATATACACCAAGGCAACAACTGACTACTTTCTAAACTTTCTTTAGAAAGAAGCTTACTTAATCCTAAGTAATCTTTAATCAAAATTCACATCTGGACTTCTAAATGCATATTTTTATTAATCCTTAAAGAGTTGCAGAAGGAAAAAGAAGGGAGGGGGAAAAGATTATATATACTACAGGTAGTAGTATAATTACAGTGTCTTAAGATTACGCTAAAAGTCAATCTTTTGGGTCTTGACTTTTGGAGAAAAAAAATCAACAAATAATAACTACTTAGTCATTCTACTTAGTCATTCTATGAATCAATCATTTACTGCGAATTCTGGACCAGACAGAATGTAGTTAGAAATTAAATACTCAATCTATAAGATTACTCTATTAAAAATTTATACATTTGTATATGAGAGAATAAAATAGAGTAAATTTTAAAAATATCACTTAAACTTCAAAAACATCACGGTATTTTTATTGACCCAAAGCCCAAGTGTTTCTGCTTATAATACAGAATGATGAGAAAGACATAAATCCTAAATTAATTTTTGAAAATCTAAGTTTGAGCCTTAGATATACATAATCAAGATAGGTATAGTCAATTATAATACATAATTAATTATTAATAACTCTATTAACATAATTATTATTAACAAACAATTAATAATAGGTCATTAATAATAAATGGAGAATTCTTCATTCCTTAAAAATTCTAGTAGGCTGTAAAAACAAGTCTTGAAATAATGTCTAGGATACTCCTCTCCCCCCATTTGAAAAAAAAAACAATAATATTTCTGTTTGAACAGAAGTTTATCAATTATGTTTCTTTTTAAAGCAATAATAATTTACCTATTTTAACCAAAGCTTTGACATGACTGTTTCCTTTCCTATAAGTGCACAGACATTCATCATTACATGCAAAAATAGCACATATCATATAATTTTCTTTACAAATGTCTTACTGCTATAAAACCATTGGCAAGTCTAAGCTGTGACAAGTTTTTCACCTCTACAAGCACAGCATCTTTCTAAGCCAGTCAGACTTATATTCCCTCCAGAAAGGGAGGGACGTTGAGGACTAGATTTCTGATGTTGAGGTCTAGTTGTGAAGTAATACTAATTTAAACATCTCACAACTTCAAGCCTTTAGTTTTTTCAAGTTCAAGGAACGTATAACAGGGTTTGTTTCATGATAAGTACTTACTCATGCATATGTCTTTGCACATATGCACATATACTCCATCTCACACACAACATATACACCAACAGTATCAACAAAGAAACTTTCAGTATAAAAGTATACATCTTTTTAAGACACCCAGATTCTATTTTAGTTCATAAGATTTTGACTTAAGAGGCAATCAAGAAAAACATCTGTATGTGTTGGTTCCCTCATTAACAAGGCTATGGACCAACCTATTCCATCCACAAGAGTCAATGTCCACTCCCATAGCATGAAACAGCTGTTCCGTTAAACCATATGGTCTGAGAGTGGGATAAAGCCAAGTGCATTCACAGTCAGATTAAGAAAGTTGAATATAAAATAGAAGAACAAAAAATACATACAGCTAATTTGCTTAGATTGGTCAGCATTTCATTTTGATCTTCAAAGCCAGTTGTACGAATTTTGGTCACAGCATCCTCTTTCTCAGTAAGCCACGCATCAAAAAGGCACTGAAATTCAATTGGAGAGAAAAAGCTTCAGTCAGGCCTTTCTTAGTGCAATATTTTGAAGAACATTCCAATTTATAACTGCAAAAAACTACTCACCTGCTCTTCTGCAAAATGCTGCCATTTACGAAGAATATCTTGCAGAAGGACCCATCGGTCTTCTGTCCATCTGCAGATTACTGCCCATCGTTTTCCAAAGTGCTAGAAAGAAACACAAAAGAAAAGTTTGCATTGGTTTATTTTTTTTTCCCCTAAGCAAGGCAAACTCTTCATTTTTTTTTAAGAAAACACTTTCCTAATTCATTTTTTTTTACTCTTATGCCCTTAAAATATGTTGCATATCAAAGTGAAATGGATCTTCGCACTATTTAAAAAAAAAACATAGTGGAGAGAATAGGAAAACAATAGATCCTAAATGAGAGTGTTTTCACACTAATCCACAGACACAGTTTTCTATTAAGTCTCTAGTACCACACTTCCACTCTGTTTTAAAACTTTATGATGCCCAAAACATAACAACTTGAAACATGATTATGATGGTTCAAAGATGTGGTCAAAGCAAAAAAGTATTTGGTTTTTAAGTTGCACCATCAGTGCAGTTGATCAAAGTTCCTACCTCTTTTACAATATTGCAGTGGAGAACCCCCCAACTTATAGGCTAAAACACCAGCACACCATCACTCAGGTTCCCCAGGTATTTGTAGCATATGCTAAGATCTTGCTTTATGGTGAACTTGCCACTGGCTGCCGCATGAGAGGAGCCCCGAAGAAAAGACACAAGGACTCCCTGAAACAACATCTCAGCCTTGGCCATATTGATCACCATAACTGGTCTACTCTGGCCTCCAATCGGGAGGCCTGGAGACACACCATCTATAACGCAGCTGTCTCCTTTGAGAACACACGCAGGATCACCCTCGAGGAGAAAAGGCAACGCAGAAAGAACCGTGTCTTGCAGAATACACCATCTAAGGAGTGCCTTTTGCCATCGGATATGTCTGTCTCGTATTGGCCTCATAAGTCACCAACGTGCCTGTAACAAATGTGGATAGAGCCTTCCCAAATCTTCGTTCGTGAAGCCCAGCCATGATGACATTTTAAAATTACACAAAACACTACCTTCTTCTCTCTCCTTTATTTTAGTTGAAATCAAACATTATTACTTCCTTTTAAATTCCTACTAGCCTTTATTAAATGATGCTTAAGTTGAAGGAGGACATATAATACTGCTGTGATAGAGCAACAGGATATGAAACATTTATTGCAATGATTTACAATGACTTAATTTCCCCTGAGCATCATATGCAAATTATTCATCTGCTTCCCCAAAAGAAACAAACAAACAAAAAACAACAAAAACCCCCCCTTATAAAATCTGAAAGATATTCTATACTACTGCATACTTATTTTTTCATCTACTTCAAAAGGACATCCGGACAAAAGGATAATATTTTCTTCCTTATTTATTATTTATTTAATCACTTTATGATTCTTATGGGTCCCTTATAACTTGAGATATTATATGATTCTATACTTTTCATATTTACATATTTTCCATAAAGACTATAATTTTATTTTGGCAGAAATGCAGCATCAAAGTGGTGGATTTTTAAAACTAACTACTATTTTCTACCAGTAACAAAACATTTTATTTTTACTTTCTAGAAAATGAAAGGTAAAATTTCAGAAAGCCAATTTAATTTGCTTTAAAAATTTTACGTCAAAATAAAAAGTCAGCAGATACAACATTTTTATTGAGTGGACACTAAAACCATATTTCAGACTAAACAGTCAGCTGCCATGCCATCGAGTAATATCATATTAGATATTGTCTCAATTTAGAAAAATGAAAACTATCTCCAATCAACTAGCAAAATAACGTTAATTTAAAAACACGTTAATTCTTAAACAGATCAAATATATTTCACAGTAATAGATAACTCTTCCTTTTCAGTCAGTTACTGCATAAATACAAAGTAGATTTTGAGCAAGTTGTTTTGTCTTTTCTAGTCTTAATATTGGCATCACACTTCTGGTATATTTTTGAAATTCTGGATGGATTTACCTAATGAACAAATCACTTTTTTTCCTAATTATATCCAGACAGAACCAAGCTATTTTGCAAATCTAAGATTGTGATTTCACATTAAAATCACATAATTTTAATGTTAGTGTTTGCTTTCCGTTAAACATAATGTGATCAAAGATCACTAATTCAAACAAACACAAAAAAGTTCAGGTTTTGAATGTGAATATTTCATGAAGCTAATTTCAATACTAACAGAAACAAATACTTGCTGATGAAATTTATGGTCTCAACTTATCAGGAAATAGAGTAGAACACATTTTATTCATTTATTTTACCCATTCATTATTAAATAAAATTGAAAAAATTTATGACGGAGAACAGTGCAGGAAATTATTCAGACAGCTACTCTAAGTTGTCCTTTTTTAATTATTTTTTTTCCTTCTATAAAAATGTCACGATTTTATAAAGAGTATTTATCAGCCTCACAGGTTAAATTATATGTATACCATAACATCTAATGTCTTTTCTGAAAAAAATATACTTTGACTTATTTCATTGATTTGAATACCTAAAGGTCTTAATGTAACAAAATGATGTATTACATTTAGTTTTATTTGTCCTGAATCTGACTTGATTTCCAGTTTAGCTCAAGACAGCCTCAACATTTCCTTCCTCCTTTTTCTCCAAGCCCAGAAGACAACTTAAGAGATAGATCTCCAATATCTAGCACTTGTTTAGTTTTTCATATTCAACCAATCTTTTTTAACTTGCTAATTTTAAGCTCAAAAATCATAACCATATCCTTCCTCATAGCTAATTTATAAAAATTCTCATACCTGAGTAATTTTTAAATATCTCACTTTCAAGCAGCTGACTTCTGTTAACAATCTGCATGAAAAATATAATTTGCTCTCAACATCTGCACTAATATCTTCATCAACTTGCCTTTATTGCTATGATATACCTTGAAAAATAATTTTTTTATTATCTAGAAAACACCAAAGCCTCAAGAGTATAAGATCGAATATGTGACTCTGCATTTACTTTAATTGATGAGCATGGCAAAAAAGGTCTTCCTGAGTCAATACAAAATACTACTGTCAGAATATGATTTCAAAGCCACAAAACATTTTTTTTGGTCTCAATAATTTGACAAGATCTTTTATTTTAATTAAGTAAAATGACCACTGATAAAAGTTTTGATATTGTGACCTGCCTTAGAGCTGATTTTTCTCATGAGAGGTCTTAACAACCATCAGATCAAGACACACTGTTTAGTTGAAGAGGTTTAAGACATGAAGTTTCAAGTCTGAAATATCAAGTCAGGACTGTCTATTTATCAAGTAGCATTTGACTGCTAAATCATATGGTGCTCAACTTTAACTCCCTCTTGACATCAAATAGTAGTCAATGCTGCAAGTGGCCTGTGTGATGCCCAGGAACTCAGACTGCACACAAATGTTTTGTTCCCGAAACCTGGGAAAACAAATCTCCAGAGAAACTGACTGAATCCAGACTAACAAGTAAAATGTCCTCCTGCTCCCTTGAAAGGCCTCTTTTTACAACCCTAACAAATTTTCAGAGAAATCTGCGTGCAAAAGAAACTTTTTTTCCTACTGAGAGGTCTCTGAAAGAACATTCGTTATGACTACAAAAAGCAGCAGAAGAAATATTTCTAGTCTGCTAAATGGTCAAAGTAAGGAAGCACGAGAACAGGAGAAAACGAATAAAACCAACACAACTCTTGGGAATGCTGGAGTGAATGTATAAAAAGTCAAATAATATACTTCAAGCCTGCAACTAAGAGTTTTTTGAAAGATGCTCTTCAAATCAGGTACGGCTATCCACTTTTTAAGTAATGAGAAGTGGAAATATGTTTTTGCCTATATCCAAAAATAATTATTTAAAAGAGAATATTTGGCCCATTCATAGAATTTCTACCATGCAGCAATAAGCCATGTGTGTAGTTCTGAAATGCCTGTACACCAACACATGCAGTGTGAGAAACAAACAGGATGAACTGGAGGCACTGGTCAGGTCCCACGGCTGTGATATCGTTGGTAATAGTGAGACGTGGTGGAAGGAGTCCCATGGTTGGAGTTCTGGGATGGAGAACTATAGACTGTTCAGAAGGGATAGGCAGGCCAGGTGAGGTTTAAGAGGTTGGATTGCACAGCCCTTGCACTTAGTGATGATGTGCTGGACACCCTCTGGGTGAGGATTGAGGGGAAGGAAAAAATGATGCGGTAGTGGGTATATACCACTCATGGCCCAGCCAGGATGGGTTATTCTATAGGTAATTAAGAGAAATTTCTGGATCAGTAGCCCTCATCCTTATGTGGGATTTCAACTTCCCAGGCATGAGCAGGTCTTGGAAATCCCTAAAGTTTGTAGGAGATAACTTCTTGTCATAGATATTCAGTGAACCAACTGAAATACTCTATTCATTCTTTAACATTTCTCACTTATTTTGCTGTATTTTTACAAGAACTACCCATACATCATCTTTATTTAAAGGATAGTACTCTGAATAATATGAATATGTAATTGTGTAAATTAAACTCTCAGCTCCTTTCCCTCAGCAGGGGAATAAGCCATCAAGTAGTATATGATACACTTAATGCAGATCTCTTTCTAGCACAGACCCTGACCCCTGGAGCCTGGGGAAGCCTCCAATTTGAGCTAGTCCACAAGAGTCCTTAAGGGACCTGCTGTCTGCTGGGTATAATTAGAGGAAAAAATCTCCCTGCATTCATGGCTTCTGTACGTTATCCAGCCATTTCTCTGCGCTGAAGATAATTTCCCATATTTTTCCTATGGAAATGAGTCAGATTACAGCAACAGATTTGCTAGTACAGTCCTTTGATTATGCAGCACTAAATACAGATTTGAGTCTTACTTAGCAGCTACCTTGGTAAATCTTTGGATTGAATTTAATTGGGATCTCAGAGTTATAAGCCTAAATAGTCAGTTCTCAGTAGCAGCATAAACAGAGCCTCTCAACTTGTCACATACTGATATATTAAGTAAGCAATGTAATGTAAAAGTAGTTTTAATATTCACGCTCACCTAGACTAGCTGCAGTCTCTCAAAGTACCTTGGGGCGACAGCTGTTTGTAACAGAAGCACTGCAACTGTGTTTTATTTTTCCAAGCAAGGTTAAATTTTCTATGCATAATTTTTTTCAGGGGGCACTTCTGGCTTCTATGCTATTAACTGCCTCTTAAATAGATATTTTTTTGCATATGTAATAAAACTTAAGAACTTCTATACAGTACATTTGAGGTCAGTATAGATTCTTGTCATCCTTTTTGAGACTTAAAATCTCTAAAAGTTCATTTTAGGTTTTAAACATTTTCTTATAGAGACACTTGCAAAAATATATATATTTATATATATGAAAATACTTCAGGAATCACCATCTCAAAAAGAAAGGTATAACTGAATTACACCTGCTTGGAAAATGCATCTTTGACTATTACATGGAAATAACTATTCACTTTCTTCCAAATCTGATCCTGACCAGTATCTCAGTGAGCCAGCCTTATTAAGCTCTTTTGTCTGACAGTGCATGCTCTTGTTTTGTTCTGCTTTTACAAATCAGATACATAATCAAGCTTTGAACTTTGCTCCATTGTGCTTTTTGTCAAACCCTCTAATGGTCGTGCCTGCCAACACGTTCTATCTTCTGTGCTTATATTCAGATTGCAAGTGATAAGAAAAAAAGAATTCCAAACAGTTTCTGTACACAAAAAAAGAGGTGTAATATTTTGCTAGGAAAGTAGGTGGTCTATGGTAAGTCAGTTCTCCTGGGCATTATAATATGACAGTTTCCACACCTCCCTAACACTCCAAACCCCACAGTTTTATATCTGTATTTGGGTTTTACTAACATCTACAATCTTGATACATATTCTTTGACTTCCAGAGCAATGAGATTATCGGGCTTTTCTCTAAGATTCTTCTGTAAGACAGTGTGATTCAAGGAGGGGACACACCAGCAGATGGACTGTCACACACCACCCCACGCTCTGCTCAGAGGAGGCATGTGCTGCAGATGAGGGGCCTCAGCAATTTTCTTGCCAGCATCTTTCAAGGAATATACTTTTTCAAAGACAGGAACAACTGGGCACGCTTCATCCCAATATTAGATGCCTTCTCCACTATTACAGTTACAAATGGTGTATTTCCACTGTGTTCCATTTACACTCATCATTCATTACATTTCTTTAAGGTATTGCAGTAATGTCTGAGTTCCATTTCAGGTTGTATTGTAATCTGGGTCAGCTGTAGAAGTTCCACAGCATAATAATGGTACCTTTGCAACCATGGTAATAATAGGTGATGCAGTTGTGTCACATGATGTGCTCTTAACTCTTCAGATGTCTTTCTGAAGTTGTGGAATTAGATTAAATATCTAATAATCCACTAACCTTTCATTTGTATTTCACACAATTAAAAATTCTCATTTGTACATCATTTAATTCATGAAGTGCCATAAATATCAAATACCACCTGTAATTTTCTTTTTTCTTTTTTTTTTTTTTTTTGTTGTACTTTACTCCAGGTCTTTGTGCAAGAACATACTGTTTGCCAGCATTCAAGACATTTTACATGTTTAGCTTAGCTTCTGGAGCCATGTTCTTGCGAGAGATTTGTTTTATTCCACTGAACAGTATACAAGGAGCTGGCAAGAAATTTTGGAAGGTTAAGAATATCTTGAGCAGGTACACCAAAGTTCTAACACTTAAGGTGAAGTTAAAAGGAAGTAATAATTATGGATCAGTAGAGGCTGCATTGTTACCTTGGCTGGGTTGTGTATCCAAATTAGCCAGATTTAAGATAGCACACATATCTATCTGTGCTACAGCTTTACCTTCCTGCTGAATGTATTGATAACTTCTCTAGAGAAAGCTTGGGTTCTAATGACTCAAAAACCACAACATTTTTATTTTCCTGGGTAATGAGGCAAAATAAAGGAAAAGCACTTTCTCCTTTCTGAAGGACAAAAATAGAAGAAATCTTGGTTGCAGCACTGTGATTCCTCTTGAGCAGTGTCCCTGAAGATCTGACCACCAACACAAGAGAACCCTCCCTCAATGCATCTCAACATTAATTATCCATTTAATTTCATTCAGAAGTTACAGTAAGAGCATTGAAATAAAAATAATACAGTAATACCAACTTTTTAAAGATGCAAGTGAAGTACTGAACTTTTATTATAAGCAAGTTAATATTTAAATTTTCAGAATATCTTTCTAGGTTTATCACAAATGTATCTCCAATGTGTCATTCTTTTAAAGATAATCAATTAATTGTATTTAGAAAATAAAATATATGGAAGGTTTTCTCTGTTTTTAGGCTTTGGGCCAAAATGCAGTTTAGAATAGATTTGGATTGTACAGGTGTTGCTGGTAATTTCTAAATTCTCCCTATTCCAGTCCTCTAGAAAGTCTTCTCATAAGAAATTCAAATGACAAACTATTGTAAAAAACATAAATACTGAAAAGGATGTACACTAAAACAGAGAAATGAAACTAAGAACTGGTTGAGATTGTTCCCTGCATTTCCTAAGAAACATGTCCATGAGAAAAGTAATGGGAAGTAAATTATGACTTTCCCAAAACAAGTGTTTTAGAAAAACCAGAATAATATTAATATTTCTTGATAACCATTAATTGTCTAAAAATTATGGTTCTGTACACATTCACTATTTGGTTTTGCTTATTTTTAAAATTTCTTATTTCAAGTTTTTGAGACAAGTCTTGTTATTTAGTCATTACCTGAAGCTGCTCTTCCAGTGCAGCAGTAGCTCTGTCTCCACTGTTCTCATCAACCACCACTACCATATGGGTTAGAGAATTCACCTTGACTTGTTCCTGTTCCAGATCTTCTTGAAATGCCTATAATTGAAGGATATGTGTTAGAAAATGTGCTCCAAAGTAAGAAAATACTGCGTATTAAAACCCAAATGTGCATTTTTAACTTCCAATTGTTAACCACTCTTTTACATTACTGGGTTCTGTGTTGTGTAAATAAAACTTGACAGAACCCCTCATACCACTCCCCTGAAAAAAGCCCGAGGTATCCAGGTCTGTATCTTGCCTGACACTTTTTAGGTGTCTCTAGCTTCAAATCAACAAAAGAATGTGGGAAATCAAGCTCCTGGATTACAGCCTGAATACTTAGCTGAGTGCATCCTAGGAATTAGTACATATATAGTGTGATAGTTACAGTCTGAAAAATAACATGGCTAACTACATTTGCCTTGTCATAATAGAAATTTTGGCTGTATTACAAACTATGTTGAATTTCACCATGTCATTGTTTTCCGCTGCTTTTTCAAGTAGAGTAGCTCACTTAGGTATGAAAAGTAAGCCCTTTCTGAAGATAAGATCATGCATTCTAAACCTCTTTGGTAAAACATCTTAATTTTATTTGAATGTTAAAAATTAAAAAAAAAATGTGGTTATAAGCAAGAGGAAAGGAATTCACAGACTATTTTGTTTTTAAGGTGTACATTTCTTACCACATATTTCAGAGTTAATTTCTTCATGGGCATAGCCTTTGAGGCAATATAAGAATCCTCCTTTTTCTGACTTTCATGCCTGTGATTACCATTTTCTTCAGAGAGCTAGACTATAAAACAATTCTCAAGGACTGTGAAGCACTCATAATTGTTAAGAGTCATCCCTGGAATTTAGACTTCTCAACATTTTATGACCCAGCACTTGATCAAGGAAGAGCACTAATGGATCAGAGTGTATAACACAGCTCGCTTCCCCCAGGTTTAATCCCCTGTTTAAGCCATACAACAATAAATACATTGCAAGCCTACAGCAAGAGACAAGGTGACTTTTATTTCCTGGTTAGTCAGTATCTGACAGATGGCATCCCAGAAGAAAACCAGAGTTAGCAACGCTCTGCAAGCGCAGGAGTGGATGGCACTTTGGAAGTGGGAGTCACACACATCGTGAAAGACTTGAGAAGTCATGGAACAGATGAACCAGAAAGGTGAGTCATTACCTAATCCTCAGACAGATTCAATTTACCCTGAGGTAAAGGACTGTTTTTATAACCCAAGTGTCTATTTTTACCATGAAATTAATTGGTGAAAATTGTTTGTATTCAGGATCTTGTTGAAACAGGAATTTACGAAGGGCAATCTCAAGGCTAGAGCAAACTCTGTTCAAATAATTTAAATTGAAATTTCTAACAAGTTCTTCTGAGCTTGTCAGAGAGAAAGCAAATTTTCAGGGACTTTAAAAGTAGGATGGACATGAATGTTGATTCATGGAGATAGCAACAACAGAAACTCATAAAACTCCACACTTCTTTTAATTCCTATCTATCAGACAAAAACTTACACAACTCCAACTTCATGTAGTTGAAAGCGAATAAAAATATCTACCTAGGTCATCCAAGTACCCAAAGACAAATCCACTCCTATTTGAACACTTAGGAAGTATCTCATTTTACATTTTCAATTAATTTGAAGTACTAAAAATCCTAGCATTAAAAAGTGTTGATGTTTCTGGAAATTTAATGAAATTTTAAAATCTATTAACTATAAATTGTATAATAATAATTTGGAATAAGAAAATCAGTTCAATTTAAAGCACACTTTTTCTTAATTAACACATTTCCAATACAATATTTGACTTAGTTCAATAGTCCTCAGACTTTTATTGAAAAGTAGCTTTCTCCCTTTATAGAATTATAAGGAAGGGACAGTTGCAACAGGAGAAAAAATACATAAAATACTACTGCAAAAAACCAATAGTTCTTTACTGAAATGTTTAACTACAATTCCAAAATATATTGACTACGACAGACTTCTTTCTCACCAGAACTCTGTGCCTCGCTAATGACATAAAATCTTCTAGAGCTCACCACTAATTCAGCCCATTCAGAAAATTTTCAGTACTGTCAAAATATTAAGCTCACATATTTCTGAACTAAGCAGCATGCTGAAAAGTGTGAAAGAATGTTGTGTTCTTTGTCTGGTCTGAGTGTTGGGTACCATTCCCAATACACATTACTAAATGATTTTTTTTTTTTTTTTAGTTATAGGGACCCAGCAGAGAAACTCAAGTGTCAGTCAAACAAGAATGCAAGACCAATATTTTTTGACAATATTGAGAAAAAAGTAGAATAAAGAAATCAGCTGTATGGAAGTCATAAATCAAAGGGGGATACATAACATGAAATCAACAGAGTGAAAAGTAGCTACTAATGAACAGGTAAAGAGGGGAAGTCAAAATTATAAAGGTAAAGAGGAAACAGAGACAGGATAACAACAAACCAAACCTGTCACCTTTGCTGAAGTCTGTTTCATTTGAAACCATCATTGCCTTTTAAATCTTCTAACTTTTGGGTCCTCCTATTAATTTGCAAAACATTGTTTCTGGTACATCCAGAGACAGGTGAGAGTCAGAGGAAATATTAAGGGTGTTGGGTTTTGCTTTTCTGTTTGCTTATTTAGTAATGAAGCAATATCTGTGCTACTAAAATTCCATTGTTTTAACCCTTGTTATAGGAGGTAGGTTTGCTGTATATAACATACAATAAAATGATATGAACTTTCTCACAATAATTGAAAGAATGGAAAACACCTTGTTCTTTGACTTATGAGACAAACTTTGACTGAATAAGACAAACAATAAATTAATACAAATGTAATTAAAATTAAACACAAACATTTTCTTTCCAGCATACTAGCTAAATTGTCTCTTGCACAGAAAAAAAGATTTGAAAAGTAATACACATAAATAAATAATGTTGACTAACTCAACACACCAAGAATGAAGAACTAGTATGTGGAAGAGAGATTTATGAATGTTTTCACTCAGAATCTTCAAATACAAGCTAAACACACATTTTTCTCATTATTAGAAAGAAGCAGCATAAAGAGATTGTATAAATAAAAGGATTACATTTTATGTTAAAATTCAAGCATAAAATGCATAGAAATAAAGTTATTCAAGTCTTAGTACTCATGTATTCAAAATCCTTCACGTTTCTTTCCCTAATTACCATTTTATAATTACCTGCTGTCTTTTTTAAAAAAGAAAATTTAATGTCAGAATATGTGCTTAGCTAGCAAACCCACGTACTGAAATACTTTGTCTCCTCACAGGGCAAAGACAGATAGCACAAATAGCAGCAGGAGCTGTAGAATTTGTATTCTTCTTCAGTAGCACTCCTTAATCAGAATGCAAAGAAATCATCTTTAACACACTGGTGGATCATGAAGTCTTGCAGTTTTTGACCTCTTTGTAAAAGAACTGTAAAAGCTGATTTCAGTTTGAATTGTTTTTCAGATGATCTGCCCTCTAAAACCTGGACTAGCACTGACACAGGCCATGAAGCATCAGGTGTTAAAATCTCTGAAGATACTATGGAAATGAACTGCTTCGAGCCTCTATGTAGAAACATTAACAGGTTATCACATCAAATCTCCATGACCTCGCAAATCATCTCTGTTCCTTATTTTTCTGTTTCCTTATCATCACCATGTGCTATGGATACATATCTTAATTTATTTTAGAATTTAAATTAATATGAAGCAGGAAAATTTAATGCAGTAAATGAAACCAAGTTATTACACGATACAGTCTCTTTCTTTTCAGATCTCAGTTTTTCTAATTAAAAAATTACCCTGATGGAAAGTAGAAAAAAATTGGCCAAATTCTCTCTTACATTCCATTTATGAGTTTGTTATTTTCCATTAATCAAATACATTACTAAAAAGTATTTTCTACAGTTAGAAAGTAGTGCTGTACAAATACACATTCAGAGTCCCAGGAGTGCTAACAAGATTATGCAGTCTGAGCACTACATAATCATTATTACAACATGCAAAGGGAAAAAATAACATGCAAAAAGAAGACAACAGAGGTATTAAAAAATGTGATATATTCTTATTGTACCACATAATAAAAGGATGTTACAGTTGCCTCACATATTCTGGTATATTGTCTATATGTTTAAAGGAAGTAATTTTTTTAATATCAGAATAAAACTCAGAGTTGTGATAAAATAACTCTACAAAAGCTTGTAACTGTAGAGAACAATAAATATTAAATCAAGATTCCATATTACTTTGTTATGCTCTAATGGCAAGAGTAGAGGTTTTAAAATGTCAAAAACTGAATTTGTTTTTTATGCCCTTGGAAGCACACCATAACATACCTTATGCTCTTCTACTTGACGCTTTAGGTCCTCTAGATCTGGACCTAGGGGCTCCAAATCGATTTTCTTTGTCCTTTCTTCTGTTTTTGTCAGCCAGTCAGCTAACTGGGCCAGCTGCTGATTCTGCAGATCCATTAGAACTTTATGTAAACTTTAAAACAAAAAAAATTATAATTACAATTTATATGTTAAGAAAACAACAGGAAGAAACATCTGCCCTGTATATCAACTGATTTTCACAAGGTTACACTTGAAGGTAGAATAAAAATACACACTTTCAAAGAGGAACAGGCTCCCAAGGGAAGTGGTCAAAGCACCAAGCCTGTCTGAGTTCCAGAAATGTTTGGACAACGCTCTCAGACACATGGGGTGTCCTGTGCAGGACCAGGAGCTGGACTTGATGATCCTGATGGGTTCCTTTCCAACTCAACATATTCTGTGATTCCATGAAAGAGGTAACTGAAAGTTTGTTGAAAAAGTTTTGATTTCGACAAACAGTTTTGAAGCTTTTTTTTTTAGACTCTGAATACTGCATACAATATTCTGTCTCTTAAGTTTTGTCCTCCAGTTGCATTTCTATTAGAGCTGGAATTCAAAATTTCTGCTACCTGTTTTTTTAAGGCTTGTGTTACCTACTATGACTATTTTGAAAACTCTCAGACAGCTGACCTTACCATGCTTTCCCTAATTTAGGATAGTAAACAGAAAAAAATAGTAAGTTTTCAGTTATTCAGTGGAGAAAGTTCTGAAGAATTAAACAGGAAATACTTCAGTTTTGCCTAATCAAAGTATTTTGATAGATCCAGAATGATCTGACCAGAAATCCATCACAAATCCTTTTCTTATACTTGCTTCTTTAGAAATTCTCCAAACTTTCCTAAACGAAATCTTTATCTCATCAGAAGCATTTTTAAATTAATGTGTAAACTATGGAATTACAACAGCATTTTGTATTATCCATCTTTCACATAAGATACAACTTTTAATTTAGATTTGACAGACAAAAGTCACTGTCCTCAATCATACTGAGGTTGGTAAAACCATTATATGTTATAGTATCAGGCTATATGTTTAGTATATGTTGTAGTATATTTTACAGCATGTAGTGTCACTGTACGTTATACTCTGTCAGGCTTGGTGCTGTGACCACTTCCCTGGGGAGCCTGTTCCAATGCCCAACCACCCTCTGGGTGAAAAACCTCTTTCTAATATCCAACCTAAACCTTCCCTGACACATCTTCAGGCCATTCCCTCAGGTCCTGTCACCGGTCACCACAGAGAAGGGATCAGTGTCTTCCCCTCCTCTTCCCCTCCCAAGGAAGGTTTAACTGCAATGAGGTCTCCCCTCAGCCTCCATCAGATTGAACAGACCAAGTGACCCCAGCTGCTCCTCATACTTTCAAATGCAGACCAGTGGATACAGAAAAGGGTGCTTGTTTGCAGACAAACACCAAGATGAACCAACTTCATGGAAATAAAGTCTTGCAAACAAATTTAAATTTTTTATAAAGTTTGTTCTGTAATAAGGTTTTAGTTACACCTGTTTCTGGTCCCAAATGGCAGCATCAGATGTTAAATCTGGATCTCTGTGAAGCTATGTTACTTTCTAGAGAAAGTAACAATTTTTAAAGTCTCCAGTTAACAACTCTTGGAAGCAAAGGACCAAAGCAAACAAATCACAGAAACAACTAACTTTAAGCAGAAACTGGAACTTCAACATAACTTGAGAAGAAAAAAAAAAAAAAAAGGTAACATGAAATGGGAAGGGCTGAATTAATCCAAATCTCTGAACAGGAGATATCAAGCAGTAATGTTTCTCTGTATTATCTCTGTTGTTTTTTTTTTCCTAAGAACATAATGTCATGGATCTTTGTGATGTACTATGATTTCAAGGTGTTTTTTAACTGGAAATCATGTGTTAATTATAGATCAAAATGACCAGAAGACTCATATGATGTCTTTTCCACTCTAATCTCTCTATTTCTTTATAGATAAAGTATAGAAAGATGATACCCTGCTTTAATATAGCCCATGGTTCACAAGGAATTAGTGATCTCACATCTCAGTCCTTCAGTTTGAAGTATTTTATTGTCTTACTTGATGTTCTAAAGTAAGCTATTATAAGCAAAAAGTACAATGCTTCATCCTAGACATATACTCTTAGTAATAAATTAAATAAACAGTACAGAAAATCTGTTAAAGAGAACTTAAGAAAACCAAGATATGAGGAAATACTTATTATATGATTAATGATCTTATTCTGAAGCAAGAAGCATAAACTTGAAAATTAAATAATCACATTTTATTCTTAAGCAAAAGAATGTTTCTCTTTTCTCACCATTCTGCAGGTACTTCCTGGTTTTCAAATTACTTTTATAAACATCTGATAGAAGTTTTAATACTTATATACCTCAGGAGATTATCTAAACCTCTGTTTATGGTATGCCTCTCATAGGTTTCAAATAAAAAAATACAACTTCATTGAATTGAATGTGTTTTAAAAGTTGTAGAATTCTCTATAAAGCCATAAATTGCACTGTTTCCCCCTCCAGTGGTATACTTATCATTCTGAGATGCTTTACTTTAGAAAATTCTATTTGAGGACTGCCAGGAGCAAGAAATTAAGAAAAAAAACAAACAAAAAAACCCACCAAAAAACAGGCTATTTTCCTTCAGCATTGCTATAAGAGTCAAATACTTTCAATACACAGTCAATACGTGGGAAATCCAATTTGGGCTGCTTTTACAGAAAGGCATTGCTATGCTACGAACTTCCTCAGACATTCTGACCTACTAAATCACTTTTCCTAAGACGCTTTCATTTTTATAGTACCCTTTATCAGAATATCTTTCTCCTCTCCCCTGTCAATTGTTTGCTTTTGTTTTCTCTGTGCTGTAAAGTGTGGTACCTTTTGTTACTTTTCTTATTACCATTACAAGAGGTCAGACAGCCTCATCCTCACAAAAACCACCTCTTTGGATAAACATGTCACTGTTGCCTTAGGGACTAGATTATAGCAATGTGCTCAGAAGATTGTGCCTTAAACTGAAGTAGAAGATGGATCCTGAGAGTTTAAATTATGTATAATAACCTAGAAATATATTATGTTGTGACATCTTATAGCTGGTGCTTGAATCACAGGGGTTTGACCAATAGGTCAAAATTAGCTATATCGAGCAATGTCACTCCAGAGAAATTTTCTCTTGCCCTTAGCCAAATTTCATTGAATTTATCACAGAATTTTTTTCTATAAGAAATTAAATAGTAGCATCACATTCTCTGTGAAGCCCATATCATTTTATGTCTTCTACCAAATTCATATTGCTCAAACATGACAAAAGATACTAGACTACTCAATTCCCCAAGCAATGTTCTACAGCTGAATCTAGGAGATAAGCTGAACAATTGCTGTTAAAGGACATTTTAACTGTGTAGAGTGTGTAGGCATAGTACCACTCATAGAGGTGAGGTTGCTACTAGCATGTGTTGATTTAAACGAAAATAAATATGGCAATAAAACCTCCCTACAGCAAAGCATCATAGATTTTTCTTTCCAAGAAAATAACAGAGCTAGAATAAGTTAGGTTGAAACATCTGAAACTCTTTTCTTTATTGTCAAAGAAAGATGAAATGCAGAAAACAATCTCACTACTCAGTAGCAAGCTGAAAAGAAAACCAATGTTTGGAATTACTAAGAACATACTGCAAAAAAGAGAGTAATGTCATGCAATTGTTGAAAATCACAGTTTGCTTTTTAATACTGTGGACAAACTCCTCAACTTCAAAAAGGTAGGGTAGAACTGGAGAAAGCTCAAAGAGGAGCAAGATGAATAACCAAATATATTCAATATATATTTATGAAGAGAGTAAGAAAATATATACTGTTGACTCTCACTTCTAATAGAGTTACTTGAGGGAATCACTTAAGCTACCAGTGACAAATAAACTAAAATAAGTCATTCCTCAAAAAAGTAGCACTTATTGGGTATGAAGCTTTTGGAATTCACTGCCAAAGGATGCCATGAATACTAACAGATTCAAGAGGATATTGAATAAATAGATGAAAGAAAAAAAAATAAAATTCATAGTACATTACCAAATATGCAAAACTGCTTCCACCTCAATGTTACCCTCAGCTGAAAACAACTGGAGGCCAGAGTAGTTCCACAGAGAACTTCATAACATAACACATTTCTATTAGGTCAGACCGATGACACACAGCCCAGTATTTGTTCTCCAGAGCAGCAGGCCCATGCACACCAATATTTCATCTCCACCAATGGAAAAAGGAGATGATAAGATGCTGTTTCAGGAGATCATGTATCTCCCCTAAACCTTTTGTTAGACTCATAGAATCATTAAGTTTGGAAATCAAAGTCCAACAGTCAGCGTTAGCACCACCCTCTGTTCACCATTAAACCATATTCTCAAGTGCCATATCCACACATTTTTTGAGTATTTTAAGGGATGGTAACTCTACCAGGTCCCTGGGTGGTCTGTTCCAATGCTTTACAACCCTTTCCATAAAAAAAAATAAAATTCCTCATATCTAATCTAAACCTCCCCTGGTGCAACTTGCTCTGTTACTGTCAAGATGCTGGACTAGACCATTGGACTCACTGCTAGAGATATTTAGCTGGTATTAAAATCACATTTGCAAAAAGAGTCACTTTCCAGCTGTAGTAAAGAAATAGAAGAGTTTCTCACGTAGTACATGTTCATTGGGATTTTCTGAGAGAAAAATTAAGACTTCAGCAGAGAGATTTTAACAAAATCTACCTAGCTTAAAGTTCCTAAAAGACCACCAAGGATCTCAGATTCTTTTTGTTTTTGTTTTTGTTTTTTTTTTTTTTGCCGCTGCATTAATCTGGTTTTATTGCAGAGAACAGCCATAGTCTTCAACAATTAATACTACTTGGCTATAAAGAAACTCCTAATGACACTTAATTAATTTTAAAATTTCCACTGCTTTGATTTAATATGTCAGTTGGTAAACTTCACAGTGATCCCCTTACAGAAAGGCCAGTAGGTATACAAAATTCCTCATGACAAAGGAAGACCCAGTCACATGAGTTTGACACAGAGTTATCCTGTCAGACAGATATTAAGAGTATAAACATAAAATGGAAAATACAAAAAAAAAAAAAAAAAAAAAGAGAAAGGTTGAGAAGAATAAATGTGAAAAATCAGGTAACAGTTATTTTCTTAAGATAAGGAAGGAAACTCACACATAAATCACCTTCCATAACTTTCCTGGAATCTCTGTATCCTGCAAACCAAATTACTTCACTGTGACACAATCACAGTGTCACAGTGCACATAAACTCTTCTGTTTATGAAGTTTCTTATACTAAATGGTACTATATAAATAAAAATTTCTAAATAAGACATAATAATATTAAAAATGCTCCAAAGACTAATGTGACTATTTAACATATTATTTTTCTACATTTACCTGTATTTCAACTTCAAGTTGTAGGACTTGCCATTTTTTGAATAGTATAATTTGTACTCAGATAAAACCATGACAATATTTCCAGGAAAGCTAAGGTCCCATTTACTCTTTTTATGGGATCATGTTTTACAGGGCTTAAAGATTTCTTTCCCTTTTCCTTTTGATTTCTTCTAAAGATTCGCTTCTTTGTAGCTAGGTACAATGTGTGATACAATATTTGTTGAAACAATTGGAAGAATGTGAGGAAGTTTATATATATTTTGGTTGAAGTGTTACTGGGCTTCAAGGCTCGAAAACCATGCAGGCTTCAAAATCACTGCACATCAAGTTTCAGATTAAAACAGATAAAAGATGGAGTTTTTTTCACAGTGAAATGAAGGAAAAATCCCAACTGTTAGTCAAGTTCAGGATTGTTTCAGTCAAAGTCAATATATATTATTTTATCTGACATGTTACTTACTTGCTTTGTTTTTCCATACTTGCTACCCTGAGACTTTCCCATCGAGAATTAAGTAGATTCATTTGTTCTTGGATTTCATTCTCTTCATCATCTGAAAGTTTTCCCGCTGTTAAAAGTTGACTTCCAACTTGCAAAACATTACCAACACGTCCTTGATGAGCTGTTAACTCCATCATAAAACCCTGACAATAAAAAAAAAAAATATATATATATCTACTTTTAAGTTGAATTCTTTGGAAGGAAAGAACAGAATTCCATCATTTTGCGAGCCTGATTTTTAACTTTGCTTTTATTTTTTTCAAACCTAACCCAAACCTTGTAACATGAACCAGAAACAAACACTTTCACTTTCTTCATAGAGCAAAAAGTAACCTGGAGGCTGAAGGGCGACCTTATTGATCTCAGTAACTGCTGAAAAAAGGTTGTAATGAGGTGGGTGTAGTAACAAAAGATAGGATGAGAGGAAATGTCCTCCAGTTGCACCAGGGGAGGTTTACACTGGATATTAGGAAAAAAGGTTTGTTTTTGAAAACACTGAATGTTTTCAAGCATTGGAACAGGCTGCCCAGGGAAGTGGTTGAGTCCTTGGACGTGTACATGCAGCCCTTAGGGACATAGTTTAGTGGTGGACTTGGCAGTGCTAGATTAACGGTTGGGCTTGATGATATTAAGGGTCTTTTCCAACCTAAATAATTCTGTGATCCTAGGGCACAGTCTCCAGTATGATGTTTAAATTCTCCAGAACAAAATAAAAAACAAAACAAAAAACCAAAGCCAAACAAACAAAAAACCCCAAACAAACCAATAACCAAACCAATAAAAAAAAACCCCAAACAAAAACCCACAACAAAACCAACCAACCAACCAAACAAACAAACAAAACACATCAAAAAAAGAAAGGAAAAAGGAATAAAATAAACTAGACATATTTTTAGTTTGTGTTTTTGACCTTAATATGGGATAAAAGCATATAAGCAACTACTGAAAGATTAGTATAAACATTTACCTCATGTGTGTGAAACTGTTCTTTAACAACTTCTACATCATTGGATATATCTCCTTGTGCTTGTAATGCATCTTCAGCAGAGAGAAGCCACGTGAGTACTTCTTCTAAAGCAGTTTGGTAGTTTTCAAGATCCATTTCAGATCCCATCCGCGTGGTGCTAAATGTCTTTTGTTCAACAGTTTCTGAAAACTGATCAAAACCAAAATTTTAAGTGCAATGAAAATGGCATCTGGTCAGACAGTTCTACAAAGGAAAAAATGGAACATCATTGTTTTCTATAAAAACTTCACCTGTTTATAAAACAAGCAAAGAAAATGATGTGGCTAATGTATGGAAGTACTTAGTAGTATAAAATCAGTTTACTGACCAAGATCAGTTAAGATGGAGCAAAATAAAAAAAAAATCATATTAAATTCATTATTATAAATCACATATTTTATGCTGGAATTCAAAATTCCTACCAAGCATTCCAAATAGTAAATAATTATACCTGTAGAGCGCAGTTATACATGTCTTTCATTAAATATTCTGCTTTTTCATTTCTACTTTACTATTTCTTATTTAACTATTTTCTCTTGGAAATGAGAGATATTTATTTTCTACAGCAGCTAGTAAAATAATATACTCAAAAAAGCAGCAAGTTACATGCTGACATTGCAGAATGGAAAACATGATATTTAAAAAACCCAAATGCAACAAACCTTTACACTACATGCAATGCCGTGTTTGAGCAATCCACAGACACACATTTTGTGAAAACCATTCCAGAGGTTGGAAAAGCTCAGAAAACTCATGTGAAATCATAACTTTTTAAAACCAAGCAGAAGTGCGTTACTGTTGATTTATCTTTTCCACAAAGATCACCCTTATATTCATTCCTTAGAAGCCAGGTGACTGTTATAAGCATAGAATTCACATTTCTGTTCTACTGCTTCAAGTCAAGAGAAATCAACAAGTATTTATTGATTAGTATAATAGTAGAAGAACAGAATAGAAGCAAGAAATACACGTTTGCTACAGAAGATGCCATCTGATAATTTTTTCAAAAAGTTCTGAACAAGTTCAGCTATTGTTAGAGAATTAATTTAAAAACAAACTCTTTACATAAAAATATGCTTATACTTTTATAAAAATGATACCAAGGTACTTAATGCTTTTATAGTTGTCAGAAATTGTCTCTACTGACAACCTTGTTCCAATAAAACATTCAAAGCAGCTTCCAAAGCCTTTCATTGCAGTTTAGAACTGAAAGTCAAAGTTTATCCCTAGAACCATAAGCAAGAAGCATAATGGATGTAATCTAATCATGTAAAATAAAATTTTCAATCTTCATCTTTACGACAACTTCATTCTGAATTGTATAGCTACCTAAAACACCAGTCATAAATTCGTCAGCACTTAACATGTGAAAAACGATGTTCAGTAACTGAATCCTCCTCAGAAAAGCAGGCTTCAAAATCTGATGAACTTTATAGTTTGATTTTTTGCTTTTTTATTAAAAGAAAGTACTATCTTACAGAAATATAAACACTGAAGCACAGAAAACGGTTGACATATATTCCCACTGCACAAATGAGTATTTGAATTGTGAGTAACTCTAGATTTTAAATGTTATAAAATGCAGTAAGAAATTACACCCAACCACATCACATTTCTGCAGCAAGATAATTTTTTGCAGTATACAGTCCACTGTGGAAAGGGATAATTTGATCCCGATTTTCACATGTAATTTTTTTTTTCTTTTTATAACAATACTGCATGGGATATACTGTAGAAAAAAAAAATTGTCCTAACAGTTGAGTGAGACTACGGATATCATGTTTGTAAAGATCTGTGATTATCTATGTTATCATTCCTTTTGAAAGTTCTTCATCTAAAAACCATTCTTTCTCTAGATTGTACATAGAATACTGCCTCATTCTTAGGAAAAAAAAGCTGCCTAAGTATGCATACAGTTTCATTCTTGAATCAAAAGCTATTCTTAATAAAGTATTTAATGATTATGCAACACAAACTTGATTGGGTGCAGTCAAAGCAAAACATTTACTGACTAATTTACTGAATAAAAACCTGAATAAGAACACATTGTAGTGGTACATCCCTCTCTCCTCCTTGGTCTCCACTATGATCTCAGAAATGCTCCTGGGCCTTGGCCTTGAGTTTATCAGAAACATTATCTGCTTCCAGGAACATACATTGACTAATGAGCTTCTGTCTTTTTAAACCAACAGCCTTGGAGACTTACTTTGTTCCACTCAGGTTGTTTCCTGAAAAACAACCTGAGTGGAACATTTGTATTATTGAACTTTTAAAGAAAGGTACTGACCCTAATTGTGGCCAGGATGGAAAATTACTATGACTAAAGCCAATTCTCTTGTGACCCTATAAGCAGCGGTCCTAAGTCCCTGGCTCTCCCAGACCACAGCGGGGTGTGGCCAACAATTTCCCTCTGAGTGGGACCTCTCAGAGCCACAGAACTCTCAAATTTGCTATACTTGGGGGATCACAGATGAACACCAATTGAACTGACATGAAAAATTCGGATGTTTGATGAACACTGCATCACATCTAGCTAGGAATTAGTTAGGAAGTCATCCTGCAGACTGTTTTGGAAAATGGTCAACCATTTTTGCATGTAACACAGTTCTGGTTGTTCTTAGGGACTGATGTAGAAGGAAAAAATGCTTTGGACCCATAAGTTGTCCGCTAGACTATCTTTTTTCCTTTGCTCTTGCACATGGAAGAATTATATCTAGATGAAAAGATGGGAGTTTTAATTTCTACACACTTCACCACCTTCTGCTGGGGTGTGGGGGCTGAAAGACCCCAAGGACTCTGAAGATTTAATTTAAAGTATGAGAAGTGAAAATAAAAATCCTTTGACCTTCAGAAGCCTGGAAAAAATGAAGTGTTCCTGGCAGCTGTATGAATTAATTCACAGAATTTAAACTATGATCTTGTAGCTCTTTCAAGGTAAGCAAGTGAGGGGACATAGTGTTCCTCACCTGCTATTGCATTATGTTCCTAAAGGGAAGGATTAGTTGTGTGTTAGTAAATTCTCCAAGAAGCTTCCTTTTAATTCATAGAGACTGTTTCTGAGTTTTAGAAATTCGTTGGGCAGTTTTAGAAAGTAGTTTTACAGTAAAAATTTAGGGTTTGTTCCACTCTTATTTATGTTATATATTTCCTTCATTAAGAAACTGCTTGTCCCACTGAAAGATAAAGAATGTGGTTCTAGACATTTAGAGCTTTTAAACTCAGAGGCATAAAATTTTAAAGAAACATTTTTTGGTAAAGGCAAATTTAAGTTCAGAATATGTTTCTCATTTTGAAAACTCCCTTTGCGGGATTACAGCCTCAGAAAATAGCACACATAATTCACTCCCTAAATATGCCTCTTATCATGTAAGAATGACACCACTGCTTATTCTTTTGGTTCCCCCAAGCCTCTCATTACAAAATCCTATTTTATGTATCTTTGTATTTCAAAATTATAACTGCTAAAATGTTAAATGATAAAATAATCTTTTCAATAATCAAGACTATGTTTCCTCAACAGATGACTTCAGACAGAATAGTTCAGTCATTTCTGGTAATAAAACTCGTAAGATAAATTGGTCAGGCTGCTTGTTATTATAATCTTAACTATTTCCTTGTTCTAAATGAGGCAAGCACTTTCTTTTTATTAAGTATTTAAAATGCCTCTGTGAATGAATCTTAGGTTAAGAAGACTTTTTTTTTTATTTTATTTTTTTTTTTTATCATTCATCTGAAAATCCACACAGGTTTTGCCTGAAAAAATGCAGGTTTTGCTTGCTCAGTTGAGACAAGTTATATTTTTAGTACCTGATTTTCTCGGTGGTTACATTTGTACTGCATATGTTTCCACCTGGAGGAACTGACCTGTCCTTGCAACTGCAGTTTTGAGATGCAGCAAATTATTAGGTCATTAAAAATCAATGGAGCTTAGGCAATATACATGCTGAGAAGAAAAAAAGCCAGAGCAAGGCAGTATTGATGAAAGTACATTCATTATAAAGGAAGGAAAATGTTGGAACTATTGACAGGAAAGGGGTAAAGGAAAATGAATCTCTTCAACTACGTTATTAGGAACAGCTTGTACAAATAAAGACTGAAAGAGACAAAAAAAGAATTTATTGGCATTACAGCAAAAGTTTGCACCTTGGGATCTGGAGTGTAGCAGTTGTCTTAAGACAGATGAAAGCCAGTGAAGAAAACTGGAATAAATTGGCTTGGGAAAGAGACTAAGACTGAGAACTGCAAGGACAGGTAAAATAGTACAAAGACTTAAGGGACAGGAATCAAGGTTGCCTATAATGATCAAAAATTTTCTAAGAATTTAAAACTGTTTCATTTTGCATACATGGTAAGTCAGTGATTCACAAAAAGATTTTCTACTTAGCTTGCTTTCTTCAATGCACCTGTACTTGGAAAAATATCAAAGCAGGTTTTGGTTAGTAGCTGATTGATAAAAAGTGTATCAAAACATACTGCTTTTATAAAGTCTCCAGGGAAAATTTTCAGCCTATATTTATTTAAGGGTTTCAATTATATCGAGGTTTTTGCTCTGAATTTAAAATGTACTGCTGTTTCTGGCATTGCTGATGACAGGAGACACTTACCTCTCTAAGGAAGGCACTTCTTATTCAAGCAATTAAGAATCATGGCTCCAGACAGTAATATGACTTGATGTGGATGTGTAAATCAACTGTCTATGACTGAATGAAATTACTTTCATCGTACACCTACAACAAAATTATGATTTCTTCCTGCTGAAATGGCTGGTCTACCAACCATTCTTCAAACCTTCCCTTTTGTGATGCAAGACCAAGGCACACTTTAAGGGGATGCATATTTCAGGTGCTGTCATGTCATGCAGTAGACTGAAATCATTTGGGCTCTACATAATAAATAAATAAGGGTACTCTCCACATAAAGAAAGGTGAAGTTTTCACCCCAGGATAAGTTTTCAGTATTAAACAATGACTCTTCACAGAACTCTCCAGTAGTAAATGGTAACAGGGTCCTAATGAAAGTCTCTCACAGGTCAAGAAGCCTGGGGTCTTTTCCCAATAGGGTTAGCAGCAAGGTAACTCCAGGTCAGCAGATTCAGCTTATTTGAGAAATGTCCATTGTGTTTTATGCTGTCACATACACGAAAAAATGGA